AATGCACTGTGGAAGTTTGAAGCAGGGAGGTGGATGCTGAGGGGCAGGGAGTACTGATAAGGTACTGGAGGGCAAAGCAATCAGTCTTCCCCATGCCCTTGAGCTAGTCCGCTGCTGCAGGTGCTGTGGAGAATGGTGTCCCATCATTGGTGTTGGGGTAAAGTGCAACTGTCAGTCTGGTTGTCTTCTGCATGTGAAATGGGTCAGGGGCACCATCTTGCCCTTTGCTTCAGTCAGCAAAATATGTTGGCTTGGCCCTGCTCCTCAGTGGCTTATTTGTTTACAGTGACTGGGTGCCCAAAGTTCAAAAAACCACAGTGGCCTATAAGCCAATGGTGGCTTCATTGTATGAGTCAAGTGATATGGTTCATTAGCCACCCTTAGAAGCAACATAAGGCAACTATAAACAACTGTGGCTTATTATGTTGGGTGAGCGCAGTCAAGAAGCACCTTTAATGCACCAAAACAAGTTATTTTTATGGAGAAGTGAGATATCTGGGCCTGCATAGACTCTGAAGCATGGTTCACTGTGCAATGCTTGTATCTAGTGCAGCCTTCCTCAACCTGGTGCCCTCCAGATGTGCTGGACCGCATCCCCCATAATTCCTAGACAGCAGGGCAATCCAACATTTCTGGAATGTACTAGGCTAGGGAAGTATGAGTTGGATCCACCATAACAGCTTTCCACAAATAAGCCAGACAGGCTTTGATTTCAGAACTGATGTTGACTGAAATGAAAATGACCAACGGAAGAGTATTTCAACCATGCATTTCCATAAAGTGCTCTCAATACTGGGCTAGGTTCCAGAAACTGAAGTTTTATTCTGCTTTCTGATCACGAAAATGTCTTAATTGTTGAAATGTATACTGCTTCTCCTTATGGAATTCCTTGATCATTCTCCAGATTGTTCATAATATTAGGTGCTCAACAAAAGGTTTGCATTAATACTATATATTTCTGTTATTGTACAAAGGCCAGCATACACAGAGATGTCTTATTCTGTGGTCCATGCAAAGGATAATTTATCAGTATAGAAGTGTGAGACTTGTTGGCTGAATGAGGTGGTGTCTGGGGACGAATGACCACCAAAGGTTCTCAGCACAAAGATCCTCAGTGCCATAATTGTGATTCTCAAAACCATGACCTCTCAAAGGCAGCATTCCATACTCCTCACATACTGGATTTGTGAGGCACATGCTGTAGCACTCCATATTGACCAGCCTTCCACAACCTGGTGTCCTTGCATAGCTTTGACAGTTGGGAGTAATGGGAGTTACAGTCCAAAACATTTGGAGCACACCAGTTTGGCTGGTTAGGTTTCTGCTTAAATTTGCAAAATCCTAGACATTTAACTTAAAGCACACCCGACCTACATCATTTGTGCAGTAGTTTTGTTTTCAGTGATACATTATCTATTTGGAATCTTTTCTTGGGAAGTAGGGCAAAGACTACTATTTGTGCAGATCTTACCTTTTACAAGTCATTGTAGCACATTTTCCACATTGAAAATCAAACTTTTGATAAGAATCATGTGTCCTGAAAACAAATCCTTGACCTGTCATCCTATTGATAACACAGGATAATGAAGCCTAACTGGATGGATACTGATATCTGATGTTCTACTAATAAGCAGAAGGGTAGTGTTCAATTTGTGAAAATGCATTCTGAGTTTCATTCTGTAACCATGCCCTACCCAGAGAGAGGACGGATAGCTGTATTTTTTGTTTTTGTTTGGGTTCACCACCCATACCAAATTCACTGCTAACTATGGCTGGACTGTGTTCCCCATGCCCCTACCACGTAGCTGCCTCTCTGGGTAGCTTTTCACAGTACCCTATGTAACTTAAGCTTTCTGACATTTTAATTTCTGTGTATATGTGTGTATGTGTACATGTGTTTGTCTTGGGTTGCCTTCCACTTATAGCATTTCACTTGGAAATGACACTAGGTATTTCTATCTCACTTTTCTGTCACACACTTGCTTGATATGTTCTTTTCTCTCTTTGACTCATTTCCTCTACCCTCCAGTTTTGCAATTCTCCTTTCCTGATCTTGCATCCTTCCTGTTGGAGTTAGCTTGGTCCTCCAGTGGCTGAAGTCTCAGTAATCTTAGTCTCAGCTCTTTTAGTTTTGGTTTTTGCAAGATGTTCCAAATCTCTTGATGTGAACGGGTGTCATTTAGAATGGGATTGTAACTGTTGCATCAGCTAGCAGTCAGATCCTCTTTAACAGGAGCCAGATTCTGTTTCTGAGAGGTGGACTTATTAGAAAGCATCATCCTCCAAGAGGAAGCCTGGCACCTTTCTTTTAAAAAACCATCTGACTATGTGAAGACTGAGTGTTGGTGAGCTGTGATTGTGGAACATCCATGTGGAATGCTTTGGCAGGGAGAAGGCCTAGCCGTCCCAGGTGACAGTCACCCCAGCCAGCAAGTTCAGATTCGGAGTGGGAGGAGGATGAGCAGGAGCAAGCAGACGCCTCTGAACTGTCAAGGTCACCATACAGGATTACTCAGGCAGAGAATGTGGGAACCAACCCATCTTGGAGCAGAAGGGAGACACTGTAGAACAGGGAGGGTAGAGATCAAGCATGAGCTTGATATTGATAACTGATATTGCTCGCCATTCCCACTACCATCTAGCCCTTATGCAGTGCAAGCGACCTGAGGCTGGAGTCAAGTCCTTTCCAAAAAGGAGAGAAATGTTCTGGTTTGGATTCAACCCTGCCCATGCACAGATGCTACTTCTACATATCAATGGGATCATTACTTTGTTTTATACTGTTTGTAAACTCGAAGAGCTCAATAAAGGACCCACCTTTCTGCTTTATTAATTATTTTATTTCTATAGTATCCAATAGCCAAAGCTCTCTGGGCAGTTTACAACAACACATAAAATACAATATAAACTACAGAGAGCAATAAAAACATCATAAAATTTCACCATACAACATTTTAAAAGCTACAATAGCTCATACAAATTAAATCATAAGACCTCTGTAAGCAGCTAACAAAGCTCCAATATGATAGTAAACTAATTAAGTGCCATACTGTAGACGACTGTCTTAACCTGGCACCAAATGCATATTAAAGTTGGTGCACATGGTCCTCAGTATGCAGCTTGCTCCATAGCTGGGGGACCACTAGTGATGAGGCCCTTCTATGGTTTTGACTAAGTCTGCTGGAGAGGGAAAGTGGGGAGCGAGACATGCTGGAGCTTTCCCCTCTTTTCCTCCTTTACAGAAAGGACTTTACCCCACCTTCAGGGTGGGTCATACTGCTCAAAGATTAGATGGTGGGAATAGCACGGAGTACTTAACTGGTCCATTCTCTTGGCCTGCCACTCTTGTTAGGATCTAAGAATTCCCCCTCGATCTCCACCGCACCCTGTTCTATAGTGCCTCTCTCCTGTTCCAAGCCCGTTTGATTCTCACACTTGCCCTCAATCATCTCACATGGTGGTCTTGACAGTTCAGAAGTCACTGCTCATTCCTGCTCATCCTCTTCCCAGTCTGAATTGGAATTCACTGGCTTGGGCAGATGGTCACCTGGGAGGGCTGGGCCTCCTCTCTACAGTTTTTTGAAAAATGAAGATGCTCAGACAGAAATTGGGAGGACATCCTGATATTTTGATCACCTTATGAATGTCATTTTGGAAACTGTCCATAATTTAATGGATCGGAAACATTAAAGCTGAACCAAAGAAGTCCCATAAAAGGAATGTCACCATTGTGGAATACACTACTGGAAGAGTGCAGGTAGGACATTTGGGTATCCGTATAGTGTCAGCCTTCCTCAAATGAGTGCTCTTCATATGTGCTGGATGAAAAAAAAAAATCATCCTTAGCCAACATGACTGATGGCCTTGCTGGCTGGGGATGATGGGAGTTATAGCTGTAAGGGAGGCCTGGGGGTAATGGTATTCCCTGTCATTTCAAGTCAGGTGAGTTCCTATAAATCAAAGATCAAAGAAATAGTCACATTTCATCGGAGTCAAACAGGCCCACTAATTTTTCTTGAGTTTTGGCAACTATAGCTATATGTAAGAAATTAGCCACAAAGAAAATTGCCTGAAAACACTCTTGTAGTCATGTTAGACTTTTAGAAATGGTAATATTATAAATACAAAAAGCTTTTGGAGAGATGGAACTGACTGCAGCACTGAGCATCCTCACTCTTTTCTTTTTCCTTTTTCAAAACATGCTTGCCAAAAATTAGTACCCCCTTCCATTGCAGGGAAGATAGATTGTCTGTTGTGCTATGCTTGACTGAAGAGATATGGCCCTGGAGTGCTTTTAGCAAAATTTGAAAATGACAAATTAGTCCTGGATGAAGGCGGCAAGATCTATTTTTTAAAAATTTCCTAGCCTGAATTTTTTTCCTTCACCCACCCATTCCTTTTTCTAACCCACCCAGAGAGCCATTTTGGCTAATGGGTGGGATAGAAATTAAATAAATAACTCCCTCTTTCAGGGGGCATCTTTAAATTCCATTCCAGGATAAGGATGGGACAATTGAGTGTCATTGTTACTTGGAATTGTTCATGAAGAAATGGACAGAGGCTAAATACATTTCTACAACATACAATGTTGTATAGCTTATACAACGTACAACATTTACAGATAACTAAAAGTCTGTCACCTTCTTATTGAAGGATCTAGATGACGGAATGTCTTGCATCCCTTTTCCCATGCCTTTCTGACACCCTGTTGTTTTTTAAAGCTCAGGGTGTATCCCAAACCAGCTCTGTCCAGTGCAATCCATTTAAAAACAGCAGAGAATCCCAGTGGTTCCTTTGTTACTGCTTTCCAAAACAAAGGAGTATTTTTTGGCTAGAGCACTCCAGGATGGCTACATCCATTCAGCACAAAGATGTTTGTGTGTGTGCATGACTGCATATTGCTGCTGATGTAATTCTTTCCATGTAGTTTTATCGTTGCCTTTTGTTGACCAGTGTTTGGTGTGGGGTTTGTTACCAGACATCTTGCTGTTTATTTGCAGGACATTTTACCAATTTGAAGCAGCGTGGGATAGTTCCATGCACAACTCTCTGCTGTTGAATCGTGTCACCCCATACAGAGAGAAAATCTACATGACCCTCTCAGCATACATTGAGGCAAGACCATCACTATTACAGCACCTCCTGCAGTGTGGGTCCCTAAATGGTTTGGGGTGGTGGGCACCTTTCAGATTTTGGGAACAGTTTCACAAAATGGCTGCCATTCCATTTTCTTTCAATCCATTCATAAAATGGCAGCCATGGTGGGTGTGGCCAGTTATAAAACACTCATTTCCCAGCATGCAAGCTGATGTTGCTAATACAAAGTATCAAGGTACCCAAAAATCTAATTGTGCTCCAAAAAATAAAACCATTCTAGATAATGCTAGAGAGCAGCAAGCGAGCCAACCTCCCAGTTAAAAAGTATTTTTAAAAGATAATAAATTGCAGGAAATAAAATAAAGCTCAGAAGAGGCAGAAGCCTGATGAGTGCCAAGAGAGGTATCTGCAGAGACACTGATACCCATGGGCACCACACTGGAAACTCCAAAAGTCAAGACTTGGCACAGTTCCCTTGTATGCAGAGACTGTACTAATGTTGCATCCCCGATTAAGGGAGGTGCTCCACATAGCATTGTTATTAACAATATTACGGGGAAACCTGCTACGTCCCACCTGCATGTGTTTGAAGCTCAAAAGTGTCCTCCCACTTCAGATGGAGAATTGCACCCAGCCAGCTGTGATCACCAAAGATTTCTGCATGGTCTTCTACTCCAGGGATGCCAAACTCCCTGCTTCGCGATCTATCCGCAATCTTTTTGGGAGTGGAAGCCTACGAGCCTTGGAGAGGTAAAGATGCATCTCCTTTCATTTTCTGTGGGCAGAAGTAGAGGAGAAATTAAGGGCACAATGGGAGGAGGTGAGACAATGGCACTTCTGATTTGCTAGAATAAATGCATGTTTGTGTAGATCTTAATAGGGGTTACTGACTAACATGCATTACATTGACACCCATGGTTCAGGGTTGCCCATGCAGATGCATGAGGAATCTGTTTTGGGGGTGAGAATCTGTTGGATTCCCCCTGGACTCCAACCTGATTTCTCACAGCCTCGAGTCCAACTGGGAGCCATGTGTGCTGAGGATGCTGTTCCTGCCAGCATCCTCCAGGAAGTGAGCCTGCATGAACCCTGCACAAGCAGCATCCCTCTTCTGCACATGTGACTTGCAGCCTTTGTTTGTGCTGCGTATGTAGCAGAAGGAGGTTGTGGGTTGTGCAACAGGCATTCCACATGTGTTCATGGACTTTCTCTCAAGTTGGCTCACTTGCTAATTGAGAGGCAGGCATGAGAAATCCAACAAACAGAAGAGGGCTGGATCCCAGGGGGATCATCACAACCCTAGTTGCCTGAACTCCATATGAAACAGTGGACTTAGTATTAAAATGTGTTGAAGCAGTGTTCAGCTCACCTCAGTTGAGAGGGATGGAGCAATAAAATAATTCTTCGAATGTGCTTCATGCAGGTGAAGGGCATCGCTTCTGTCATCTTGCTTTGACATTTCATTCCATTCCTTTTCAGTAACCGTGTGACTGGGGTCTATGAACTCAGCCTTTGTCGGGTAGCTGATGCTGGTAGTCCAGGTAAGAAGCTCATCTTTACTTCTGGTTGCACATGAAGGGTTTGGATTAGCTTTTCATGAGAGGTCTGTAGGGCATGTATTTAGAGGGGGTGGATGTAACCTAAGAAAGGTTAGGCTTATTATTGCTATAACACTTTTGATTTCATCTGAGTGACTCTTTGCATTACAGAACTTTAATCATAGGCATGTGAATTAATTAAATGTGCTTTGTGGAGTGGACATGAGCAATGCTGAATAAAGCCTGAAACATTTCCAAACATTTCCATTTGCAGGCATGCAAAGGAGACGCCGCCGTGTTCTTGACACTTCTGTGGCCTATGTGCGAGGCGAGGAGAACCTGGCAGGCTGGCGGCCCCGTAGTGACAGCCTCATCCTGGATCATCAGTGGGAACTGGAGAAACTGAGCCTCCTGCAGGAAGTAAGAGTCAAGCCCAGATACCCGCCACTTCTCATCAATGCATCCATGCCAGTGTTGGTGGGACATGATTGAAGATAAGAGGGTGCCTGAATTTAGAATACTTGAGGTTGGGCAACTTTTGTCCCTCCAGATATTTTGGCCAACAATTCCCATCAGCCCTAGTCAGCATGGCTAATGGTGAGGAATCATGGAACTTGTAGGTTGCAATATCTGGAAGGCCACAAGTTGACCATCCTGACATAAACCAACTAGGATAAATTGGTCATACTTAACCTTTGTAACACTATTTAATAAAATGGAGCAAAGATGCTGCCTAGGACACACAGAGCTCTTTTAACATGGAGCTTTACAAAACCTGACCTCAGCTGATGTTCAAACAATATTAAGTGCTCTAAAATATGCATCCACATTTAAGCCCTGTTCCAAAGAAAGTTATTTATACTGAAGTCTCATTGGAATGAATAAAGTTAATTGCGCTTACCTTTTCACATAGATTTCAATAGGAGGCTGTGCAACCCAATCTCATGCATATTTATTTGGAAATAAGTCCCACTTAATTTAATAGTGGGACATGTATGCTTTCAGGATTGGGAACTGCACACAGAATAGCACAAGCTAATCCCCTTAACCCAAACTGTGGAAGGTACATCTCTCCACCTGCACTCCAGCTTTCTCCAGTTGCACCTGTGGTCGCATCCATTAACTTTACATTATGGATGTCCAGTGGCTTAACCAGGGAATATTTAGGTACTAACTACTGAATGCAGTTTGAACTCTAGCTCAGGCAGGAGTCACTCTTCCCTCCTTCTCAAAACTCATCTGGGCAGTGGCTGTGTGCTCTTTCCCTCCATTCAGAATATTATGGGAAACTTTGCCCACACCCTGAATGTACATCATTGCTATCACATCCTGAGTGTCTGTAGGCTTAGAGAACAATTAAGATACAGGTTTAATGACTTCTACACATGCTCATAATAGATGCTTCTGAGTTTCCTAAGTCTCACTAAATTCCTCACATTCACCAAGGACCCCTTCATGTTAAATAGGAAAAATAACATCTCTGCTTGTGCAGTACTATACATGGTATTTCCAACACAGAGATTATTCTCTGATTAAGATAACTCTGTGTGTCCCTGTGACCTATCTGTGTCTGGGCTTTACTTCAATAGGTGGAAAAAACAAGACATTACCTGCTCCTGCGTGAGAAGCTAGAGACAACTCATCGTTTAGGTGATTCCCTGTCCTCAAGTTCCAGTGAAGACTCTGATTCTCGCAGCACATCTTGTGTCTCTTCTCCCATCTCAGCAGATGGTACACCAGAAGGGAGAAGTTTATCACTAGACACCCCCAGTGAAAGGCAGAAAGAACTTGCAGTCAAGGTATGAGATACGGGACAACAGTATGTTAGTCTCTGGGCAGTGGGGGCTGGATGCACGTGCATGCATTTGGCTTTGGCTTTGCCTGCGGCATACACACATTCTTATCCCTACATTCTTGCAGAGACCAAACTCTGCCGGCAGCTTGTTAGTAGTTCCAAGTCCTCACATTGTCTTTTGTTTATCATGTAGCTGGATAAAGATTTATTAAAAGATTGTGGTCTTGCCATGATTTTCTCATTGTCAGTTGAGATGTTTGACATGAATAATGGCATCAGTAATGTGATGGAAGGTTTAGCTGGACAAGAATGTTTCAGTCTCTCTTCAACAACAAAGAGAGAAAAGAGCAGCAGAAAGAAGTGCCTGACAACAGCCAGATAGAACTAGGTTGGGTGGCACCTAGTGATAATATAATGACTTCATCCACACACCATCTTTATCAGACAAGGCAGAAGTGCAATTGCCTGGTTCTGTTGGAACTGTTTTGATTAATTTTAAACCAAAAGGACCAAATACAGATGGTATGGAGAGAAAGGCTGAACATTTCCTTGCACACAGAAGATGCTGATAGAAGATGCTAAGGACAGGCAGGGCACTTTTCCAGGTGTAAAGCTGAGCACTGCAGAGTCTTGGAGAATATTCATCCTGATTCAGCCCAGGCTACTAATACTTAGTATGGTCTCGTTTCTGCAAGTGGTGTTTTTGCTTTCCTAACTGTTGCTGTTATATGTCATCAAGTCATTTCCTATGTATGGTGGCACATGAATGAATGCCTTCCAAAATGTCCTCTCCTTCGCCCTGCATAACTCTTTTAAACTTAGCTCTTGAGGCTTCCTTTGTGGAGTTCATCATACCAAGCATGACTGGTATTCTCTCCACACAGAAGAGCTCCAAAAGAAACAGAGACATAAATTCTGTCCCAGACCTTATTCTACAGTATGCTTAACTTCATGGTTGCTTTAGCCCTAGGCAGGTTAATCAAACTGCTGCCTTACAAGGTGAACCTTTTAATTTTGTTCTTTCTTTTCTCCAGTGCTTGCGTCTTCTCACACATACATTCAACAGAGAGTACAGCCATAGCCATGTGTGTATCAGTGCAAGTGAGAGCAAGGTAAGAGAAACTCCATTTTTCCATTCTGGGAGCCTGTTCCTTGGCAAAGTACTATGAAAGTCATCCTTCTGTTTGTAAGGATGTTGTGAAACCATATCCACAACGGAGGTGGCAAATTTCGTCTGGAAACAATTTGGTGCAAAGTCTTTCCATGCTTGTCTCTCTTCTGTGTGGAATTATGAGAAGTTTCCTCTTTTATTATGGGGAACATGTGGAACAGCTTGCCAGGATCAGAACTCAATCATATAGGAGACTTTGACTTTACACATGACATCAGTCTCCTTAGTCAACAAGCTTCCAGACAGGACTTTTATTGTGATCACCCTGCCTCATTCCCAGAATCTTATGGGGAAAGGCCCAAATGAAATCATCACCTCCCACTTCTATCCCTTTCCATATTTTTCTACAGCTTTTTCCATCTTTTTGTTACCACAGAAAATCTTTTTAAGAGGGAAATGTGGAATGGCTGCACAATGGCTTTTTATTGATAGCACTAGGGGAATTTTATTTAGAAGCAGTCAGAGAAAGGGAAGCTGAAAATGAGTTTCTTTGGGATGGGAAAGAGAATAACCTGCCTATTACTCTAGAGCCTGATCCAAAGTAATCTGAGGACAGAGGTCTTGTTGGGGGGGCGGGGAGTTGCAGTTCACCCTTGCAGAGTGTGCAGAGCCCCACAGTCACTGTCCCCTTCCCTGGAGACCTGCAAATAAAACCTATCATGTGGGAAAGTGAAGAGTGCACGTGCCTCAACTGAACATTATTTCCAAGGTCTGCTTTCTCTATTCTGTTTTTCTTTCTCTCAGCTAATCCCCAACATATTAACTATTAACAGTACAGCCCAATCTATGCATATTTAGTCAGAGTGGGTCTTACTCTCAGATAAGCATACAGAGAATTTCAGCCCAGATTCAGAATTCCCTGTCCCAGGCCTGTGGAATGTGGGGTCTTTAACAGAAATATAGGAAGCTGCCATGGCAGGAAGGTCCATTGTCCTCTCTAGTGTATTGTTTACTTCAACTGGTAGCAGCTATTCAGGTGCTCAGGCCTCAGGGCGAGGTCTATTGCATCACTTGCTACCTAATTCTTTTACCTGGAGATGCCAGGGATGGAATGTGGAGCCTTCTGCATGTAGGGAATGTGCAGTGTCACTGAGCTACCAAATTATTTGGTGTTCTATTGCTTTGCTTGCTTTTAGGCCAAGGTGTGGGGGCACAGTTAAATATAAAATGCATTTTTAGGCAAGTGAAGAGAATAGGAACCAAACCCTGACACTGGAATTCTGGCAAATCTGATGGGGAGCCCCATCCTGAATTTGGCTGTGGCTCAGTGGTGTAACACATGCTTTGCAGATGGAAGGTTCTGGATTCAATCCCTGGGGTCTCCAGGAAGTGCTGAAATAACTCTTGCCTGCAGTGCTGGAGAAGTATTGGCAGTACTGGACAAGATGGACCAATGGCTCAACTCCATATAAGGCAGTTTGTTGTGTGCCTTTGTGTTCTACTGCATGCTACTATTACATATCTATCTACTAGAAAAGTCTATTTACTGCTGCTTAGCAAGGCTTGCTGTTGTCATATATGCTACTCTAGTGATGGATTTTTTATACAGCTGTCTGAAATGTCAGTGACTTTGATGAGAGACCCTTCCATGCCAGCTCTTGGTGGCACTACCTTGACCCCCTCCTCCACCTGCCCATCACTGGTTGAAGGACGATACAATGGCACAGAAGCCAGGTAAGAAAAGTGGCAAAGCTAAGAATTTTAAATTAATTTATGTTCACAATTGTTTGTATGGCTTCAGTGCCTGAGTCAACATCATGAAAACAAAGGTGCTAGGTGAAAATTTGATACCTGTTTTGTTCCTGCAGACCTCTCCAGCTCTCTTCCAGGGTAGAAAGCCCTGAAGCTGAGCCCACAGTGGAAGGGGAACAGAAGAAATCCCCAGTCTGTGGGCCTGAGGATGAAAAGGAGATCCAGCGCCTATTAGTCCCTGATATTCAAGAGATTCGGGTCAGGTACGAGTGGCTTATGGGGAAAGTTCAGTGCTTGGCTGAAGCTAAGGGCTTGTTGGTCTAGCTTCATATCGCTGGCCTGAGGTGATAATACATCTGTCTCCTTCAGTACACCTTCCCTTTGGGGGAAGCAACTCCATGACATGGGGTGCAGCCAGTGACTCCAGTCTTTTGTAGGCTCTTGGGCATGACATCCTCAGTAGTTTCCACCCCACCACCAGTTCAGTGAGTCTCCCTTCTCATCACCATGGTCACTGTTTTTCCTTATCTGCTTTCTCTTCATTGCTAGTACTTGCTTGCTTGACAAGCAAGTATCAGAGAGTGAATCGCAGTGTCAGCTACTGCTGCTACTTTTTACCACGTCTGTTGTCAGAGTGAGAGGTAGATGAACAAGCAGGTTGCAGAGTTGAACTCTCAGTGGGGGTAAGCTCTGGCAGGGAGACGTTTGTCAGCGGGCCCCTGCTTTGATGGCTGCTCTTGGCAGGTGCCCAGTCATGCCTGCCCAACCTGCCAGTGCTACATGCTGCAATTAACAAGTGAAATTCCTTCTAGAATTTAGCATAGCCCTTCCTAAGAAATGGAAATGGACAATCACCAGGTGATAATCAGGCTGCTGAAAGAATGGATCTAGAGACCCAGTGAACTGCAATCGTCTGTACAGTAAACCAGCATTCTCCAACATGGTTCCCCTCCTCCCCAGGTGTGTTGGACTGCAATTCCCATCACTTTCCATCAACATGGCTGATCGGTATGCTGACTGTGAATGATGTGAGGAGCAGCCCAACATATCTAGAGGACACCAGGTTGGAGAAGGCTGCTGTAAATAATGGGAGCTGCTTTGCCATGGAAAGATCCCCTGCTGATAGTGATCAGCAGCTCTACCCACCCCAGCCACAATGTGTAATTGGGAAACAGCAATCTGCTGCATCCTCAGCAAACGGGAAAGGATCTTGGCACATTATGAGCCAGTCACAGACCAAAACCAGACCCAGTTGTGCTCCCAATGCCAATGGTATGACAGGAGTGTAACAGGGCACAATTTCTCCTTGCATACCCATAAGCCTTTATGTGGAGGTGGTAGCTGCTGCTGATCTAACAGTGACAGGGTGGAGGGGTGTCTCCTCCTCCTCCTCAGAATACTGAGGAGAATACTGAATACCCAGAATACTGCTGTGGAGGGAAAGGAGAAAAGAAGAAGAGAATAAGTCCTCCCTCTCCCACTACACTCTTTCCATACTTGGTGTGAATATAGGGGACTGGAGAATTTTGGCTCAAATTAAAATCTAGGCTGGAGGCTGTAAAGCTGCACTTCCCAAGGAAGCATTGGCAGTCACTGAGGCTTGTGTTATGAACCAAGAAATGGCAAACTTTGCCCATATTCTTATCAGTTGCTGCAATAAGTGAGAGCAATCACTCAGGTCTTTGTCCTCCAGTTGAAGGCAGTGGCCTGTTTCATATACAACAACCCACTGTATGTTGTTGCTGAATCATGGATTGTTGTTATGAACCCTATATTATGTCTTAATTATGGGTTATTCATTACAAAGAAGCCAGGAAAAGAACCCATAATTTTTTGTTGGTTGTACACTCTGGGTTGTTCATGCTTACTGCTCATAGTTAAATCTTATTGCAAGTAGCACAATTCAGCAACAACCCATATGCAACTTGTACTCTGGGTTGTTACATGCAAACCATGTCGACAGTTCAGTAAGCTTATGGAAGGCCATCTCTCTTTCACCCAACTTGCAGATGATATAAAGGAATAGATCCTTACTCCTCCAGACATTTTATTGCCTCTGAAAAGGAGTTATTGGCCTAGTTCAAGCAACACAATAACCCACAATCAAGGGTTGTGTTGAGTAGTTTCCTTCCAAAGCACAATTAACTCTAATGCTAAAATAAATACACAGGATAGATCTTCCCATCCAGCTGTTTCCAACATCCCTGCTGGGATAAAAGTTAAGGACTAGTAATCCTACTCAGTGTTGCTCTGGCATTAATGACACAGTCCATGGTGGTGGTAAAATTATGGCTTTTTTGTGTATTTGGCTTATTTTCTCTCTATATGATGTTCCCCATCACGCAAAGGTGTTACTGAAAAAAGAGATCACCCTGTTTAATTTTTGTAACTTTCCTCCGTTCAAAATACTGAACAAAAGCAGCAAAGGGCTGCTTTCTTATGGTATAGTACGTGAAAGTCTGGAGCTCAGAATAAATGCACTATCCAATTTTCATCTGGCAGAGAAAGAGGAAGTAAATCCAAGAGCCCACAAACTATGTCACTCACTTGTATATGGCAGTGGTTGGAACCGATAGGCTAGTCCTGAACCAAGGCAAAATTATGACAGTATTAAAAATGAGCAGATTAGAAATGTGACGTATAACTAGCTAAACAAATAAATTGCACACTGTACCATTTATACAGTTACTAAGTATGATGCCAGTGTGTCTCTTCTGCAGTCCCATTGTCTCCAGGAAAGGCTATCTACACTTCTTGGAGCCCCACACAAATGGCTGGGTGAAGCGCTACGTGGTGGTGAGGCGCCCCTACGTCTACATATACAACAGTGACAAGGACTCTGTCGAGAGGGCTGTCCTCAATCTCTCATCAGCTCAGGTGGAATACAGCGAGGACCAGCAGGCGATGCTGAAAGTAAGGATAAGTGCTGGGTTGGCACAGTGACAGGCTTCCAGCCACAGTGACCCGTAGCTTGTCAGAGCCTGGGCTACAGCAGAAGAAGAGACAGCAGTGGCCAAAAGACGGAAAGTCTCTAAAGTTCAGGAAGAGTAATGACAACAGACCAGGAGAATCTAAGTGGTTTAATTAGAGCTTTTTCTAAACAGGCTACATCCAGCCCAACCATTGGTTCCTCACTGCTTTGCTTGAGAGGATACCAAACGTGAAGATTCAGACACCATCTTCTGCAGTGCACAATACTGCAACTAATCAGTGTAGACACTTGTTACTAAATTGCTTGGAAGCCACTCCTAACATATGTGAAATGCGACATTTTGCCGCAGTTGTGTTTCCTCCATAGACAACAGTCTGCAGTCACAAATGGTTCAGTGAACCTAAAACACAACTGACTTGCTCTTCACACTCTTTGGCATGGACACCCAGTCCATCCTTGGCCCTGACACCTGGCTTGAGGTCAGTGCCTCCTCTTTGAGTATGCAGACCCTCCTTCCTTTCCCCATGGCATTTAGGGGCTCTGCTGTGAGGCAATCCTGAGAAACATCTGCAAGGAGAAGGGATCTAAAAGCCTCCAGATTCTCCCTCTCCTGCCCTAAGAGTATTTTTAGGAAAAAAGAGGAACTGGGAGATCAAGATGCATCTGTAGATAGACCATATAGACATTCTGTACCAGTGATAGTAGCCAACCCTTGAGGAATAAAGACACCAGGGTGAAGACGGTGGGACTAATCCTGTTCTGATTATGGTAACAATTACAAAATGACATGACATGCAAATATTTACATGTCTGAAAACCGTGTCACTGTGAATTGCTGAGGCGTCATTACCACATTGCTAAACAGGGGTCATCTAGTTTAACCTTTGATATTTTCACTCATATTCTATTGCACATCTTCTGTATTCTGCTCCTCTATAACTGGGCCTCACGTGCAGTATTTTCTGTTTTAGACCCCTAACACATTTGCAGTGTGCACTGAGCACCGTGGGATCCTGCTGCAGGCAAGCAATGACAAGGATATGCATGATTGGCTGTATGCATTTAACCCTCTCCTCGCTGGATCAATAAGGTAATGGAATATCTTAATAGACAGCCCTCTGAAATGAAAGCATTATTCTGTATTAGAACAGCTTCTGACTTTCATGCTCCAAAGGACACAGAGTTAAGACTGCCAGTTCAGTTCAGAAGCCTGTTCTCTCACTCTCTCCCTTCCTTCCTCTCTCTGTGTTGAAGTTAGGCTAGGAATCTAAAGAATAGTTCCTCAATTTTGTTTATTTTCTCATCTACTTTTCTTCTTTCTTGGCTTTTCCAACAGATCCAAATTGTCTAGACGGAGAACAGCCCAGACAAGAATTTAAAGAGCTGCCTGTCTCATTAAAGTGAATTAATGGGTGCTGTTTGCAGATCCCCATCTTAAATTTGGAACTCTCCTGTCATTCATCTCCCTAGATGCCTGTGCCACAGAGCTGATCCATCTCTATTTACAGCTTCCTTGGCCAAACTCATTTCTATTGTAACTTTAAAAGCCTGGTGCACCCTGAAATTCTTGTGCAAATGTGATCTTCCACCCATCTCTTTATTGGGTGACATATGACCACTAACAAAGCAAGAGCTTTTTTTTAATTTAATTTTTAAAGCAATTGTTCAGTTAAGACAGGGATTTTCAGAAGAGCGAACATTAGAAATCATGTCACTTAAAAAGGAGATACAAGTGTGTGCTGATAGTTCATAACTTATTGACATTTTAAAAATTACTTGATAGAACAAAGAAGAGTAGTTTGAGATTATATTTATAAAGTATTTAATTCTATTTACTTCACTGAAAATTGTACATTCTGTTTATCACGTGGTGTTCTTTTTTCCTCCACATACCTGTGCACATACATGATGCTGCATCTTAAAGGAAAAGATGTGGAAGTGAGCCAGTGTGGTGATCATTAGCCATTTTGTGAGAGTATCTTTCTTTTCTTTCAGACACTTCTAGCTGCAGTTGGGGGTGGTCATTTTGAGCAGAATAATGGTTGGTGCAGAAAGGGTTAAGCAACACCTGTCCCAACCCCTTACTCCCAGGAGCAGCATCCTAAGGCTGTTTTTCATAAATAAACATGTCTTTCAGCTGAATGTACGTAACAGTCATCTACATGTAACACTGAGACTGACTTTCACTTTTAAGTCAATAAGGATGTTGCATTGGAGGTAAACATATGATGTTGCCAATAAAGGAATGCTGGAGTTGTGGGCTTTAATCTCTTTTCCCAATGGCTAATATTCATGGGAAAGGAGGCAGAAATCAGACTGCTTTTTGCCAGTCCTGTCATAGGCAGTATTCAGGCTAGGCCCCTTTGACACACCACCATATTCCACAAAGCAATTGGAACAGTAATGGTTACACTATCTGTTGCATTTTCCAAGGTGCAAAGTATGAATAATCCCAAAGCTTAGGAAAATACAATATTTGCCTGACAGAAGTGCAATTTCAGGGGAAGATGGCTGGACTTCCCATAACAAATGAGACTCTACCATATGTCTGTCACATAGAACTGATTGTCTGGGAAAGCCCTTTGTAAGTTTTTTCCCCATAAAAAGTGGGCTTGAAATAGATGAGGGTATAGCAAAAATTATAGGACCATAGCATAGGGATGGAAGGGTATGACATAAAATGGGTCCTTCCTTCCATGTTGTATCAGAGGATGCTTTTAAAACTCTGCTTCTCATCTGCACTTCACTGCGTTCTTTTTTGGAAGTATTCAAATGAGAAGTAAAATGACAGAATCATAAAGTTTACAAGTGCTAAGTTTACTTAATCACTAAGTAAAGTTGATTCTGCCATCAGATTTTTAGAATATCTTTAACTGCAAAGAAATTGTTTGGAACTCTCCTCAGATTTTAAAAATTGGGTATCTCTGTAAATTCAACCTTCTGAAAACCCACAAGGATTGCCACAGAAGTTCTTGGGTTTATATTGTCACTCACTGAGAATAGATCTTAGCTTGCACAGCACATTTTGGTTGCGTCTTACTTTCCAATCTTTTCTCTTATATTTGGTCCCCTGTAAGATGCCCAGATAAGATAGTATATGCAGTGATTTTTGTTTGGAATTTCATTTCTTTGTGGTGTTGGGGAAATATGGGCAAAAAGGTGAGAACCTGGTAAGTCCTTTTCTATAGATTCAGTGAGCTGGCCAAAGTGCTTCAGGTGCATCTAATCTTCAGGTATCTCTGGAAGAAGGGTGGCCAGAGTAACCATGATGCCTTCTAAAAGAAAGGTTTTGAATCCACTTTCCTTCCTGCTTTCAGTTCACTTGACCAGAGGACAGAGTGTAATTTATCAGTATTTTACTTCATTCTTTGCTATCTAGTTGTTTCTTAATCATTCTTTTACAATGTCATGGAATTTCTTCTTTTCCCCAGAAAACTTCATTCTGCCTTACAGTTCTAATGGGCACCAGAGACTGGATGGACTAGTTCTTCCCTTGGCCACACCTTTTACAGGTCCTAACCTATGCACTGGTGTTGTAGGATTAGCTGCTCATTAAGAATTACTTTTAAACCCATTTCCAGTTCAACAAATGAAATATTACATCTTGGGATAGTGCTTACCTGTCCAGATCTAACTGTGAAATATGTGCTGTTCAACTGTATATGCACAAAGAATACGACAATGCAGCCCACTCAAGTTGAATCTGCAGGAAACTGTTTATCTTAACCCCCATGTTTATTTTTCCTTCTTCAAAAGAGGAAGATGCTATTAAAAACAAACCAACAAATAAACAGCCTTGGTTTGAATTAAAAAAACAGCCCAAGGTTGCTTCCAGACAAGGTGTTTCAGCCCCACGGGTTGAGTTGCTGTGCTCCATTCCCTCTCCTTTAACTGGAAGTCTATACAGTGCAGCCCTCCTGTAACTCTCCTGTGTTTCCTCAGTGCTGTTTCCATCCTTTTTCTTACAGCAGAAAATTCCACCTTGAGGGAAGGGATGGAATTATTTTTGCAGGCGTAGACAGCAGAATGTGCAACTGAGCAAGGGCAGGAAGAATGTGGGGGATTCTCCACCCTGGGGAATGTGGATGATATGTGGGAGATTCTCCACCCTTCTCTATTGCTTGCCATGAATGTCCACTTTGTGCCCTTAAATATTAGTTTTTCTCTTCACTTAATCCCTGTAAATCAGTTGCTTGTATTCTTCTAAAGAATACATACCTATCAACTTGGTGGATCTAAAGCAGCTCTGCTTCTGGTTCTTGGCCTCCCTATGAACAGCCCTTTAACAGCTAATGCAAATTAGCTATTTAACTGATTATTCAGTGATACCAGTTTTTTTTAAACAGTTGTATCTGAGTTCAATTCTGGTCAAACAGAACTGTGCAAGTATTATTGAGTATGAAAATAAAAGTTCAAACTTGCAAGTTTTCTCCCTGCCTGGCTCTGATAACAAAAGTGAACCAAGCACAGAGAAAGGTGCAACTAAAACAAGGTATGTTGGTAGGGGAGGGCAGCATTAAAATTAATGTCCTATCCCCTCTTTACATACAGTGTTCTGTTTTGAAATAAGAACAGCAGCGCTACTCTGATCTAGCACATGCAACTGTATTATGGAAGAGAAGGAATTGTCCTTTCTCAAAGCCTACACAGCTATAATACATTCCACTGGTGGAGAAGGAACATAGCTGGATGTAGGCATAGAAAAGATGTTGTACCTCTAGGAAGCATCCTGAGTTTATTATTAGTATTTATTTTATTTCAGTACTGCCCCACAGCTGAAGCTCTACACCTAAAGATCCAGACATCTTTCAAAAAGCCATCCCTATTCTGTTTCTTACTCTCTTAACTGTGTCTGATCCACCTGAGCTGAAATGAAGAAGTCCATTTCCATCAGTAAGGAGTAGGTAGATGCACTGAGCATAGTATTTTCATAACATAATTTAGAACCAGACAACAAATAGCTGCACTGAATCTTTAGTTTTCTGAAATATGCTGCCTATAGTCAACTTGAAGAAAACATTTGAACTTGTCAGGCTTTTTTTTTTTTTAAGCAAAGTTTACGGTGTAATCCTATACATGTATAGTTGCAGGCAAGTCTGAGAGTGTTTAATGTGTCTTACCTCTAGGTGAGTGTGCTAAAGACTGCAGACTTAATATCACCATTCTTGTCCACAGTAGTCTTTGCTTTCCTCCACTGAGTACAAGAAGGCTTCCAGAGGCTGATAAAGTTTACAGGGGGAACATTTGTATCTCTTGAAAACCATGCACAGTAGACAGCTTCATATATCAAGTGGTACAGAAATGTAATAAATATTGTGGAATCACCACATCAGGAATTAAAATATGTTACACACATCTGAAAGAGTTAGAAATTTCTTTGTGGTAATGAATGAAGATGTCATGTCAGTATCCTTTCTTGTCCACATCTGTTTTAGATTAAACCATCGGGGAGACAAAAGTGTGACTACTTGCATTGCAAGTAAGGAAGAAATGCTTGGAAAGATTGTATAATGGGAGAGGAATATGAGACATGGCACAGGTCAGCCAACCTGAAGAGCATGTCCTAGATAGTATGAATTTTGGGTTAGAACCTGGACTCTCTCTATTCCATGTTTCTCAGGCCAGCAAACCTGCAGAAAACATATCTTAATTTAGGGATCAAAGGCTTAACCCAAAACCTTTGAAAATCAGTGGAAAGTTTTGAATCAGGACTTAAATCATAATGAGTGAAAATTTGACAGTGGTTTATTTAACAAGTATGCAGCAAGTGACAGTCTCCGGCTAGTACTGATATTTCCAAGCTTGTCTTAATATGGTGGGGAGGGCAATTAAGAGATCCACTGTATTGATATTACTTTATTAACTCTGCATAACCTTTGGTCCTGCTGAGATTACTGCTTCATTCATTGCCAAAATATCAAACTACAAGGAAGAATCTTCAGTGATTATGATTCTTGCTATTAAGATTTTTAAAAATAAGCTTTGCAAACCATTCAGTTTCAGTAATATTAAGCCTTTATCAGAAAAAAAATCAGTTTGTTTCTGAATTCATATTTTGGGACATCTAGTAGATAAGGGAGCCTATTAAACTGAACATAAAATACCAATGGGGCAAACTTCCATCTCTGCTTGATTTAACATGATCATAGCATTGTATCAATCCCAGGATAGAGGATAAAATATCATAGAAGAAAACTGTGATCTCATTTTATGTCATACTTGTATGCTTTCACAGAGAATATTGGCTGAAGACTGATTTTTAGTAACAGCAAGTGGCACAGTTGGTTTGATTACATAAAACTTTTTCACGTTCCAATGCAGTAATAGGGAATAACAAAGAATCTATCCAACAGAGGAGATGTTGTCTGTATCATCCTCCACTAGAAAGATGGCAGATCTTATCCCAGCATGAAGTAATCTTGAAAATGGTCACAATGCAACAGGCAAGCAGGGAAACAGGTGAAAGAAGCACAATTAGCTAAGAACTGTGGAACTAGGAGGAGATGGGTTATCTCTATGGTAACAAGCAACTGCGACAACACAAGACATTAACTGTTTAATATGCTCTTACTGTCTCTTTCCGTCGTGTATTTAATGATCTGTATGAAAGATCTCTGTCATTCATGAGCTATGACTCAATATCAAGATCTTACTGTATAATAACAGAGGTTGTGGTTACTTTTTAATTTTTTATTAATCTTATTTTGCCTGTGCTTCCATGATCTAGTTTGTCCATATCAGTTCTTCCCGTGACATCATCCCCAAGTACTGGGAGACCATTTCTCTTGCTTTGTATATATGTGATTGCTGTGGGCACACCCTTTACCACTGTATAAATAACAATACTAAAGTAATGAGTCTAGTTTTCTTGATGTCTTAAATTATGAGTGTTGGAAATTAGGGTCTTAAAATTGTGTACACTTAAGGCATTGTTCAGTTAAAAATAAATGTGGCATTTATGCAAATACTGGATGGCTGTGTCCTTGAACTTTTTGCTTACCTTCTCAATCCAATGCTGTCTTGTTAAAGAAAGTATTCATTCATTATCTCTTCTAAAACTAGAAACAAACACACCTGAAAGGTATTTTTTTCCAGTCCATAAGAGCCAGCTTTCTTTAACAACTCAGATATACTTTTTAGAAATGTTTTGAGATGCCAACTAGTGCCTATACGCTACAAACAACAGACCCAGTGCACAAAAGGAGCCCTACAACATTTAATCCAAGTATGCACATTTTAACCACAGAGTGTTCCAAAAGTTGTAAGAGCAATATCCCACACTTTAATCTTATTTTAAAGATGTCCAATCTCCAGCATGGCTTGCAACAGATCAACACAATACAAGAATCAATTACAAAGCAACGAAGACAGCTAAAATTGCCATTAATCCAGCATTAATGTTTAAAAACTTGAACAAAAATTTTACTTGGCACCTATACCAATGTGGTCACCAGGCAGTCGCTTGGAGAAGGTATTCCATACTCAGGGGACCATGTCTGGCGAACACTGGATGTACTCCCAGCTTTCAAAGGTGAGAGCATCCAGAGCAGAATCTTAACTGCCAACCTTAATATACAGGCAGAAGGGAAAAGGCATTATGTAGTGGCAGACTGTTCAACATTGCATCACCTCTTCTGTGTAATGCCCTAGTTACAGCTGAGCACATATGCTTTATAACTGTGAAGTCCTTACTGCTAGAGAAAACTACATTATAACAAAGCCTACCATAGTTTATGAAAAGGTAGCTTAAGCATAAAATAATGTTGCAGTACTTTCTAGAGAACAGAGGAACTATCTAAAATATAGGAATTGGCCATTCTCATCTTTTAGCTATGTTAACTACACTAGCATTTGATTGGCAAATTGTAACTGCCAGCACAGGAAATGGTAAATTTCATAAACAGTAAACAGTCTTTGATACAGATGTGATTCTCCATCTACATGTATACACATGAGATTATTAATTAAGGGTGGATGACCTGTTGGGAATGGGAGATAAAGATGCATCTTGATTTAACATTCCAACAAACACACACAGACAGAAAGAGATGAACACCACCTGAACTGACAGCACTAGCCATCTGTTCAGCAGTGTACTGATGGATTCGGGAACTGGAGACTGCGCCCAGATTGTCCTCAGTTGACTGGGCTTATAAGTAACGGTTTTGCCAGCATGTACTCTGATAGTCATGATCTTCCTAACTATACTTAAGTCTGGAAGAAGAAGCAGCCCTTGTCATGAAAGTACACTTCTGGAGATGAGACAGAGCCAAATCTTCCCTGGAATGATACTCTCCTTCCCTAAGACCTCCATTTTTCATGGCAGCAGAGGAACACCCAGGAGTTAGGTACCTTCTATTTGGTCCCCGTGTGTCTTGTCAGCCAACCTCACTGCTTCTCTTTGCTTCTCCAGCTCAGCTACACTTGCTTCAAAGGAATAAAGTTGTTTCCTGAGAGCCAGAAGCACATTTCTACCTGCACACACCCATGATTTCTGTCCAGTTGGCAGACAATCATGTGCCACTCAGTGCAACACACTGGAAAACCTTCACACCCCTGATGGATTTCTACCTTCATAACTGGGTTTAACTGGTATTATTTGGTTTGTTCGCCTGGAAAATGCAGGGGAAGCTGGTTTTTTTTTGTTTTTAATATTCATTATACTGGGAGAGAGCAGTAGATTTAATTGTTACTTTACAATTTACATCTCCTTACTAGGAAAACAAAGGGTAGAGTTACCTGGCTTGGCCGCCTCAGCCTGTTGCTGAACTCACCCAGTTACTTAACTCACTTTAGGGGCTGAATTACTTCATCACTGAAGCTCCTCATGCTCAGAGAGCTGGTTATATTGCAAGCCTGCCTTCTTGCATAGCTCTAGATAGGTTGGCTCAACTACTGAAGGGTCTCATTTGAAAAGCAAGGGAGGCTGCTATGCCTGAACCCCTGTCCTGCCCTGGCTTTCAGAGACGGGGAATGTACACTCATTTTAATTGTCCCCTGGGAATGGAGATGTTCTATTCAGTGGAAAGCACAATAGTGAATAATAGGTCATTGGAGGAGAAAACTTTTTAGTGGCTATCCTACAGAGACAAAAAGAACTATTACAAAGGCTAGTGCAAAGAAAGAGAACTACAAAACAGACAAAACAAGAGACTTCTTCCAGAAAATCCAAGAACTCAAAGGGAGATTCAAACCTAGGTTAGGTATGCTGGAAGACTAACACATTAGCTACATTCAAACATGTCAACAAGCCACAGTGGAAATCATCATGATACGCTCTTTTGTGTTTTCTGAATCCTGTCAGGGTCTACCATTGGCTCCATGTGGCTCCATGAAGAGAAACTTGTACAGTTTCAATGCCTCAGCATGGCTTGTTTGGTTGTGTGAAACCAGAAGCATGGTTTCCACATGGATAACACAGAGTCTAGTGGCAAGAGTGGCTGCTACCGGAGGAAAGGCTCCTGTCTACATCCTCCACTATCCAGAGCTGCTTAGCAATTGATGTGTCAAGCAATAGCCACACTCTGGCTGCTTCATAGTCACTCCCACCTTTGACTTCTTCTTGCTCTCCAGATGCCCACCTGCAGTTTTGGAATGCCACTGGCAGTGAGGTAGCTCACATCACCACCTCCAACAGTGTCCTTGAAGACAGCTGTATTTAGTGCTCCTACCACTCACAAACTGTTCTGCTGCTGCTTTTCTGGAAGAAGCATCTCTCTGCTTTGCAAAGTGGCCCTTACATGAGAGAGTACACGGGCTACACAGAGTGATCACCCCCAGAAGCCCATGTCGCCTGCTCTGGCTCCCACCCTTCCTTCCATTTCCATCTTGTCCTTGGCATTCCTCAGCAAGGCTTATTGACAATCCTATCGCCTCCCTGTCCTTTGAACTCAGCAACGCCACCGCTGCCAGGCATGAGGCGCAGGAGATTCACATAATTACCCAGCGGATCTGGGAGAACTCCCCCGAAAGTTCCACCAGTAGAGCCTCCATTCTGACATGGGCACCAGCCTACTTCCCAGCAGTAGCCACATTAAAGTACTTCTCAGGGTTTCCTCCCCATCCTACACAGAGATGTAGGGGCAGTGGTTGGAGTCATTACACAGGTATTTCCCTCCCCCACAGTACCATTCAGAGAGCCTAGAGCATTGTTGTAAGTGTAATGTACTGGCCTTTTTGTCTTGCTATATTGGGTGTTGTGAAAGCTCAGCCTTAATTGGGCTCATTACTTTCCATGCCTTTTCCTTTGTCTTCCCGTTTTCCTCCTTGCCAGCAGCTGCTGCTGTTCTGACCATGTTGTTTCATGAAATTACAATTTAACTTGTTTTAATTCTTCATGGACATCTTATCTTTTGAAGACATAACATAGTTATGCACATAGATATGTCCATACAGTCTGTACTGATTCCCTCAATGTACCTACTGCTAAAGTGAGGAGGTACCCATGGCAGCATGTACAAGTCCTGAGCACAGGGAAGCCTTGCAAGATCTGCAGCAAGGAAAGAGCAGGGAAGAGCAGTAAGTATGAGTGGGTATACTTTTATGTTTGCACAGAGCATGGCAATACAGGGGGTGGAAGTCTGAAGCAACAGTGCTACTTTAATGAGCTGGGTTTTAACAGCAAAAACACTCCAGGAACAACTGGCTGAAGATGCAGCTAAAGGAGTATGTGGGTCAATGAGAGGGAAGCAGGCAAAGTAGCCAGGAGCAGTGCAGCCTGGAATGAACTTTCAGCCATGAAGAAACAGAATGGTTTCCAATAGGTAAAGGCATCAGAGAAGAGTGGATGCTAGCGCCCTATTGGTTCAGGACTATTTGTAGGGTGTTCATTCAAATTAATACCACAAGTGAGAGCCTCTTGACAATGGTACTACCAGAGATCCTTCTTTATAACTGGAGATACTAGGGAATGGAACTAGGACCTTCTACTTCAAAACACAAGCTCAACACAGAGCTATGAACCATCATCTTAATATTTTAAAAATTAAAGGAATCACAAGCAATTCCACTGCCAGAACAAGACACCAGTCCTTACAGCCAGTGGCATCTACAAATAGGGATGGTGACCAAGGTCTTTTCTTCCTCTTTTTTAACCACTGCAAACTAGCGTAGCCAATGCGAAAACACAGGGGAAGGGACCAGTAAGGGGAAAGGACCTTACTGGATCCTGTTGTTACAACCACCTAGTCAGATGAGGTGGGTGTTGTTTTTTAACTTGTTCTTGGTTCCTTCCATGAAACATAATACAACCTAGCTGCAGCTGCTGGCCCTTTCATGTTGTTAGACTGACATAGTGACTTAAAGTACTTCTGTGCACAAATTTTAGCCATTACAATTTGAATTATGATTATCACATTCCACTATATTATTCAATCACAATAAAAGATATATCATTTATGCCTAATATTTCTCATAAGAAACGTGGTTTATCATACTGATGTAACGGATTTGAAAATTTATTTATTTATTTAAAGCTTTTATAGACCATCCATCTTGGGATGGTTTGCAACAAGCAACAGATAAAATGGCAAATAAAATGGCACAGCATCCAATAATTCAATAATATAAAACCACATTAAACCCGATTAAACTTTAAAATAATGCGAAAACAAAAGGGGTTTGTTGGCGCTGAAAAGAAAAAAAACATTGGCACCAGGCGAATCTCTCTGGGAAGCGTTTTCCATAATTGGGGCACCACCGCAGAGAAGGCCCTCATCCGGGTAACCACCCTCCTAATCTCTTTCAAAACAAACGACTTCAAGGAAAAAACGCGTAGAGTGGGAGCATTACAGTAACATAGACCACTCTTTCCCTTTCAGAAATGTAACCCGCTGCCAAGTTCGCACCTTTTACACAACACTTAAACTCCCTCGCCCGCCCTTTTCTCCCATTTTGTCCCACGCACGTCGCCCCTTTCTATTACGCGCAAGCTCCTGAGGCACCGCCCTCCGGAAGCGGCCGGGGAGGGGCGCAGGACACAATATGCGCCACCGGCACATTCGTGCGAAGTACGAGAGCCGCGTTAGGCCCCGCTAGGCAGGAGCTCTCTCCGCCCCCTTAGGGATGAGAATGACGGGGACGGGAATGGAATAACATGAGCTGTTAGACAGCTCTAGCCCCGCCCCGCCCTCCAGGGCAACTGACCTATCAAAAGCTCATGTTTTCCCTCCATCTTACCATAGAGATGGAAGGTTGCTCTGGGAACGCCCTTTACGAAGCATTGGTTGGATGTATGACCCAAGTGACGCCATTTCGAGGGCAAAGAGCAACCAATGAGAGTAGGGCTCGGTTCCGCCTTACAGGAATGATTGGCAGCTGGGTCGGCCTTTGCGAGAGGAGGTGGGGGAAGCGGCGCAGGCTGGCCGCCGCCGCCGCCGCCGCCGCCGCCGCGTTTAAGCCTGGATGGACCTGTTCGGGGACCTTCCGGAGCCGGCACCTCCGGCAGCTGTAGTCGCAGGTGAGCTTGCGCTGTTTCCTAAAGCCCTGCAGCCGCCATCCGGCTGGAGTAAAGGAGCCTTGCTCTGCCGACTTTGCTCTCCCGCAGATGGAAGAGCCGGCTCGGAGCTTAGCCCTCCTCCATCCCGGGAGCCTTAAGTTCTCCGCGTAGAAGGGGACCCGCGTGCGCTCAGACACGCATGCGTGACCCTGTCCCCCCTCCCCGCAGAAGAAAAACACTCGCGGGTCCAACTAGCTGCAGGGGTGTTGTGCGTGCGGCTGTTTTTTATTTTTTATTTTCACTAGTTTAATGCCCAGGGTTAGCTCCGATTTGCCCGACACGGCGGAACACGCATGCGCTTGTGAACCCACGCACGCGGATGCACGCGCCGCATATTGACATTCAGGTGCGCGCGCGGTGCGAACCGCGTCATTTGCGTTGCGCGCAGAAAAGAAAAGACAGCTGCGGCGGCGGCTCCTTTAGTAGGAAGCAGTCGCCCGAACTCCGTGAACCAGTAGTTAACTTTTGCTAGTGTGGCGGTGCTGCAGAGTGCGGACCGAAGCACACAGTTAGTTCGGGGCAAACGCTTATCCATGTAAAGACAGAAAAAAGGTTATTTATTTATTTATTTATTTATTTATTAAAACATTTCTATGTCGCCCCTTGCCGAAGTTTCCAGCGTGCATACATCTTTTTGCCTAAAAATTACACCCTTGGACACAGTAGGACCAGCTTTAGAATTGCCTCCCCACCCACTCCAAAAAAAAAAAATCTGTGTGACCACTTAACTTTCTCTTCTGAAATGTTTTTCAGAGAGAGAAGGGCAGCAAGGATCTTTGCTTTCTGAGGATCTACCACCAGCCAGCAGCACTGATCTGGGTATGATTTTTGTCTACAGCCTTTTATTAACCACCATAGGAGAGAAGGGGAATTGGTTTGGTCTCGTGAGTGTGCATGTGTGTCTGTATGTGGTGGAGGTATGTAAACTGCGCCCTCTGGTTTGCTTGTACTTCTGCCTTATTTCAAACACTTGCTCATGGCCCCATATTCCACTTCTGCTGGTTTTTCAGAACAAATGCAGAACAGCTTCTCTCCTACCTTTGTATGGCATTTTTCCAAACCACATTTTTTTTTTCTTCTGGCTTTATTTTCCTCCAAATAGATAAGCCCTCCCTTTAGGGGTAGGCCTTTACTCCTGGGCTGACTATAGTTTGTTTGTTTGTTTATTTATTTATTTAGGGAACTTCTATGCTGCCCCATTCGCCGAAGCCTTGGGGTGGCTCACAACCATAAATAAATAGAATCCTATAAAACAATATAAATTAAGTCGCCCTGGCCAAAGAATAAAATAAATAAATATTAACAATTAAAATAACATTTGAATAAAAAGTTCTTCACCTGGCGCCGAAAAACAAATAACGACGGTGCCAGGTGGACCTCTCTGGGGAACTATGCAAAGTTCCTGTTCTTAACTTTTTTGGGGAGCAATCATTTGGACTGAGGTCAGAGGGAGATAACACACTGCATTCATTTAACTTACCATTTAATTTTAATGCACTAATGTCACATTAATAGAATATTTTATGCCGTGTGTGTGTGTATGCATCATGGTCCTTAGGCACAGAATGGTGTGAAACAACTCCAGTTACTCAAAAGTAACTCTCAACATCTGGGAATTTCTATCAAAACAAGCATAGGCTGTTGCCATTACTGATTTTTCCCATTTATGTACTAAATTCAGTTGAATCATCTGAACAGGCACAATTTAGGCACTAGTTTCTTTTGGCAGAGCAGTATTTTAAAGATTTCATATTCTCTGTTAAGCTGTCTCAGAGCCTTACTTGCTGTGGGACCTGGATTATAGACATGTGTTCTCTCATATTTTAGGGGCAGGGGGTTCTTTGCTTTTTGACGATCTCCCACCTGCCAGCAGTGGATATTCTGGTGAGTAGCTGTCTTGATGTTTATATTTTGGCATTGATCATACTGGCACCTACTTGAGAATTCAGCATGTTTGAATCTCATAAGTGCTCGTTAATCTTAGGACTGCAGCACATGCTGACAGATTTACATATTCAGTCCCCAAATTAATGCTTTGAGGGAAAGTGAAATGACCATTGAAAACTGCAGCCCCTTTCTTTACGAGCTCTTATTCTTGGGTATTCTACTAATAGCTACTACTTTGGCATTTTTTATTGTGAAGAAGAGACTGTTCCAGTCTCAACATCATCATCCCAGCAGTCAAGAGTCATGTCCATGGGTGGATAATCCAGTACCCTTCAGGTGTTTTAGATGACAGCATAATCCCTGGCAATTGGCCATGCTGGCTCAGGTTTATATATAGGTTAGCAGGTTACCTACCCCTGTATAGTCCATACAGCAGCTTCATTTTACCCCTCTGATTTGGTTTTGTGACCACAGTGCAAACATAATCCAGAACTGCCCTGCTCTTTCTTTGAATGAGTGAATGCTTTCCCCTCTGTTCACAGATTCTTTAGTCTGTGAAAGTTGTCAGGTGGGGAGTACTTTTCACAGCTAATGAAAACTTTCGTGAAAAACACCCCCACTTCCTTTTGGCAGAGCCTGGGTTAGTTGTACAATCAAACCCAGTTGGGTTTAAGCTTGCTTAGTTGCTAGGTTGTGCTGTAGTCCTGAGATTTACAAGAGTTCTTGATGCTGCATGGGCTACCACTATATTAGATGTATTATTGCATAAATTGTGCTTCTAGAACTTAATGTATGCCCCTTTTTTCTTTATTTGAAATGATGCAAAAAAGAGGACTTTTCAAAATTAGAGTGACAATCAGGTTTCTTATCTTAAGCCATAACTCCTACAGTTTGGAAGCATTGTTGATTAAATTCACCCCGGCTGGCATTAGGTTTGATGATGCTGATGTGAAATTTGTACATACCTGTAAAATGTATAGGCTCGGAGAACTTGATTATCTGTGTGTTGGTAACAGAAGGAAAAAATGTACTATGAGAGTTCTTCTCCTGACAGTGCTAGATAAGCTGAGATATTTTACTTACTGCAGAAGTCATTTTCTAAATTCAATTTATTCAAAGTTTTTTTCATGTTTAATATGAAATACATCAATTAGATATAACTGAAGTCACTGATAATATATATGGCTTCTATAAGGGTTGTGCAACAAAAGTCATCTTATGCTTTATTATTACACATTTTCACTGATTTCAAGTAAAGACCTGTGATTTCAATGGGGCATATTCCTAAGCAAGAGCTAAATTATTCATTGCATGCATACAGAGAACCCTGATGTCCTCTTCCCTTTGGAAAGCAGCATGAACAGAGGATGGCTTAGTGGAGATACTGTGGGCAGGGAATAGGTTAACCCATGCTGCAGTAGTTTGTCCATTTCAAATTCACTCTTTTCAAAGCTTCTTTTCCTTAATTTAGTAAAACAGGCTCATTTTGTTGGCATAGATTTGAGGAGTTAGTCTTTCCATGTCTATAGACTGAAGTCTTATGTTACAGGGAGCCTAAAGGTTTAACTTCAACCTAATCTTACAATAATTGGCATGAAGAAGGATTTGGGTTTAAAATAGGTGGTAGGGCATAGTATTAGCTGCAGGAGTTTTAGTGTCATGTTGTGGCACTGCAATTGAAAAAGAACAAGTCATTGCAATGTGAGAGAACAGAAGGAGACCCCTAATAACAGACAGTGTTTTGTTTTCCAGCTTCACATCCCACAGATCAGGTTTCCCTCCCGGTGAGCCATGGAAAGGGAGAGAAGAGGAAGTCCACTGAGGGAGAGAAGAATGGGAGTGAAGAACTTGTGGAAAAGAAAGTTTGTAAAGGTTTTCAGACAGTCTGAAGCCAAGTATTTTTCTCTTTTAGGTCAAAGGTGAAATTGTTTTCTCAGGAGAGTCCTGCTGATGGTCATTTTAGGAATGGGAGTGTCCATGGGTAGAGTGTTCCTTTCCGAATGCCCCATCTCTCTAAACTTGGGGCTGCTTCCTGCTTAAGGGCACTACCAAAAGTCGTCTTGTACCTCAGTCACTGTGATGCCTTGTCATATTTGAAACCTAACATTTCTCTAAAGAGCTTAGGGCTATTTTTATGGGAGTCATATCCTTTTCTTATCATGAAAGCCATGTAAGGTACTGATTTTGGGTTGCCTTAAACTTAGGGGTGTCTTCAGTGGTTTACAATAACTAACATGCACAATTCAGAAGAAAAGACAGTGGCATGTTTCTATTGCCTGACAAACTGAATGGGAGTTTGAGTGCAGGCCCGTCTGTTCTTTGCCCCCCTCTACCTCACAGACTTCCTTTTTGATGCCTCAGGTGTGTATTTCTATGTTGTTGGACAGGTTGTGTGTTACCCATTCTCCCACCAGATTGTATGTTGCCCAACTGACTTCCCCCCCTTAAGCATGACATGCTTATATGGGAGGCTTCTTAGCCAATCTGAGCCAGCTAGAATGTGGAAGACACAACACTGTATTTCCTGCCTAAATTGTGATGTGAGGACAGTAAGCTGGTCTTAATCACAGTGCAGTCATAACAATCTCTGGAGTACACCATTTTAACATGCCTTCTCTGGTGAACTTATGCAGTGTACCATTGTGGAGGTGAACATAGTACTATCATGAGCTTTGGGAGGTAAGTATATTTAGTGGTGGGTTCTAACTCTGTTGAAGAGATTTTTATAACTCTGCATTCTGTTTACCTCTTCACATACTTCTGTGTGCCTATGTCAGAGGAAGATGTCGCAGTCAGTTTTTTATTTTGTTAGCATTGCTATAGTATTCCAACTGGTGTGCTCTGTTATATATTTTTTTAGCAACTTCTGAGGTTGCTGCCACACAAATACACCTTCAACCACAGTTGTCATATGTGAACTGCTTAAAATTTAAATACCTTCAGCTGGTGGCCAAGAGTTGTTCAGAATGCTGCTTTCTTACTTTTACTGGGTTACCATTTTGTTTCTATGCAAAGAGAGACCTTGAGCATTGAATCCTGAATGTATCTTTGCTTTGTTTCTCCTTAGATTCAGCAGGTATTCTTGGTCTGAAGGGTTATGTGGCAGAGAGAAAGGGTGAGCGTGAAGAAATGCAGGATGCCCATGTTGTTCTCAATGATATCACAGAGGAGTGCAGCCCCCTCCCTTCTCAGGTGTAAGTCCTACACTTCTATATACTTTCCCTGACTCACATGCACGTGTTCCCTTGTGCCAGGATGGCATTTATTGCTTTATGTTGAAAATTATTCTGAAGGTGATTTTCAGTTGTTTTGATTTCTGGAAATGACCCATGGCCAACATGGATTTTTTCCCTATGCAGTGCTATATTTATAATGTCAGTCCTGGCCCTTGTGAATTCAGCTTGGATTTGTTCCTCTTGCATTGAATGAGGACTTTTTTTTATTTTCTTTGACCTCCCCCCCTCAGAAAAAAAAACCCAAAACATTGTTCCTCCCAGATATTGCTGTTTTGAGTAAGCACAATAAAAATTGAAACTAAAGCATCTGGAAAAGCACATTAGAAACAAGCTTTTTACTCTTCTTAATGGACAAGAAATGGTTCCATCTCTGTTAAAATGTCTACCAGTGTCAAGTAGACAGAGTCTAGTAACTGAGTAATATTCTTTTAAAAAGTATTCCATTGATAACTTGAGATGCAGTTTATTTGGGAAAGAGGTTATCCTAGGATTTTAACAGGAAATCAGCAGCTAGTTTTGGTCTAGCTTATCCTTTCATTAGCTTGGTTTTCAAATGTTGATTCTGTGAGCTGTTTCTCACTTCAGATTCTGAAATGGAACCTACTTCTCACTTGGAAGATAAATTTTGAACCCGTATGTTGCATTGCTTTATATTTACGATATGCATGCATATTTTCTTCACATTTTGTGTGGTATTGATATAGTTGACACTCCCATACAACATCCTGAATTGCCAGCTCAGATGTTGGTGAAATCAAAGCCAAGTGGTGCTACCTTTGTACATAGGCTGAGCCTTTCCATAGCTAATCTGTCAAGGGAACTTAGAAGACATGTATGCTTTGGCATGCTGAGGCTATGACTCTCTTACAGGTGAGGGTTGAGGAAAATCTTTCTTTGCAAGACCATTTGGGAAGATGCATTTGAAGCTGTATCAGATGAAGGAGGGTTGTGCGCTCTGTACCTCTACTGGTCTTAGCACAGTGTCAAGCACTCAGTGTCTTGGCTGCTTCCAGAATGTACGCACTTCATCAATGTTCATCTTCCTTTACAGTACACGTGTCTCATACTTTGCTGTCTTTGATGGCCATGGAGGAGTTAGAGCTTCAACCTATGCAGCACAGAATCTTCATCAAAACCTGATCAGAAAATTTCCTAAGGGTAAGAGATGGGAGAGGGAAGTGTTGTAATGTGCAGTCTTATTCCTTGAGGTCTTGCCTGCTGCCAGCTCACTGAGATCACAATCTCAAAGTGGAATATTCAATAAAACACAAATATCAACATACAAATATTAACTAGGAAACCAGGGGAGAACAGGAGTACAGATGAATAATAGTGTGCGAGATGCAGCAACATGGATTCATTCATATCTCTTAGTGAACAAATTGTTATGTAGTTGGTATTAAAATCTGGGCAAAATTTGATGCTGGTCACATAGGAGAGTAGAGGATTATCCACAGTCACAAGTCCTGTATTCTAAACACCCTCACTTGGGTTGCTGCATACCAAATTCCAGGCAAATGCAGCACCAGCAAGAGGGCAGTCCAATTACATCTTAAGAACTTGGCAGCTATGTAAGGAGGAAGGTGCTCCAACTGGTCCTAAACTGAACAGGTCTTTTTCTGTTTGTTCCTTAGTTAGTTTTTTTTTTTTTTTTTTTTGTCGGCACAAGCCCATTGAACTTGAATAGAAGTGAAGTATATTGCTACACAAGTGAGAAGCAATGATGTACCAGCATGGGAGAGCCAGCATGGTGTAGTGGTTAAAAGCATGTGACTGGGACTCAGACAACCTGGGTTCTAGTCCCCACTCAGCCATGGAGCCAACTGGGTGACTTTGGGCCAGTCACAGACTCTCAGCCCAACCTACCTCACAGGGTTGTTGTTGTGGGGATAAGATGGAGGAGGAGAATGATGTAAACTGTCTTGAGCCCTTTGTAGGAAAAAGGCAGGGTATAAATCAAAAAATAAATAAAAAATAAAATGAAACTAGTAAACATTGGTTGAAGGATAGATTCAGTAAGAACTGAGAGTCAGCCATTAGACTGAATTTTGGAGCTATCAATATCACAATTGTATGTGCTGAGAGCAAAATTTGACAATGTGGCTTTAGTACCAAATATGCAAGGCTTACTGTTGAGCAAGTTGGAAAAATGGCTGATTGCTCTTTGGGGGTTTGTATTACAGGAGAAGTGCCCAGTGTGGAGAAAGCGATAAGGAGGTGCCTTCTGGACACCTTCAAACACACAGATGAGGAATTTCTCAAGCAGGCTTCCAGTCAGTAAGTGTGACCATGCCAAGTACATACTCGTAGATCTCATGCTTTCCTAAGAGATATTTGGGGCTGGATCACTCCGCAAGTGTGCTGCGGAAGGCACATCTTTGAATACTACTACTGTGCCAAACAGTTCATGCACATGTAAAGGTGTCATGTCAGGAAGTGTTCTAAGCCAACCCTTTACCTAACTTGCCATGTAGCTTTCTATTGGCAGGCAGGCAGGCAGTCATGTGTGTGTGTGTGTGTGTATTTCTGGGCAGGTGTCTGGTTTTTATGCGCCAAGTCAGAGCTGGGCTTTCTACCCCCATAATTGTATAGCTGAAATATTGAATAATTTGAAACCTGTATCAAAAATGGTTTTGCCTCACCTTTTTGCCCCCAATTTCTGATGCCTGCAGGAAACCTGCCTGGAAGGATGGCTCCACGGCAACCTGTGTGCTGGTGGTTGACAACACTCTGTTTATTGCCAACCTTGGAGACAGCAGGGTAAGCAGTCCTGGATGTTGTGCATTCACCTTGGTTTTGCATGCCAGAGGGTATCTTTACCAGTTCCCCGGAGAGGCACAGTAGCAGGTTTATTTGTACCTATAGCCCAGTCAGCTTCTTCAAGTACTGTGTCATTCGGTGAAAATGTGCTTTGCAGCTCCTGTGAGCAACTTTGGATTTTTGTGGTGAACTCTAGATGGTGCTGTTAGCCCAGGGGTGGTGTCTCCCATTAAGTTATTTAAGATTCTTTTAACTTGAGCTAACTTCAAGAAATGGCTGGTGCAGACTCTATCTATATGTGAAGCTGGATATACACAATGGACTATGCTTCTTAGAACTTGTTTAGGGATTTTTTTTAGGGAGAGCTGTGTCTCTAGTACCCTGATCTAGATACTTTAAACTTGCAATCCTTGTTCACTTGGGCTCTCCTGTCAGTGCAGGCGCTTCTGTGTCGTTATAATGAAGAGACTCAGAAACATACAGCCTTAAGCCTCAGCAAAGAACATAACCCAACTCAGTATGATGAGCGAATGAGGATCCAAAAGGCTGGTGGCAATGTCAGGTAACAAATGGGCAAAGCACAGAAGAGAGGGAAGGGGACAGGTCTTGGGTTCCATTTTTGGAGGGCCTGAATGCCCCAGTTCAGACTTGGGAGGGTGATTTCTCATATGATGGATCTGTTCATCTGTTGCGAGGCAGGTACCTGCTAATTGTATGTATGTCATGGTGCAGCTAGATAATTTTAGATTCTGGATCGAATATAGGGACCCCCTTTTAGACAGCCATGTTTATTACTTCAGTTGCGAAGGTCACATCTCTCCTCTTTTCTCATCATGCTTCAGAGCTTGTGACAGTTGAGAACCAAAAGCCAACCCTAGTTAAAATAAGAAAGAAATACTCAGAGCATATGCAGATTTTTATTTAAAACTTACTTAGAACATGACACCATAAAGGTATCAAGATAGCGGAAGCATTTTATTGTTATTAATGGGTATTTGGGAATAAGCACCATTTTGTTGTGGGAGGAAATAAACTTTTTATTGTGAAAAATAAAAATAATACAGGGAGCATCTGCAGCCATGTACATGCCTGGTTTCCCAGCCCTTAATTAAGGAAGTGTTTTTTAAAAAATAATGAGAAGATGCTGCTGTGACCTGTAGCAGCCCTGTCAGTCCCAGCATGCCTATGTTTCCCCTTGTTCTGAGTCTGTCCCCATTATCTGTCTGTCGATGCTAAGTGGTCATTTGGGGGCACACATGGTCTGTGGGGCCCTGGACTTTGGCCCAAAGGTCCAGTTATATTTGTATTACCAATATAAAGTGGGTTAAAAAAACACACCAGAAGGCCTAATTTCAAATATGGCTTTGCTTGAACATAGCAAGGCAGTAATTGTTGGCAGGTTTGTGTTTTTCTGGCCATGAAGAGGTATTGGTACCATAAAGTATGTGTGTGGACATAAACACATTCATTCATTCATTTATAACTTTTGTGGACCATCCCATTACCGAAATCTCAGGATAGTTTAACAATACAAAATGTAAAAAAAATTAAAATACAGCGTCCTCAAATTCATCTAATAATAAAACCCCAATTAAAACCATCAGGTCTTAAAACATTGGGAAAATAAAACACATAGAAAGCATTTCATGTAGCTTTTTGGACAAACCCGCTCTAAATGTTGAGTGGAATAGCTTTAACACAACCTGACTAAAAGCCAGATATCGTTTATTCTTGATGAGACACTAATTCTTGCTTTTCACCAAAGTTGTGAATTATCTTTCCCCAGCCTAGTGTTCTCCCAGTGTGTTGCACAACACATTGACCATGCTTCTGGCTGGGGATTATGAGAACTACAAGGCATCTGCCAGGCACACGGCTGGGAGGTCTGGAGTGAGCCACGCTGCTCTTGATCTCATTACATGCCAGACAAGGCCAGAGATACTTCAGTGCCATCAACACCAAGCCTCCATGCAGTTTAGGACACTTCCTTCTAATTGAGTAAAGCAATGGTACATCTAGCCGATGGTTGATTTGTGAAAGGATATACCTGTTCAGCGCTTGAGCAGGGGTCGTGCCCAAGCCTGCTGCTGGAGATCGACAGGACAAGCGTTTTGGCGTCATCTCTGTGCCAGAGTGCTTATCATCCTCAATGATTGCCTGTACGAGCTAGGGATCATCCCTAGTGTCAGATTCCCACATGCTGTTGAACTACTAGTTGAAGAACCACTGCACAGCATTAGGGATTTTAACCTTCTGACATACTGAATTGCCTTCTCTCCTTAGGGAAGGGCGTGTGCTGGGTGTCCTGGAGGTCTCTCGCTCCATTGGGGATGGACAGTACAAGCGTTTTGGAGTCATCTCTGTGCCAGATGTCAAACGCTGCCAACTTACACACAATGACAGGTAAAACTGAGCCAAACCTGGAAATGAGGCAAATACTAGTGGTTTCTTTTCAGGAGTGGCTTCAAACAAGCAAGCACCAAATTCTAGAAACTTTCATTTTACGTTTTTTGGATAAAATGTATTGCCAATTGCCCTTCCAGGTTTATCCTGTTGGCTTGCGATGGTCTCTTCAAGGTCTTCTCACCAGACGAAGCGGTGAACTTCATTGTGTCTTGCTTAGAGGTGAGAGGAAGCTCAGTCTGTCCAGATACACGATATTGGCATGTTTCCAAGGCAAGGCATGTGGAGAAGGAGCCGCACTTAAATCTGCATTCCGTCTGCTTGGGGAGATAACATGTTGTCTTTCTACTTTGTCATATTCCTGCTGTTTAGCAGTTTACCACCTCCTTTAAAATCATAAGGATTCTTTGCTATGTGTTGACATTTACACTTAAGCTTATTCATTGGAGCAAATAGTTATTGAAAGTGAGGCTGCTCACCTTTCTGCTCTTCTCCACTTGCTGCCACATTGACAGTATTGTCATTAACAGGTTCAAAGCCTCAGAGCCAGTCCTGATCAACCCCTTTCCTGCCTAGAAGCACAAAAGTGGCAGAACTTTCAACCTCCATAGCCCAGCCCTGTGTTAAATGGTATTAATAATGAGCTGTTCTGTCTCCCCTCTAAAAGATAAGGGGTAGTTGCTATTTCAGGCTAGAAACAGGAACAGAAGAAGGCACATTGCTCTGCCTTTATTATGGAGGTGATGGGGTCTTGTGATTTGTTTAAAAATGCTTTAGGTAATTCTGCTGGTTGCTTACTGCAAGCTGGAGTTGGTTACTCTGGGAATTATGAAGATTAAGGGTAAGGGTTAGGCATTTGTATTATCGCAGTAAAATAAGTGAAGAAAGATTACTCTGCCTTGTTTGTGTGTTCCGTTTCTCAACAGGACAAAACTATTCCTACAAGAGATGCCAAGTCAGCTGCTGATGCTAGATATGAAGCAGCCTGTAACAGGTTGGCTAACAAAGCAGTACAGCGAGGCTCAGCAGATAATGTCACTGTGGTGGTGGTCCGGATCGAACAGTGATGGGAAGAATATGTGCAAGGGAGGTCCTTAGCAGCATGCAGTGGAGTTAATAGAACAAGTTAGTGTGGTTGTACGTTTGTGTGTGTATGTATGTAAAGTTTTGTTCATTTTCCCCTTTAATTGCTCTTATTTGTAAATAAAGCATTTTTTCTAAAGGGTTTTGTTCAGATCAGATCATTGTTTTATAGAATCGGAGCTAGATGAGCCATCTAGCATGCTCATTGAGCAAATTTATTAGACTGGGCTAAAATCACATTTAGCAAATATTTGTGGCACTCTCATTTCCAAAGCATCTTGTGCTTCGGATTTCAGTACCCCAAGTACAAAATAAATGTGTTTTATCTTGGTTACCAAAGGCATATGCATTTCAATTACAACGGGTTTTAAAGCACATGGGGGCATCTTCCCTGATCCTAATCAGTCATTAAGTATATTCTGAAGAAAAGCTGCCATTTACATGTGTCCATCTTTCATAACTGCTATAGGTATATGAGTTTATGAATGTATAGGCATTATTCTCTAGTATATGAATCAAAGCATAAGATTACCTGGAAGGAGCAGCTCCACCAATCACCCTTGGCGGAAAAAATGATGGCAGAGAACTCAACTGAGGGTTGTCAGGTTTGTGATACTATGAGTAAAAAATCTGAACAGAACATGACTGAATTGAACCATTGATCCAAAAGTATGTTGCTTTGGCTATCTGCAAACTTACTCTGAACTAATTCCCTAGGGTTGAGTTCTGGTTCAGGCTGAATGTGTGCTGTCTTTTGAACTAAGTATGAATTATTCAGCTAACATGCAGTGGTGACTCAAAGTCCATTGGACTGTGAAAAGAGTTCAAGTCTAGAAACATGGACTAGGTGATCCTTACATTTGGTACATTCTTCATATGTGGAAGTAAGTGAGGCTGCCTTCTGAGTAGCATTGTTACTATAACTGTAACATTGAGTTGAATCTTGATTTATGCTTAGATAAAATATTGCTGTTTAAGTAAGCCTTAAGTTATGACCCCAGTATTTCAAAAAACTAAAAGGATGCAAGTCTGGATCCAAACCATTATGCATATGTAAATATACTCTCTCCTCAGTATTCAATAATCTGAACTGTACCAGGAGTTAATTTCTATCTTGGCTGAGAAAGATGAACCAGGACTGAGCATAAAAACAAATGAGAGTTCTGGTGCCATTTGGCTGGTCATGCCAATAATTGTATAAAAAGTTTGGGGAGAGAATACAGAAGTGATGCTAATTCATCTAGAGCAGACGGAACGGTTGTACAGAGACTTGGGCCTTATGAAAATGCTTCAAAGTTCAAAAGCCAATGCAGTTTGAGATACTGGCTCTGAGTTTGTTTACAGCAGTTACCTCTGCAGACAGTTTTAAGAAAGAATCCTGAATTTTAAAAAGCAGGTGTGGCCTTTACTAAAAAGGGATCAGCCGGGAATGTTTTGGGAAGCATACATGGAGAGAACAAGAACCATGTTAGATCGCCCTGTGTGCCTCTTACCTTTAAATAATCTACCCTTTCTTGCTTGAAGGTCAAAAGGTGATTATCAAGAGCTGCCTTGCTAAAGAGGATAAAAACCTAGTATGGACCTTAGCTTCGATTTTTCAATTCAAATATCAAGCTTATAATTTTATATAGGTACCAGTGCACTCAGTTGTAGTCACTACATAGTCAATGAGTCCAGCAATAGGGTATCCTTACTAAACACATATCTGATGTCAGATGGTAGTGGGGGTTTTTTCCATTTATTAATCTGGATTTGGGTGAGCAGAGAAGATTTAAGACACATTCATGCACTACTGGGTAATGCATCACTCTTGGGCAATGGCTTCTACTGATTCTTGCTTTCTTTCATTTATATGCCGTCCTGTTGCAAAGGTCTCAGGATGGCTTACATAAGCCATATCAAATTGCATCATTAACAAAGTGAAAATATTCATTCTCTCAAACGTTTACACCTTTTGAGAGGGTCTTAGGGCTGGTTTACAAATGCATGCATGTGGCTTGAGATCACTGCACTGCATCATTGGTGCTTGAATAGTTACAGACACTGCGGAAAAGCCATGGGTGCATTGCTATTTGAAGCTTTTCAATCAAGTGACAAACACAAACCTTGGATTTTGAGTTCAGTGGTTAACTAGTTATCTTATGTTTCAAGAGACCTGTTTTGAACATTGCACAATAATTGCTGTAGGGTTGGAATTGTGTGAACTAGAGAATCATCTTTTTATTAAAGCATTTTAAATCAATCCTTCTATTGTAATTAAAACAGACTTAGGAGCTACAGAAACCCATAAAATGAAGGGTATATAGAAATCTGAGAATGTGGGCAGGACCAGTAACTTCAAAACGAAGTAGCAATCCCATGACTAACTACCATTTACACCAAAGGTGTGCTATACGGGGACCTTTCATCTGCATTGCAAGTCTATTTTAAAAAGTCCATTCCATTCCAAGTAAATAAGACATAACAGCAAATGCATAAATATATATTCCTTAATATAGTACAATAAATAGAGCTCTTCATAAAATATTTCATGGCACATGTGTGTACACACATTTGTGTGTAAGGATTATAAAAGAGTGGCAGTATGAAGGCTGGTGCTGATCATGCTGCAGGGGAGGACTCCACCTTGGCCTTATCAGCCGCAATGGCACTTCCAGAGCCGGAAGGGTGGGTGCACCACTTACTGAGAACTTGTAATTTGTAAAACATATACAGGCAATAGTTTAATATATTTGGCTGATTAGCACCCTTTAGGGTTCTAAAAATGAGAAGAAAGTAGATCTTCAGATGTTTGGGACTTCAACAACCAGAAGCCCCTGTCAGCCTGGCCAGTGGTCATACATGCAGGGAGTTGAAGTTCCAAACATCTAATGATCTGTTTTCTGCAATTTGCTTTAGAACAAGAGTAGGGAACCTTCTATATGTTGTTTGACTAAAACTCGCAACATACTGCCCAGTAGTGCTACATGCATTCTAACTTTTCAGAAACTGTCTTCCCTTGTTCCTTATGTTGTAAAGAATAATGAACGGAAGCCTTTAAAAGGTATTTTTAAAGGTGCTTGTTAAGTCAAACAAGTAAGTGGCAAGTATCTTGTCAGGCATGATAGCTTTTAAACACGGATAAGACTTAAAGATACAAGTCTTATAAATGCATTTGGTAGCAACGCAGTCCCTGGAAGGCATGTTTACATGATTTCCCCCCCTGATCTCAAATGGAATCAATTTAAAAATCATGAAAAGTTAGACCAAGGCTGTAAAAACAAATCATCTTCAAGCTGATTTGGTGCCGGTGCTCCACTGGACGTCCCTCTTGTATCAACATTCCCCAGGATACTTTACTGAAAGTTTTTTAGATGGCTTGTAGGGAGTGATACAGCAGCTGGGGAGACCTGTTACACAAGTATCTTCTTGGGCTAGAAGAGATAAGGGTGTGTTCTTCCCCCCTGCCATCTCTAGAAATTTTTAAAAAATACACAGGAACAGGTCAAATGCCTGCCTACGTGCCAGGCTGGCTGAAGCAGTAGAGGGTGGTGGTGTGCTATGTTAAATTTCTTGGATATCGTGCTGCAGTTCTAGCAGCCCCAGAGAAATAAAAACAATTACTAAGAAAGGGAAGCCCCCCTTCTTTTCCTCTGTCATATCACCAGTGCATGCCTGAGCACGTAACTTTATAAGCAACCTCTGATAAAGAAGCATTTTGTAGGTTTAAAATGAGGGCTATATTCTACCTCTGTTGATGAGCTTTCTGCCATCTGGGTAATGTGGTAGGAGGGACTTTAAGGCAATTGTGATGGGTAGGCTAGCAATGCACTTAACAACCCAGTGCCTCCAAGCCTGATCCAGAGCGGCAAATCAGAAATAGCAATCTATCCAGTGTTGTTTGGCGGCTACCATCAGCACAAAGCAATAAAGAAATTTTATTTCTAGTTTTAGGAAGTGACCAGACATGTGGAGAATCCTGCACAAAAGGAAAATCTATACACAAAAGGACAGTCTATATGTATGTGCGCACATGCCCATTGTCCTTAGAGAAATACTGTGAATAAGGTAACAAATGTCTGCAAACAATATAATCCTTTGCAAGCCTATTTTGCAACTATACTCCTAGAAATGAACTAGGGCTAAGAATCTCCACTGAAAATAGACTGTGAAACTGAAGTATCAAACAGCAGATACTTAGTAAAGGAGGATTTTCTAGTTTAACTGCATCAGCCCTATATAAATGTCTTTTAGAATTCTACTCAGTATTTTTTACTTAGTTTTAGCATGTGCTGTGCCAGTTTTCCTGAACTGGAATCCTCACCTTCATATGCTTAACCAGTGAAGAGCAACATGGGTTTGCTTGCGTTGCACAAACGGGAACGGTGTTTCCTTCTAGTGTTTGGAACACCATGTATTTCATTGACAGGAATAAGCTTAGCTTAGGGCTGATGTAAGGCAGGGCTTCAGCATAGCGTCAGGTGGCCATGGGCCAGTCAGGTGCCCAGGAGTACTGCTCTGAAGTCCGAACCTCTTCGTACAGTGAGGGAGGATCCTGTTGCATTGTCTACAAATACCGAAGCATACTGGCCAGCCTGGAACAAAGAAGCAAAAGGTGAGTGAGGAAACTGAACAAGATAAATTTCTTCTCTCAAGGGCAGGAGGCCAGCTACTGTTGAAAAAAAGCCATGCTCTTGGAGTAGGGAAGGCAGTATCAGATCTGGTCTTTGGCATTAACTGAAAACACCTGGTCCCTACATCACTTTTTATAATTTTCCACGCTTAACCCTTCGTAAATTGGCTGATCATGTATTTACACAAAAGATCTGCAGTCTCTTGATGGCTATAAAAAGTTGCCTGCTTTCAGCATCTGTCAGATTCTGGAGAGAAAATCATGACTAGATGGTCAGATTTGTGCCATGAAGTTGGCCTCTGCTTTCCATATAGTGTAAAACTGGTCCTGCATCTGTCTAAATAGGAAGTTTTCTCCACAGTCCTCAATGTTGAATACTCCTGGCTTTCCAAATTGGATGCTAACCATTGATAGTACTCACATAATTTACTTTTTTTTTTTTTTTAAGATGCAGTACTCACCTGCAGGAAGAGAATTCCACTGACTGAAATAGTGAAATGTTCACTGTTTTTGTCCAAACCACTCACTGTTTCCAGAGACCTGAAAGCAAGAAATATCAATATTGATACTAAACAGATACCAGAAAAAGATATCCCTTATTACTCTGTTAAGGACTCAATCCTTTGCAAATTCAGACAGTAAAAAGGTCAGCAATTCTCTGCAGCGCTGGCAGCATTATGCGGAGAGTTGTAGGCTTATTTTCCTATCTCCTAACTTTCAAAGGATTGTGCCCTAAAGTAACCCATGTCACTTTGTTCCCAGGAGCTACATCAGTGTTCCTTTCTTACAGCCTTCTTTATAAGTTTAAGCTGCATGTTGCCCTGTGTAGGTCACTTCCAAATAAGAAAATTATTGATTAGCTATGGTGGAAGACATCATTTAAGGGTGAAAAGATAAGCAATCATATGTATATCACTGCAGCTTATCACTAAGTGCCCTATATAAAAAGGGACATAGGCTGGGTCAGTCTACAACAGAATTGAGTGGGGGTTGTAATTATTGTTTTCCCAGTCTACACTACTGGCAAATATACTTACGAGTTGCGACGGCAGAGTGACTGGACACAAATCAGCAAACGCAGCCGATCTCTGACACGGGGCTGGTTCCTCTTTGGATATTCTTTAGGAACTACAATAGGCAAGAGCTAATTAGGCTGAATTGCAGACAAGCTCCAGCTGTTAAAAGACGCTTCAGCTTCAGCTGTTAGATGCCTCCTGCTTTAGGGTACATTTTGTATTGTTAAATCATCCTGAGATTTTGGTAAGGGACAGTCTAGAAAAGTTTTAAATCAGTAAATAAGTCTATGCATATTTAGATAGAATAAACCCGCAGCATGTCCCAGCCAGCCATGCTGGGATTAAAGGCCTTTTTTCTGTTTAAACCTACTTACTACTCCAGTGCTTAAAAGCCTCAATCAAGTTTCAAAGCTACATTTCAAAGCTTCCTGGGCTTTCTGTTACTATTTTGCTGCCACCAAAAACTCTCAACAGACATTAAAGGTCCACTTAAATAAACTGGGAAGCACATCCTAACCCTAATAAAGTACAGGCTAACCAAGTGACATGTATTCTATGAAGCTTCCCATGAGTCTTATAATCTTCCCCTGCCAAATTTCTCCTTGAGTCTTGGGATTCCATATTACCCCAAATCCTTACCAGAGCAGAACTGATAATGCTAGACAGCAGTTCTTCTAGATCCTTATTTCGGGAGTATACAGAATTAACTTTCCCATTTTTCTTAAATGGATCATTTAGTAAACCGGAACCAGCCACCTCTTCATTGCCTAGCATTTCTATGTTGTTGAAGATCCCAACTCAGAATACTTTTTAAAGCTGAGTACTTACTGATATGCAGTGTGGCAGTGAAGATGTAATATCCACTGAGGGGTGCTTTGTACTGACCATTGTTAAGGTTTAGTCCTAAGCCACGGTGGAACATCTCCTCCTTTTTAGGCTAATACAAAACAAACAAAAAGAATCATGTTGAGTGGGAGAAAATAATTCCAGTTTTCACTGTCATGCATGGGAGGAGAAGTCTATAAAGTGGTTCTTCACATAACATGGCTGTGGTCCCACGAATTACATCCCTACTACTCTGAGACTTCTGAGTTTCATATTCTTTCCTAGGCTGAAACCCACAAGGCAGGAGGAATGGTGGAGGCAATCTTCACCTCCCACTCTCCATCCTTGGTTTTGACTAAATGGACTTTCAGCAATGGCCCTTTGGAGAGTTGGGTAAGGAGGCTGCAAAAAAGTCAGAGTTTGTATTAAGCATTCTTTATATTTTTTCAGGGACTGCAGGTGGCGCAGTGGTTTAAACCACTGTGCTGCTAGGCTGGTTGATCAAAAAGGTCACCGGTTCGAATCTGCACAATGGAGTGAGTTCCCATTGCTCGGTCCCAGCTCCTGCCAACCTTGCAGTTCGAAAGCATGCAAAAGCAAGTAGATAAAAAGGTACCACTTCAGTGGGCAGGTGACAGCGTTCCTGCACTTTGGTGTTTAGTCATGCCAGCCACATGACCACGGAGACTGTCTGCGGACAAATGCTGGCTCCCTCGGCTAGGAAACGGAGATGAGCACTGCCCCCTAGAGTCAGGCATGACCGGACATAACGTAAAGGGGAAACCTTTACTATATTTTTTCAGAGGCTATTTACATTCTAGAAAACTAGCTTTTTAATTCAAAATCATAGCTTGGAGATGTAGTTGAAGAATATACTTCAATAGCTTAGAAAGCTGAAGGCAAGTTATCTGTAATTTATTAATGCTCATGGTTTAATGAAGTTGGCTAGGATTGTGGAACTCCTTCTAGCCCAAGGGCTGAATTCCATTTTAGAGACACTGGTGGGATCCATATTCCAATGGAGGACTGGATGAAAGCAAAAGGGCACCCAAAATACTAAAAATAAAGCATAATTTTAGCTTCAAGGTCTTGCTGCCAACAGCTAAGCTGAGAAGTTGAATTTCAACATTTCAGAATGGGGGATAAACTGCAAAGCCAGGAAACTACTTACTGGCAAATGGGGGAAAGGGGTGTGGCTGGAATGCTGGAGGGCCAAGTTAGAGTACCAGGAGGGCCAGCTTTAGCCTACGGCTTGAGTACTCCCCTGCCCCTCACACACTGCTTTGGTAGTACTGAAGCCAATGCCATCTCTTTTCCTGAGGTTTGTAAGCAGATATTGGCCACTGCAAGAAAAATCACAGCAAAACAACCAGAGATCATTCTCTTTCCTCTTTTACTCACTATGTAATAAAGTTGAATCTCTTGCAATGATCGTCGTTCAATTGAAATGTTCTTCCGGGTTTGGCAGTGGAATGCCGCTTCTATTTGCCCTTGTTCCTGCCTTTCTAGCAGCGGCCTACTACTCTGGATGAGAAATTTCTCTTCTTGGTTTGTATCCTCTTCTTCCTGGCAGTTTCCACAGGCTTTCAGATTAATCTGCTCCCGTTCCCTGATTATTCCTGAGTGACCAAAAACATAAAACTGCCTGAGTGTGATAGGCCGAATCATGCTGTCCAGAAAAGGTCAAAACTTCACCTGCTTGTCTTCAACCACAGCAAGTGAAGTCAACAAACTTAACATGGTAGACTGTAACAAAGATGCAACCGTTAGTCATCCTAATATAGACAATTCTAAGCAAAGTGTCCATCTAGATTCTTTTGGACTGTCAAGGGTCAATTTAATGTGTTCACGTTTCTGAAGCAACAACAGATGAAGCATGGAAAGTACACTGGGCGCCTGATATCTCAGGCAGGCCCAATTGACTTGAGATGAGGAGAAAAGATAGCAGAATATTTGGCCCTGCCTTGCACCAGCACCAAACCAAAAAGTGCTAGAGGAAGGAAGTCCCTCTCTGTACCTGATTTAAAAATACTGTTCTCCATTCCTATTTTGCTAGCCCCCAGCAGGCTGATAAATGGTTTTACAGCAATATAAACTGGGTTTCTAAGGCTGCTATCTAGGGTTCTCATGCTACATCTCCTCAGCTGCTGCTTGGTGGTGGTGGAGTGTGACTATGCCATGTTTATAAAACAGTATATTCCAACCTAGGTGCTATCTCAGGTGTGTCTGACTGCAACTCACAGCAAACAGCCATGCTGACTGGGAATGATGAGAATTGCATCCCCAAGACGTCTGGAAGGGCACTGGGTTGGGACAGATTGCTGTCATCCAGGCAGTGCGCCATTATCAGAGACTGCAGGGTTGATGAGTGCTGTGCAGCTGTATAATGCAATACTGCACAAATGTTTTCAAGTGGGAGTAAGTTACTAAATCTTTGGAACTCACTTGTAAACTAATACGATTTTTATAGGCTCAATTTCTTCCTCCACTGAAAATGAGGACCACAATGAGGACCATCTCATTGCACACCCTACCCAGAATGTCCTATGATCACAGTCCTATGCATGTTTAAGTAGAAAAAAAGACAACTCCCAGCATTCCTATGAGTTTTTCATCTTTTTCTGTCTGAGCATGCAGAGGATTGCACCCCTTAATGATGTTTAGAGAGATCTTAAGAAAAAATTGTTTTTTGCTTTAAGAAGATCTTGATTCTGTCAGTAGGACTGAAGAACCCTAGAACCATAGTCCAGAACCCAGAAGGCAACCATTACACCAATAAAGCCACTATTATTCTGGGCCTGATTCATTATTCTATGCATATGGGTTTACTGGTGACACAGTGTACAAAGAAACCATTCCGTACCTTTCAGTAACATTCTGAATTCCTTCAGCACCTCCTCTTGAGTGATAAGGGCTCCAGGAGGTCCTGGAATGCCAAACTAGAAAGCAAATACAGGAGGTTTTAGACACATATCCCAACACATACCCATTATCTGCTAGCTGTGGCCAACTCTCCATCTCTATGGTTCCAAAATATGGACCTAAAGGACTCCTGCAATCTCTGCAGAACAGGAAGCAGAACCAATCCAAACATTTTGCTGCCTGAGGCCAAAAACAATGTAACCCCCCCCCCATCCTGCCAATTCCACATCCAACAGGTGAGTGGACTGGCTCAGTTCTGCCAATGCGACCGCATCCTCTGCTGGCTCTGACAGCAAATGGGCAACTTAGGAAGCTCTACGGCAGGCCATGCGGCAGCTGTGTGTTCTGTGCCCTTCAGCATCTGCTGCCTGAACAGAGTGCCTCACTTCCTCTAATGGGAAGGCTGACCCTGATGGGAAAGGGGGGAACAGCCATTGCTAGTGCATCATTTTTAGATTGCAAGGAGGACATAAGTTCACAATCCCCCACCTCAACCATTCTGAAATTAACTAGCATGCAGAGATTCTCAGATACGGGAGAGCATAATGACTAGGAAGTATGTGTCTTATTCATTTTGCAGATGATCTCTGCGTGAAAACAGTACTGTTAAAACTGTGGCATACATGGATTTAGGCAGATGCATTTATTGAGCCCCAAAAACAGGCTTTTCAATAGCGGCTTCAGGAGTGGAGGAATTTTAAGAGATGAGGACTGGTAAATGACAGGCCAAGGATGCCTAACCCTTTGCCTAGCTGCCATTTCTCTGCTCTAAATCACACAGCCCAGTGACTCCTCCCCAGGTTTCAAAAGTATGTGTGTAATGTGACCGTAACATGGTTAGCCACTAACATTATGAAATGGTAGAAATCCAGCTCCAGAGAAGCAAAGACTGCCAGAGAGAAGTAAAAAACATGTCATGTTTTCAAACTATGTGAAAGGCAGATAACTATAAATTTTTAAACACAGCAGACAACTCCCCTATAAATAGAAGTAGCCAAACGTATTCAAGGTTAATTTAAATTATATGTAATGTGGATTTAGATAGAATACCACTTGCATGTTTTCCTGATAACTCCACAAGTAAAAAGGCTGGAGAGATTTTTTTTTTTAAATGAATACAATTGAAGACCAAACTCTTGAAGCCTCCCTGTAGTTACAGCCCTGGTACAAAGTGGGCTTTCCTATATTGGGCAGTATAGAAATGTAACAAATAAAGCATTTTGATATTGGATTTTCCCCATTGTATATCCTAATTTGGTAAGGACAGAGTGCCAACAAGTTTCCTTCCCATTTATTCTATACAGCATTCTTCACCCCTCAGTTGTACTAAAAGGCATGAATACTAAAAGGCATTTCTTTTCTCTTTTGTTTGCAAGGTTTCTATGTCCCTGCTATAAACCCATCTGTGCTTCTTAAAGCACAGATGGTTTTAAATCAGGTAGGCAAACCATGCACTTTAAATCATTTTGCTTTAAGTAGAGACAAGCACCAACACTTTTTGTCAAAAGAGCCTTGCTTCCTAAGAGTCTCTCACCTAGACAAACTCTGAAAAATGTCTGCGCCGAGACATAATGCTCACCTTGAACTTTTGGGATTTGGCTTTGTTCTTGCTTCTGTTGTTCATCCCATTGTTGGATTGCTTCATAAGGAGCATCCAAGCATGCAACGAATCATTGCTGCGAATCCTGTTTGTAGGCGTTGCCTTTGTAAAATGAGAAGAAAAGTCAAAGATGAAAATAAAAATAAAGCAATACTAGAGGTGAAGTGCAGAAGATAAGACGGGGACAGATACAATAAAAGGTAAAACAGTGCTTCATAAAGCACTGGATTAGTTTTGTGGATTATCTTTGCTCAACATCTTCAAGAAGGTTGTAATAGCCATGTATCAAGCCTGATTTTTCTCTGGTCTGTATTATCTGCCTAGTTCATAGTGTACCATCATGCAGGTTTACAATCAATTTTCATAAGGATGATACACTGACTGGGTTTGCATGACATGACAACCAAGCATGGTTTGTCAACCACAGAGGGTAGTTTTGCCTTGCAAACCCAGAACAGATTGCTCTACCCTGGCTTGGAGTTGTGGTTGTGTGACTCATGATGGATTCTCATGTCATCTCAGCCTGGATGATACAACCTATTGTGGGTTAAGTCCAACTACAATCAAGCCACTTGGCAAAAGCAGTAAGACGATTTTGCCAAGTGGCTAGTGGGTAAGCTCTGTTTCCCTTCTGCATTTCACATTGTTGTGGTCCAACTGTTTCCCCCTCACTCCCTGATGTCCTTCCCAGTTCATGGCAGACAGCAGAGATCACTGCAGCTGGCTGTATAGCCGACTGAAGCAATCCCTGCTCTCTTGCAATGAAGTGTCCTTTCTAAATTGCAGCATTCTCCATATTGTGTAAACCATACAGGGATCCTTGTGGCTATTGTAATGGTCTATAAAACATAAATAAATAGAAATAGATAAATTCCCTTACTAAGTGAAGGGTAAGCATGTGGACATATTATAGCCACTATGGATGTTTCCAGTGAAGGCTATTACGGCACCATCACACTGCCTCTTTCACAGAATTCGGGGGGGGGGGATTGGGGGGGCATATATTGTCTTCAACTTGTAACACTGAAATGTTTTCCTTCTGCCTTTTCAATTACCACAGATTATTTTTTAAGAAAGAAAAGACAGAACAGCTGCAGTACTTACTCTTTGATAGCACTAGCAGCCCTCCACCTGAATGCATCCTAGGTCCAATCCACAATGAAATGGCAGCATGGATGTAAATGGTAGCAACGATGTATAGTACAACCCTATAAATGTTTAATCAGATATATGTCCTACTGAGCTCATTGGGATTTTTTCCCCCAGTAAGTGTATACAGGAACTTACAGGAGTGGACGATGGACTATGAATCCTTCCAGATAGAGGACTCCCAGTATTAACAATAAGAAGGCATTGGGCAGCTATTCTATTTTCTCTTAAAAGCAGCAGCAGTGGAAAAGCTTGGGAGGATGGGGAGAGCAGACAACATTGTCTGGACTCTCTATAAAATTCCATGAATGAGACAAAATGACTGCATGATGAAGCCTGTAGCATTTGAAATGGGACACACACACACATTCACACTTCCAAGGGCAAATGTTCCTGTATGCAACATCCAAAAGCTAAATCTACTACTTTGTTTTCTCTCCTTTTTAATCCCACTGTTGCAGAAGTAAATTCAAAGGGAAAGCGTCTATTATTACTAAGGCATGGGCAGAAGAAGCTCTAAATTAGTGATTTGAGAGTCGCATCTGTACTTACCAAGTCATTGGATGTTGGCAAGGACAGGCTGCCTGTTTCATTCCATTGGGATTTCTTCTCCTGGTTCCTTCTGCTTCCATGTTGCTCACGTTCCAAAGAGCCAGTACAAAAAGTCAGTGCTAGCAGTCCCATGGCCAATAATCGGAGTGGACAGCTGGAAAGGAGGGGCCCAGCCATCCTCTGGCACGCTGTCCTGCAGTTAGTTTCTATAGAGACAGATTCGCCGCAATAAGCATTGCCAGGAACTTTGCAGGAGCAGAAACTTTCAGCTGTGGTCCTTCAAAGAGGTCAATATTCTTGGGGGATTCTACACAAGAATTTTAACTGCAGGACAAAAATTGTTCAGTCTATCTTCAGCAACTATTTCTGTTTTTACCCACAACAGAGGGGTTTAAATTTAAAAGAGCAAAACAGGGAGGTTGATCTTCAGTTGAATGTTCAGCAGACCAGATCAAGGCCCTGGTGTTTTGTTTTCACTGAGTCAAAGGCAAGGAAAAGAGCAAGGCAGAAAGGATTTTGAAGAGATGGCTTCAGCAGTAGCCCCGTCACCTGTGAAATGTTAAAGCAAGGTGTGTATCCTCAGTACAAAACGCTGCATTCAGCCATCAAAGGGGTAGTTTCCTCTCTTGTTCCCGGATCTTCTGTTAAAGCTTAGCTAAAGCTCCATACCCAGACGGCAGAGACCTTCAATTCAGTGCTTTGGCACCTGGGAAGGGCCCTGGCCCATCCTCTTTTCACCTACACCCTCTCAGAAATCGCCTGCCTTAAGACACCACTATGTCCCTGCTCCTGACTGAATCTCTCTGCTGGCTTCCCTCCCTTTAATAAGCTTGAATTCCCCGCCTCACAGCAGTTGCCTCCCATTCTCATGGTCCTCTAGCGAGTTTAATTAGAGAGCCACCTGTTGGCATCAGCGGCAAACTGTACTTTGGCTGAGTTCACGTTTTAACTAAAAGCATAACAGACCCAGGTATGTATAGAGAAGGTCGCTCTCCTAGTTTAAACTGAAAGGCTCAGGCTGGAGAAAAAAGCAAAGTATGAATGGACCCGGAAAGGCTTTATTTCTTTCAAGTAGCAAGAGTGCCAGATGTGTGCTGGGAGAGAAGTAGATTAAGTGGTAGGACTCAGTACCTGAAGAGGTCTGTGAGATGGACCTACATATACATTTATACTCATCCATTCTGCTGTAGTGTAATGCTAACTTTGCTCTTTGCTGAAATTTCACTTTTGTGTGTTGATTTGTATTAATTCACTGATTTCTCCTTAGCTTAATATTAATCTCCAAGGCAGCATATGCCATTTTAAAATACAGATAACAAATAAAGGCAAACAACAATAAAAACAAGATTGCTATTAAAAAGTGTAATGAAACAACACCAACCATAACCCAAGAGAGCAAAATATCAGGAAAAGCAGCAACATACATCAGCAACACTGCATAGCTCTCTTTGAGACTGGAACGTTTTGATGGAAACATGTTTGGTGGAAACAGCACCCATGGCTTGGACCCTTATTAAATTATGCAAAGTTAAAATAAGTTGCTGGCTGGGAAATGCTGGGAGTTGTAGCACTTTTTCTGCTGAAAACTGCATAGGATGGTGCCTTTAAGGAAGTTATAAAAGGTTTCTCATCTTTTCCTCTCTATGCCCTCTAGCAGCTACCTGCAGTCTCCCCAAAGCCTCTTCATATGGTTAGTACCATCTCCTGTTAGACAGGAAAGGGAAACAGAGAATTAGCAAATCTCTTCAAATCAAGCAGGCTTTGCCCATGTTAAAAATTGATTTAGTTGGATTTATATCCCACCTTTTTCTATTTTAAAGAACTCCAAGTGGCTTGCTCAGTCATTTTCCTCCTGCTGCTCTCCATCTTAGCCCCACAACAACAACCCTGTGAGGTAGTTTGGAACGAGAGTCTGTGACTGACCCAAAGTCACCCAATTGGCTCCGTGAGTGAGCAGGGACTAGAACCCAGATCGCCTGAGTCCAAGTCCCATGCTCTTAACCACTATACTACACTGGCTCTCTTAACAAGCAGCATTCTGAGCAATTAGATGCTGGCCCTGGTCCTCCTCCAGAAAAGTTAGCAGAAGACATACAGGGTCCCCTGCCAAGCCCCCATGGGTCAGTTCCTGGAGGAACTGAAAGTATTTCCATAGACTGGACTTCTATGAGCCAAAGATTCTGCAGTTTGAGAGACAGGCAGAGGTGTGCAAAACCATGTGACATGTTCTCACAGAGTGGTCACATATTTTACTTTGCACAGCACAGTCCTCAGTTTAAATCAAAGGATGGTTCTCCATTTAAAGATGTTTAATTTAAAGATAAGGAACCACAAGAAAGAAGAGCAGTAAAGACCTCGCAGTTAGCATCTTGGCAATTGACTTAGCAGGAACACAAGTTACCGCATCAAAAGCACCCCTGATATAGTAGATGCATTCCTATCTAAATTATAGTAATGCTTTCTAAATTTGCATGTTGATAAGCAAATTACTGTACTGATTTTGTTGTCCTCTTTTGTTCTCTTTTTTGATGTGTAAGAAGTAAACCTAGAAGGTACTACCCTCAGTTTGTTCATCCCTGCTGCTATTTTCTAGCTAAAACAGGTATAAGCAGGCTTTAAATGCAAATCAGTCAGCCAAAAATATAAGGAACTTAAATAAGCTTAAATTAAAGGACTTGCAGAATGTAAAGGATACCAATCAATTCTCTCTCTCTATTTTGTTTTTTTCAAAATGGAGGGGGTGAGGCAGAAACAACAGTTTGTTGTGGTGGTTGGAATGTTGGACTGAGAAGTCAGGAGATCTGGGTTCTAGTCCCCACTCAACCATGAAGTTCCATGGGTGACTTTCGACCACTCACAGACTTTCAGCCCAACCTACCTCACAAGCTTGTTGTGAGGATTAAATGGAGCTGTATAAGGGTTCTTCACAAGAGGAAGGAAAGTACAATGTAAATACAATGTAATAATCATAATGTTTAACGTTTTCAGTAGTCCCAGATTAAGTATGGTTGACAGTGGTGCACCCAGGTCTGGACCCTGAGGCAAAGGTCCAGAACTTCACAGCCTTGGGGTCCCTCAAATAAGCACCTAGAGAGTGGCAAGCTGGCAGAAGCTATTTTATTTAATTGTAGTGATGCTGCTGCTGCTATGATTTAAATAAGTTTAAAATGCAAAACAGCACAGACACAGGAATGTTGTTGCTTTAAGTCAGGGCCTAAGTCAGACTATTACTTACTGTTGTTCTAAAATACCAGAAATATAGAAGCAATTGTAAGCATGTCCTGGCAGCTGGACTGGGAGAAAAAGATAAATGCCAGTAAGATAAATGTGAATACACATCACTCTCCTAACAGTCCCCCAATAATACTACTAAATCCAAGATTTAAGAGGTTTTCTACACGCGTGTGTTAATTTGTTGCATATCCTTTTAGTTTTGTTGCAGGACTGAGGTCTTAGCACTAAACAGGAGCGTTTTCTTTTAACAAATGAAATACTTGCTGTTTACAAACATAACCAAATTGGAAGATCATGACTAAGGAACCCCCAAACAACCATGAATAGGCAATGGCAAATGCACTATAAATGCCTAGAACCTCTAGAATTACCTTGCTGCACCACTGAGAACAAACCCTGGGAGAACATAGGATTCTTCCTGAACTTTTCTTCTGTCCCGCCAGCCTCACTTCAATGCACTACTCTCTCTGCCGTGTGCTAGTGGTATCCTTTGGATTCACCATGAAATTTTTTTTATGTATTTATACTTTTTAAAAATCTTCTCAGTAGAACCTTCAGGGCTGTTTATGAAAAGAAAATGCAATGCAAATATTCTGCTAGTGCAAGGGTGCCACAACACAAGAATAAATGCACCATTTTGTCAATGCTGGCTAGCAGTTGAGAGCTTATCAACATGATCCTAGCCCTTCCCAAGAGTAATTTGGGAATATGGTGGCCCTGTGTATCCGTCTATGTTCAGATCTCTGCTCATCCAAAATACTGACAATGGAAAAGCTGCTGTTTCTAAGCCAGTACTCCCCTATATCCGTAAGGATTATTGTATTACATTTTTATCCATTCTTCCAAGGGGCAGGACTTTATTTATTTAAAATATTTGTAAGCCACCTTTAAGGATAATCCTCCACTGATTTCTCTGTATACGCCTGGACATTTTGCTCCCCACAAAACCTCTCAGGTGTAGGTTACATAGAGAGAAAGTAACTGGGACTTAAGGCAGTCTAATACCATGTACTACACCACATGTATTGGTATATTTGTCTTAATGCTGCAGTACGCATTCTAAACTAAATTGTTAATACACAAGGCTATTTTGGCTGGGCAGTCACCCTTTTTGTCTTAGAATCAGACCTTAGAGACATGTTGGGAATCCTATGACTGAATACGCATGTACAACTGCAATGGAAAGCAGGTTTGTAGAGGAGCTGTCTTTCTCTCTCCTCGATGATGCTTGGGTGAAATCTAAGCTTCATTCTTGAGTTCTCATGTCATTGTCTTGGCCCACTATTCCTAGCGAAGTGATGCAAACAAGCTGTTCTCTCTCTCACTTTCCCTTGAAGGGGAGGACCATGCCGATGAAGTCATGGGAATGAAAACTCTATCTTTCCTTGAAAACAATGTAATGCAGAAGGGAAGTCAATGCATATGGTTTCCATAGTAACAGCAGTACTTAGCTTCCGTTGCCAGACTAGAAACCCAAGCCCTATCTAATCACGTTACTTGAGTTCTTTATTATGTGGTGGGAAGTGTCTGTCCCAGTAAGCTAGGAATGGGGATGCATGGCCCTCTAGCTGTTATTTGACTTCCACCCTATTCACCCTTCACCATTGGCTGCTCTGGCTAGGGTCAATGGGAGCTGTAGTCCAACAGTATCTTGAGGACTACACATTCCCCACCATTGTCGTAAGATAGAATCCATACTCACATGCTGGTCACAATGCCTACAACAGCAAATAATCTCTTTATTAGTATTTGATGTAAACCATTTCTGCTCTAGTTTTCTACTGACAGCAGGCCCTCCAAGGCAACTGAGCAAAAAAACTAAACAACATAAACATGTTTTTAAACATTCAAAGGCAATGGTAATTGTTGAAGGGACATTGGTGTAAAATGTTCATCTCTTAGGATTTAGATTCTACTACTGGCGTACAGAATTATGCATGGAATGAAGAAAATGGATAGGGAGAAATTTTTCTCTCCCTCCCTTATAATGCTAGAACTCAGGGTCATCCCATCAAGCTGACAGGTGGGAGATTGCTTCTTCACACAATGCATAAACTATGGAATTGACTTCCAGGAAATGAAGCAATAGCCACCAACTGGGACAGCTTTAAAAGACAATTGGATAAATTCATGGAGGTTAAGGCTAGCGATGGCTATGAGTCATGATGGGTATGCTATCTCCATTAGAAGAGACAGTATGAATATGTACACCGATTGCTAGGAAACCTGGGTGTCCTGCATGTGAACTTGTTATCCCCTGTATGAACAGAATGTTGAACTAGATGGCCCCTTAATCTGATCCAGTATGGCTCTTCTTACGTTTTTATGTGCTGCTGTTGAAACTGTTGAAGTTGCCTGATAACTACAGGGGAAAATCTTCCCCCACTGGATGTATGCTGCCTAGTGACCAGGTCCCTAATGGTCTCTCCTCACCCAAACAGCTGAGCCCTTAGTTCTTACTGGTGGCAAGGACGCCTGATGAAAACTCTGTTAGAACTTCCAGGCCTTTGATCTTGCTGCTCTGTGTCTTCCACCTCAGCAAGTCAGTAACACATGATGTTTAAACATGTGAATTAGCCCTAAGGAGCAAGAAGATGTATTTTATCTGTGGTGTACAATGACCATTAGTTGCCTATGGGATAGCACAGCGAAAAGGAAAACCTTTAATTGGATGAGATCTTTGAAGAAATTTTATGACTGGCCACCTTTTACGGGCAAGCAACTATGCACAGGATGTGCAGCATTTTTATCAGTTTCAGAGCAACAGGACAGGGTCCTTTGGGCTTGCTGAAGCGGTTTTCCTTCTTTTCCCCACCCAAGATTGTGAAAACTGTTAAGCCAACTTCCTGAATGGGCAGGCACATGTAAACCTTTCAGAGTTTCCCAGTGGCACCTTGGAGGAGATGAATGCAGCTGCCCATCATTTTATACATTTATCTATTTATTTAGCACACGGGAAGTTCAACCAATTCAATATAAGAATTTACAAAGAGTTACCAAACTGCATTTCTAATACAGTCTTTCATAGAAGCAACTGACTAGATTCTGGTCTAGGATAAATTGGATAAACAGAAATGCTTTTTCTTTTCCTTTCTTGCTATCTAAACAACTCCAAATGGCCATTTGTGCTTATACTGAATTTCATTCTGCTGTTCTCAACCCCATTCTCATATTTATTAAGCTCACTTTGAATTCTAATCTTCTCTTTTGCCTTGTTTGCAACTCTACCAACATTTATGTCATCTATAAAGTGTTGGTCACCTTGAATGTTTTTACTCATGTCATGATCAAAAATCTGGATAGTGCCAAACTTAACACAATCGCTGTAAACATCCAATATTCTGGTGTTCTGGTTTTATTCATAATTAATACTGATCAGAATTTGATCAGACCTGTCCATTTCCTTCATGATTGTTTGTGGAAGTGGCTTAGGGATTCTCTACACCAGGCATTTATTTTGTACTTGTATCTGATACTCATGTTACTTTCTAGGTCCTCCACAGAATGCTATCATCTTCCAGGACCATCCTGTGTTTTGCAGTCATTTTCCATTTTTGTGGTTATTTTTTGAAAGAGCGAATAAGGAGTTATTATTCCCTTATCTTGGAATAAAACACTAGGTAATACCTGTGTGAAGTTGCAGTTCTGCTATTTCACAACACACAATGAATGGAACAGAACGGAATGGATAGAAAAACAGGGAAAGAAAAACCTGGGGAAAAATAACCTGTGTATAACAGAGGCAGTCTTACTCCCACAAAGAAGGCAGAAGCAGCCAGCTCAGAAAAGCAGCAGAATAAACACTTCAGGTAGACAAGCCTTTAATTAGACATAAACAATCCAGTTCGGCTGCATGTACAAAACCAACATCATTTCTCAGAGAAATGAAAGCTAATGAAAATCACAGAAAAGATGCCGGAAAGTAAGATGATTTTAATGAAATTTAAATTCCCCCTCCTTGAAATCATTACTGATGAATTGCAGCTTACATGAGCCCATTCATGAATTGAACATTTTAATGTTTTTATAGAATTTTTATAGATTTACAGGGCACAGTATAATAAATGTTATTTGTACTGAATTCAACAGGGCTTCATGTAGTCACAACTATCTTCTCACTCCCTTAGGTCCTTTGCCGCTTGTGCCCATTATGCTTCAAACCAACACACATCAACTCTCTAAGGCTTAAGTCCTCTTTAGCCTATTCAAATTTGCCCTACTGAGAGACCTACTGCCATATAAATAAGCTTGAGATCAGGCTGCATGTAAAAATGTCGTTATAATAATCTCAGTATTTAGCTATTTGTTATTTGCAGTATTCACCATTTTCCTCCAAGTTTGTTCCTGAATGAAAGACTCCTATTAGCAATCTGGGTTTGATCACCATAATGTCCCTAGATCACACCACATTTCTGCAATCTCAACGAGACAATAGCTTGTCTTTGTGCTGGTTTTTGTATTTGCTCTGACTTGCTATAGCAACTTGGCTAGGTTCTGATCCTGTAGATCTTCACCAGCCCAGTTGCACTTGACTAAACCTCCTTATGTGAGTGTGTGGTCACATATGTTTCATCCATATAAACCAGGGGTCCCCAGATGTTTGTTGCACTACAACCTCCATTATCCTGGCCACTGGTGAAGCTGCTGAGGTAGCTGAGAACTGAAGTCCAGCAAACACCCACATGTCCCCCAGTCTGGATATACAGAAGGAAATGTATGTCTGACCATCATTTAAAACTTACCAGCAAAAATAGGTTTGCATGAGCAAACATTAGCAGCAGTAAACATTAAAGGGGCTACGTAATTTATGATAACAAGCTGGAATTATTCTTAGCGATCTTGATCATAGTGACTAAACTGTGGTAACTAACAGGAAGACATACATCATATGACCTGCTCTATTTCAAGCTAGAATAAATACAAACAATATACAAGATAATTAAGCCAAGCAGGAATGTGTGTAATTAAATATAGAAATCATCCTGCAGCAATAAAAAGAGCTATATAAATATGAATCCCGTATTATCCAGGAAAGCATCTCTCCCACATAAAATGAGTCACTTATATCACCTGTCAGCATTAGCTACTATGATCTCAAATTAACACTGAGCTCTGATTTAGAGCTGGCTCATGTTACTTCTGGCCACAATCCAACACAATTAAGCAGTCAATGGACTCAGTACACTTGCACTCACTTAGCTCTTTGCAGGATTGGTTCTCTTTTCTCACTAGTTATCTGCTTGAATATAATATGAGTATTAGAGTCATAATGAATTCTGCACTGAAATTGCTTGGATATCAACTGTGGCATCTTTCTAGAAGTAACATGGAGCAAGTTTAGACATGGCAAACATTTCAACCACTGGATTCTCTACACCTCTGCTTCTCACATTACCATGGCACACTATCTCAAGAGCAAAGGCAGAAGCTGGAAGTAACACGTGTGACCTAATCCTAAGCCTTATTTTGAGGATATGCTCATTTTAGGGCAGCTTTCTTTGGACAGGTTCCCTTCACATCTGTTGGACTACAACTCCCAGCATTGCCCAGTCAACCATGACCATTCTGGGTTCTTCATTTTCACCCTCATTCCTTATCAGTCATATAATCCTATTTTTCAGCCTTTACCAGTGGTGTTTTAAATGCTAGTGATTTGACCAGTTATTCATCCTGATCTGGGGGCAAATTGGTTGCACCCAACAAGGGGTGTAATAGAAATATGATGATTATTGTAAAAGCAGAAAAAGAAGGTGAAAGTAAAAGGAACTGTAAAAAATGTGCTACTGAAAAGAAGTCAGTCCCTTTTCCAGATTGTGCTGTTGGCAGCTAAGCTGTGAGGCCACATTTCATCTTCTAGTGTCACAAACTATTTCCCAGGAAAGGTTCCTTCCACCTAGAAGTATCCATGAAGATAGAAGAGGAGCTGTGATAGAGCCATGAGCATGGAAGGGCCCCCTCCCTTGTCCACACATCCTTGGCACAGTCATAGATTTCCATCTCCACTTGATAGTCTCCATCCATTCCTTTCCAGTAGCCTCCTGTGACAAAGAGTTTACCTGCAAGAGGTACCATCCCTCCATTTTCATGCAGGGTGTGAAGCTGTTGCACCTGCAGACATAGAATTGGCATTGTTCACATCTGCGGTATGCATTGTGCGGCATGTCAAATAACATTACTGTATATTTTATAGTTATACTACAGATGAGAAGACAAATTATTAACATGCAACCTGTACCAACTTGTTGGTGAAAGAATTTGTGCTTGTTGGAAAAAACCAGATGGTGCCATCTAGTGGCCGAACTGTACTGCGACTTAATAGCATCAACTCTTCCCCTCACTGAAGGTTGGCCCATCATTAACAAGGAGATGTTAACAGTGCACTTCTGTGAACAGTGGATTTGGTATATACCAATCCTGTTTTATTTATTTTCTTATTTACAATATTTATCAACAATCCCTCATCAAAAAGATTTGAAGGTGGTGAATAAAATTTTGAAATGTGTGTGTGCATACATATGTGTGTACATTTGTGTGTTGAGTGTGAATGTATGTATGTAAGTCTGATGGGTGATGCTAAAATGACTGGAGTGAGTGGGTTTTGTATTCGGGGAGTGTGGGGTGAGAAACAGAGAGAGTTTTTGACGGCAAGTTCTGAAGGAGAGAGAGAGAACTGTGGGGCAAGGGGATCAAGGGGGCAATCTTGTTTTCCAGCTCAGTTCCCACCCCTGCCAGGGATCCAGGCTCTTAGGCAAGTGACCTTCTTTTAGCCTCTCCAGTTTGCCTTTCTGTGAAATGGGCATTTCATGAATGGCCATATTCACTATGACTGCTATTTTGTGAATCATCATCATCACCCTCCCTAGAGCAGCCACTTGGTGATGGTGCCCAAGATGCTTACTCAAAATTCCAAATCTTCCCAGCAGCTCAATAGGGTTGGAGGCCCTGCCTATTCCAATCAACAGTAATATTAAGTTAGATACAGGCTTAGTCAGAGTAGTCTCAGGGCCAAGCAAAACATTTTTTCTAGTCATGCATAATGCAGCCAGTAACGCATTTTCTCCCCCCCCCCCAATACTGCAATGCAAGGTGGGGGTGGAATTTTGGGGGGAAATAGGGGATTTTAAAAACATCTCATGAAATTCTATGGCCCTATTCTGAATTTGGTCCATATGTGCTTACACAAAAGTAAAGAAAGGAGGTGGAGGTACCTTGACCAACAACCAGGAATGGCTGATAACAGTGTCTTCTATCTTTCCTGCTTAGCAAATCTGAAATAAATGCTACCTATTCTTGAGCTCATCCCACCTTGTCTACCATAGGCAGATCATAGGAACCTCCCTAGCTGTGTACAGAAGGCAGGGACATTCCAGCACTGCTAAATATGAACATGAATGGCCAGTCTAGTACTTATGCACGACACAAACAGAACAGCCAGTCAGCATTTGCAGCACACGGGAAGAGGAGCAGCCCCTGTCCAAGACACGGGAAGATCTTTGCTCCAATCTGCCTTTTTAGTGCCACACTTAGCAGGCAGAGGGGAAAAGCACCCTGAAGTGCTTTTCACTGTAGTGCTCATATTAGAGAGCCAGGGTGGTGTAGTGGTTCAGAGCATGGGGGACTGGGGCTCAGGCGATCTGGGTTCTAGTCCCCGCTCAGCCATGGAGTCAACTGGGTGACTTTGGGCCAGCCACAGACTCTCAGCCCAACCTACCTCACAGGGTTGTTGTTGTGAGGATAAGATGGAGGAGGAGATGTAAGCTGCTTTGAGCCCTTTGTAGGAAAAAGGCAGAATATAAATCAATCAATCAATAAAATAAATAAAATATTAGAAGGGCTCCATCATGCTTTGGACTTGATTTATCGTGGCACACTTGCCAAAACAACTGGATACCAGTGGTGTGGTCCCATGAACTCTGAAAGGGGAATTCTTATTTTGTTTCTCCATCTACCTACTAAACATAGCGCACGCTGGTAACAAGCTGGATCATGTTCCCTTGTCCTAAGTCCTGTTTACCTGTCATGGAGTACACAATTGACATTGCAGTGGATGAGTTTGTGCATGAATAGGCAGTGGCAGCAACAAGGCAAAATACTCGTTTACAGAGAAACTGCTGGATGCTAAGATGTGACACTGGCAGTGCTAAAGAGGCCACTGGTAAAAGCAGAACCAGTGGATGGCCAGAAACTGACAGGACTAAGCATTATTCATAAATCTACAGAGATGAAAAGCCTGGCAGGGCATCTGCTGCACCTGTCCTGGGGATTGGAGTGGGCGCTAAAGGGTCAGCTGAGCACTGACGCCATGTGAACAGCTGCAGCAGGATTTCAGAATGACGCTGCGTAAACCGACTCTCCAACAACATTACACACGTCTTCGCTGAAGCCAACAGACCATGCTGTCCTCATGTCTGGGATGCCCTCATTCAAGGAATGGGCTTCCTGCCATTCTGGAACACAGACATTCATCTGTACATCAAAGACCACTGTTTTTGGTGACAAGAGACAATTCTACTGAGGCAGTATGAAAAAAAGGGGGGGGGACGTCTTTAACTCCTTCTCAACCAACCCATAGAAATGTGTGGTCACTTTCATAGGTACTTTTCTTACATATCCTTCTTCAATCCATAAAGAAGCAGTGGCTATGCATGGTGTTTTGTTTTTTCCCCTGAACTAGCCTACTTTTTAGGCAAATGTGAAACAGAAAGATTTTTACATCCACAAAACAAAAACAAAATGCATATGGCTTCAGCTGAATTTTTCCCTTTAAAAAATTGAAGCTGAGTGGAGTATTTTTGCTTTCTTATTACATTTTTATTCTGTTCTTTAGCCAAGGAACAAAGCACAAATATGGTTTCCATCTCCTATTTTATCATCCCTGTCACTGTTTTCCACAGTAGTTTGGTTATTCTCTGTTCTTTTGTTATTGTATTCAAGTTTTTTGTTTGCAACTTTTATTTTTATGTGAGCCAATTTGATCTGGAGAATGGCAGGATAAAAATAATTAAGTTTGCTCCTCCCAACAACCCTCTGAAATAAATTAGGCTGATACAATTCCCCACTTACTCACCTTCTGCCATATGTTAGCATCTGGATCATACACATAAACCTTCTTTGTGTTGTCACCAATAAGGTAGATGGTTCCGTGCAAGGAAGCACAGCGGGGAGCAGAGAGGTACTTTGGGATGAAGGGGGATGCAAATACACTCCAGACATCTTTCAAAATAATAATAACAACAATAATACATCATTTTATTAATCAAAAGTTTCAATATCCTTGAACAAAGATTACATTTTCATGTAGTAAAAAGAATCCTTATTAGAATGCTTGATGACCTCAGAGAAATGCTAAAAGGAAGAGAGACTAGACCTGGAGCAAGTCCACAGTGGCTGTGCAAGCACTGTAGTTCAATTATTCTTGTTATCATGTACATAAGCCAGCCAGATCAATCCTGCAAATTGCAAATGTCAGTCGAATTTTAGGTATAAAATCAGTATCCATGAGAGAACAAGCTCCTTGGATTTTAGCTTGTCCTCCAAATATAATCTACTTTTGGATCGAGAGGAGTTTTCAGTACAGTGTTTTGCCTGAATTAAGAACACAAGAAGAGCAAAAGTCTGTCTAAGCCAGCATGCCCTGCCCTACAGCAGGGCTTCCTAACATTCCACAATCTGATAGCAAGGCCAAGAAACAGAACTGAAGATGAGGTTGTCCTGTGAATAGAAGCAGGCATCATTCTCAATGGCTGGTGTCACCTGAGATAGGGAAATATATTCACATCATTCTCAAGCACTTTTGTCAGGCTAGGAAGCAATAGGAAAAACAGTTTACTCATAGCTAACTGTCACTCAGGGTGTGCTTTTGATAATGAAAGAAAAAGGTATAGGCAGATCTTTGGTAGATGCCAAGGTAAGAGACAGTGAGTAAAAGAGAATTTAACTGAGCTGAGAAGCAGGGAATCCTAAAGTATCATCAACATTCAGTATATTACATGGGGAGATGGAAATGATCAGGATGATTAATCCCATCTTTGCTCTACAGAAGTTCATGAGATGAAAATGTAGGTGCTGCTGCAGCTGTTTATCATGTAACACATGCCTATCCCATGACTCTTATCCAATGCCTCTCAGGCAGACTAAAGCTGACCCACACTGCACCTGGATGCCTCAACTGGTTGTAAGGATAAATAGGTGCTTGCAGAGAGTTTTAAAGAGATACTTCAAACAAATAGTTGAAAGCCTAGCAAGGGATCATTGCAAATGCCCGTGCTGCTGAAAAGTGCATGTCAACTGGATAAACAAGCATTATGAGCAACTACGGAAGTGGAGTTGACATTAGGGAAGTAAAGAGGCTACCCATTTCTGGCACTGACTGGACAATACAGCCTGGGCAATGTACCATTGTGGAAAGTCACACACCATAAACCTCATCTCTCTCACCCTTTAGTTGTTTTGCTTTTTGCCCAACAAAATCAATAAAAAGACAAACATGCCAAGCAGATCACAGGCAATCAAGAGTAAGCCAGTTATTCATATCTACAGCACTCCACAATCCTTTAAGCATGGTTAAGACACAGAACCAAAGATGATTTTGTTGGCAGGATCCTCCTCCCCCATGGTTAGCATCACCAGGGGCTTAGAGCAGCATTTAGCCCCCATCTCATCAGGGTACCTAAATGCACACCTTTTAAATTAAATGGAGCAAATATGACTGGCATTCACTCCTAAGAGGAAAAGTAAAGTGCTGCATTTAATGGACACAGTTGCAACAAGAGCAAAATCTGCTATTGGACACTCAGAGGCCCAGCCTCACTTACAAAAGATCCCACGGGAGGGACAGGAAAGCAGAATATGTTTCTCCATCCACACACGCTGCCTATCATCATGGCAGGCATTTTGCAAGGCTTATGTTAGTCATGTGGAAGGAGGTAATAGACTTCAGTTTCAGTACCCATGATGGCAACAACAAAAACATGTTTGTAAAGGGTCTGCAAAACAGAAAGGATCTTGCAGCTCAGTGAGCCCATGATCCGGTTAGTCTGGAAAAGCTCCTTTCCTGCAAGGATCTTTCTGTTCCTTCTTACCAATGGCGGGGTTGTAACACTGCAGGGTTAATGCATTATATTTGACCGCACACGATCCAATGAGGTACAACTTCCCAAGACAGCCAGCTACGTCAAAGTTGCTGACATACTTCAGGGCAGGGCTGACAAAGGACCAGCTGTCATTATAAGGATCGTAGCACTCCACTTCCACAACATCCAGCGTTGTGCCTACAGACCATGTGAGAAATAAAAAAGAAGACTTGAGTATAGTGGGAGTCCACAGAGATACCCACTGAGCACTACCGGGCCTCTAAGTCACCTACAGGATAATGTGAGCTTGATATGTAGGGGGTCTGTGTTCATTTTAACTTTTACCCCAACCACCAGTTGTTTGGTGGTTTCTTAACTTTTGTGCATCATCCCCCATTCTAAAAGTTTGAAATCCCTCTTCTAAGGCTTAGTTGCTGACCATACTAACTTTAAGCTAAAATATGCTGGCATTTGGGGTGAATGTGGCCTTGCCTGCTACTGGAATGCAGCTCCCAAGGGACTCGCTGAAATGGAATCATGTCCTTGGTGAAAAACATTCTACAGCCCTGCTATAGACTGAGGTTTCCCCAGATCACAATTCTCATTTCCTACCACCAATGGCATAGATCTCTCCATTGAGAACAGCACTGGCATGGTTCGTTCGAGGCTTCAGCATTGGAGCAATGGGTTTCCAGGCACTTTTCTTTAGGCAGAAGCACCAGGACCGGGTTGTAGACCATGTGTCATTCTGTGATCCTCTGGAGCCCCCTGAGAATAGAAATAACCAGGATAGTTAAATAGAGGGCCAGGACCCATTATTTTTGTGCCAGTTTAAAACACTTGGCTATTAGAGCTTATTCACTGTAATTAATGCTGCTTCTGAATTTCCTGCAAGCTTCTAGAATTGGCAAAATTAGAGGGCAACACAGTGGACTTTGATTAAATTTAACTAGGAAATTTGGGCATCATCGTTTAATTTTGTTTAATTTTAATTTAGATCAGAAGAGCCCAAACAAGCAGAACCAAGAAAGTACGGCAACAGGCACAAAAAGTTTCATAGGTTTGGTACAATGTAAGTTCAGAAAGAGCACCATCCTTACCTGTGATGTAAACATCGTTGTTTAGAGCAATCATAGAAAAGCCCCACTTATTGTAATCTGGAAAATCAGGCAGAGCAATCCATGCTTCTGAAACAGGAAAACCAAGTGTATAAGTGGCCCTCAAGCAGTCCTGACCAGTCAACATTTTAACTTTCTGGGGGTCTTGCCTTGCATGACATGATTCAGGGACCTCTGCATGGATGCTTTTATTCTTGGAATAGAAGCAGTGGTGAAGGCAGATGACATGTTTTGTCAGAACTCTGTAATGTTTTCCTGCTGTTTCATGCTTACTGATGCCTGCTCCTTTCCCATGAGAGATCAGGAGACAACGTCTCTGTGCACACTTAGGGCTGTGGCAAAGATCTGGAAGACAAAATGCTCGTAGGCTCTTCTTCATGTGCACACCCACATAACCTAACCTTTGTTCCCTAACATGGTTATGGCCAGCTTCTTCTGTATCAGGCTATAAGCAACATCTAAATTATGACTGAATGCAACTGTACGCTGTACATATTGCAGTCCATGCCTTGAAGGGGTGGTTGTTTATGTAGCACCATCTGTATTACATACCACACTCCTGGCCTTTTTTCAGTCCCGCTATCTAGACTACTGCAGCAAAACAGCCGCTTATTTCAGCTGCCACTGCACTGTCAATTTTGGCAGCAAACACACTTTCAGCTTGTCACTAAATCTGACAAGTAGACTATTTTTTCTGCTGCTGCTGCTCCATCAAATTCTGGCATTAGAAGCAAGGGTATGGCTACCAGAGTAAGGGGGCTTTGGGATGCTGTGGCACCCCCCTCAGGAAGTTGCCTATCCCTGGTGTACTTGGTGACTTCCAGAGTACAAACAACATGGAAAAGTAAAATGGGAGAACAGTATGAGTGGCACTGTAAGGAAAGTCAGTCACATGTACTTAACAGCGGGCGACCATTGCAAATATGGATCTAGGGCTTAATCCAATGGCTTCATAGCCAAAGGAAAGAGGCAGCTTTAAGTCGTCATGGCAGAAGATGACCTGAGCATGAACCAGAGACTTAGCCGAGGGGACAGAGAAGAATGGCCTGATTTTTATAATGCTGTAGAGGGAGAAGCAACACAATGTTACAAATAGTTGACCAAGATGAGAGAAGAATCAAAAAGCTGAAGCTGCCTGGGTGCGTGATGAAATTGTCAGTGGATGTGGAGAGGGCATGTGGAGGGAGACTACTAAGGCAGATCAGATGCTTGAAAGACTAGTGCAGGGATGAAGAACCAGTGGCCTTCCAGATGTTGCTGGACGGCAAATTCTATCAGCGCCTACCATCATGGCCCACAGTCAGAAAAGATGTGAGTTGTAGTCCAGCCTCTGAAGTTTCACAGGTACCCCACCCCTGGACTAGAAGTTTTGCCTTAGAGTGCTCCATTAAAGAACAGGGAGGAGCTGCTTTTCCTGGGTGACTTTCCCCACTGGATTTTTTCAAGGGCTGCTGTAGTTTCCTGGCGCCTGTGCTGCTAGTGGGACCTTTGCCGTGGGTTGAATATCTACATGCTCTAGGCTGTTCCCTTTCTCTCAGCTGCATGTGTTGAAGGAGAAGGGCAAGTTTCCCTGCAATTGTCTTCTCATTGGTTCAAGGTCCATAGCTAATAAGATCTCTCCTCTCCACTCTGCTCCCCTCTTCTCTGCTCCTCATGCCCTTGGAAAGATGGCTTCTAAGATCCCTAGACACCCATGCTGCCTGATCCTGTACCCCCAGGAATACAGTTCTTTCACGTAGCCTACTCTGTTCATGGATGATAAAACTCTTCCCCTGCAGTGCCCATTGGTGGGAGATGCACCATGACCACATCCACAATGATGTAGTCAGAACAAATGCTAAGTTCCTTTACTGGAAGGACCTCCCAATTAACCATGCTTGTTTGGAAGGAAAAAACGAGCATTTTCTTATTGGAACAGACCTATCTATACCCACATACATTTAGAGGTAATTATCTATGCCTGTTATCTGTTTCTATGTTCACAGTGTTGTCAAAACACACTCCAATTGCCTCATCTTGCCCAGATAATGCCAGAGGTGAAAAAGGTCTCTCTCATGTTTTGTCGCCTCCTCAGGATTCGCTTTCCATCACCACAACACCACCAACTCCATACAGTGTTTGCAGGCCAGCCCAACAGCTTCTGCTGTCAACATCAGCCTGGGGTGAACGCAGCTGCTCAGCAGTGACAAACACCAAAGGAACCCAGAGCATTACATCATCTGGAAATCTCTTCTTCGCCAGTTTTGCATATTTGTATGTTAAAATCCAAGGCATGGCTGCTTCTGCCCACACTTTTGTGCCTGTTACATAAAGTGACTTTGATGATATAAAGTGTTCTGATATGACAAGTCTAAATGGTCACTGTATAATATACCTGAATTTACTCCCTTTTACTTCCTCAGATTGGATTTACCTCAGGTTATTCAACTATTAGCCTATATGGGTAAAGACAGGTAGGCTAAGAAATGTGTAAATGAACAAATGGTTAAAATATGGGAAAATCTTGGTGGTCTAATTTCTCAAAATCATCAATTAATTTAGTCTGGAGGCTCTAAATGATCTTAATTTTAACATAAGGAAGGCTTTAAGCAAAGATTCCTAGACATTAGAATACAAACAGACCTTGCTGCCTTGGTGAATACAAGTCTATGAAATGGTTAGCAAAGACAGCACCCCAATTTCAGGAGAAAAGGTGTTTTTTCATTTCAGAGGTCATTGCGTGGCCATTACTCATCTCCCAAATGAGCAAATGGACTCAGCAATAGCAAAGAAGATTCAGCTACTTTCCAGTGCATACCTGCAGTGCACCTGTAATTTGGCACACTATTTATTATAGTGCCAGGTACATTCTAGCTGTAACAACATCATTTCCATTTCTTGGAAACATAAGAAATTAGGCACTTGAGGCTAAATCTTTTTTCCTCTCCCTCTCTGAAATTCTGATCGTTTGTAGCTCAGAGGGTTGCTTCTATGTGATTGAGGCAATCAGTTCATGGGAAAAAGGGAAATCATCTGACTGCCCAGAGAGATTCAGCTGTTGGGTGGTATAGAAATTAATTGACTGATTAATTAATTCTTTGGGACTACAAAGCTGACTATTGGCCATGAGGGCTTAATACTCATGGAAGTCAAAGTCCAAAATATCAGGAAGATTGGTCCCTTATTGTTAAATATTATTAAATTTTGATACAAATTACCTATCTATATTCATGTTTAATTAAATTCATTTGCCATAGAATTAAGAGTATGCATTAAATATCTGGCTAGTCTATTATTTCTTTATTTATTGGATTTTTATGCCACCCATAGCCTGGGGGCTCTCTGAGTAGTTCACAAAAAACAGAAACAGCAACTTAACATCACTGTAGCAAAATAAAACAATTCTACATGATTCCCTGCCCCAAAGACTCCAGAGACAGCACTCTACAACATTTCTAGCTAGCCCTTCGTTTTTAAGTCTCCTATGCATAGACCTGTGAATGCCAAAAGCAGTGGAAGAGACTTAAAGATAATCAGATTTCTATTATTTTAATAATGTTGATTCTTTTATGTCACTCTCCTTTCTGAGGAATTCAGATCTCACCTTTCCTCTGCACCACAACTTGATCAAGAAACATACATTTTCCAGTGCATTGGAAATTGCATTGGCAGTGGGGTAACTCTGCCTTGGCAAGCTGACTTGCTACTTATAAAGGTAAGCTTGAGCCTCCAGCACAGACTTTGTGTTCCTTGTTTCTAAATTCTACAGTAATACCATTGCTATCACATTGAGGGTGACCAGGTATCCTACTTTATAGAGCGCTGTCCTCAGTTTGAAGGGGCATCAAGGGACTGTCCTGTTGGAAAGCCTGCCAAAGTCTGGTTTAAAGACAGAGAAGAGTCAGAAGGGAGGAAATGCAGGTGCCTTAAAGCTGCCCATCAGCACTTCACACCCAGGCAGCAGACTCAGTAGGCAGGCACACACCTTGCCTGGTTGTTGCCCACCCCACAAAACTGCACTGCCTTTCTATTTGAATTTTAGTCATTATTTCCATTTGCCTCTAGACATATTAGCACATGTAACTTTTCTGCAGTTGTTTGTGTGTGTGTAGGGGGGAGACTTTGGGGATGCATCCTTCCTTTTTTGATGTTGCCTAAGTGGCCAGCCCGTTGCACTGCCAACATCATGATCTTGCTTACTCCCTTAAGTCAAAGATGCGCTGAACGGAAAAAGCTGACCTGTCATGGTTTAGTCAGGAGGCACTTACTAGTCTTAGTGTTATAAAATGCAAAATTCCTGGAGATTGGTGGGGGCGCTCCATCTTCTTCATTCTCTTCCAGAACTCTGCCTCCCACCACCACCAGCACCTCCTCAAGCTTTTGTGGAAGGGCCTTCAATCTCTGCTCAACAAATGGCCTGTTTTCCACCTTAGAGAGACAAAAAGAACAATGTCACAGCACAGGAGACCTATAATTTTGTCCTCTTCCTCTGCCCCCTTCTCCAACTCTTTATATGTAATATGTAATATATTGGCCCCATATGACAGAATTCAATAAAGCACATTTCTAGTGCACTGCATCACTGCAAATCATAAATGAAATTTCCTCAACTTGGTGCCTATGATGGCTGGGGGATTATGGGATTTGCAGCCCAACACATGGGGAATGCTTTGCTAGACCAAGGCAGGAAATTTAGTCAGGCTTTATGTGGAAAGAACAACCTACAGGCTTCCTCCCAGAAAGCTGTAGGGTTCAGACAAGATACCAAACTGTGGTTAACTGAAAGCAAAATCAGAAGCTTCTGATCTTTTCCCTGAAGCCGTATCAATGGAGGAGCAGATAAACAAGAAGCATGAAAACCCAAGGCTTGTTCTCATTGTACTAAATCAGGGTTTAGCATAATGTCTAAATATGGCCATTGAGTTAAAAGACACTTTTCTATGCAAATGAAGAACCAATTTAATCATTTCTCAAATATGATACCCAGAGATTGGGGGGCAGTAAGGTGGATAGTTGTCCCTCGTGCAAGCAAGCTATTATTACTGTATTTTTCGCTCTATAAGATGCACTTTTTCCCCCCTCAAAAGTAAGGGGAAATGTCTGTGTATCTTATAGAGCGAATGTGTGTGTGCCCGATGCCCGGGATGCTGCCGGCCTGCCTGCACCACGTGGCACCACCTGGCCGGCACGCGCTCAGCGTGCGCTGCTCCACCCGCCCCCCTCCAGCGCAGGTGAGAGCTGTGCGGCTCAGGGGGAGCGGTGCAGAGGAGGAGGAGCCACGGGCTTTAACCTGCCAGCCGCACGGAGAGATGGACTGCTCACCCCCACTGCCCGGGAAGACCTGCCGCTGCTGCGCCGCCCAGAAGACCACCTCTGGCATGCTGCTGGCCTGGCTGCACCACGTGGCACCAACTGGCCGGCACATGCTCGGCGCACCCTGCTCCGCCACCCCCCCTCTGGCGCAGATGAGAGCTGTGCCACTTAGGGGGAGTGGTGTGGAGGAGGAGGAGCCGCAGGCTTGAACCTGCCGGCCGCACAGAGGGACGGACTGCTCGCCCCCACCTCCCGGGAAGAGCTGCCGCCGCCACGCCACCCGGAAGACCACCACCGGCACACACCACCACACCTGGCCAGCATGCACTCAGCATGCCCTGCTCCACCCCCCTCCTCCGGCGCAGGTGAGAGCTGTTAATCACAGTTCGGTGTGTGTTTTCAAATGGCAACCCGTCTTTTAATGAAGCCCATGGGGAAGTGATGGGGAATGTGGCTGTGATTATGAGGAAGCTTTCCATGGATCCCTCCTCTAAAAACTAGGTGCATCTTATGTTCAGGTGCGTCTTATAGAGCAAAAAATATGGGATTTTTTTTACAGCTGCTGTGTGTATAAATGCCTGCTGGGGGTGGGGTGAGTTACCCCCCCCCCCTTTCTCCCCCCTGATCAGGGCTTGTGCTGTAGTCTGAGCATGGACTATTAGACTTTGGTTTGATCTATCAGCTCAAGCATTTCATTTCATTTCATTTCATTTCATTTCATTTCATTTCATTTCAATTTTTGTGTGTGGTAGTGCATTAGCTGGGCCAAGGAAGAGTAAATCAGGAAGCCCAAACACTGAATAGAAGAAAAGGCAAATTGTTCAGTGCAATGGCTCCTACATTTTTATACTTCACAAACTGTTATGGCATCTGTCATAAGAAAGACACTGTATGGAGATATTTTAAGGCACAATCTTATATAGGTTTAGAAAGAATAAAGTCCAACAACTCCCAGCATTCCCCAGCAGGCATCATTGGCTGGGTGATATTTGAAATCATGGGACTTGTTGTTGTTGTTTTTTTTAACATTCATAGGCTTGCAGCTTAAAGATATGTCCTCTATAGGAAAAAAAAGAAAAGAAAAATGAAAGTGTAAAAAACACAGGCATTGCAACAGTTAAATGAAAGGCATGGCTTTAAAACTGACACAACAATGTAAAATAAATGATATTCTATTTTGTTATAAATGGTCTTGATTTGGTTTAGTGGTCAGATTGGCATCATTGTTTAGGAAATGTGTAACACAGTATCAATGGGAAATTTTATTTAAGCAAATAATTTTAATCAATGTATCCGTGAGAATGGTTTGCCTGTTACTTGTCATTTAAGTTTCACAAATAACCCAAAAGAAAGGCTTTGTCAGGGGCATCTGGGTGAATTAAAAGGTGGCAACACCGACTCTCAAAACCTTCAAAGTATCAAAGAAGAAAAGAAATAAAGTTTAAGGAGGGGCCAAGGCAGACACCAGTGATGGACACAGCTGGAACGTGGGGGGTCCTGGCAGCTGCCTGAGAATACCAGGTGTAGAGACTGGCCCTGGACATCAGAGCTACAAGCTGGAATGTTTCCCTAAGTGGTAGTTTTCCTGGGCCCAGGCTGGCCTTCTGTGACAGATGGGAGGATGAACAGAGGAGGCAGAGAAAGAGGAGAGCTGGGTGACAGAAAGGACAAGAACCATTTACCCTTTCACCATCAATTAATAATTACAGAAAAGTTTATCTTGACCAAGAGGTGGCACACCAGTTCACCACAACTAGAGCCTCTCTGATTCTGAACAATAGTATCTGAATCTTTACTTATCTAGAATATTTTGCGCTACAAAATGCCACACATTTTAGACATTATCTCAGCTAGTTGGGAACCCCAAATTCATAGCAGGAAGAGTGACTGGCTCCTGAATTCAGATAAATACTGAGCCTGCAGTCCCTTTTCTAGCCCTGGCACTGAAACTAGAACTATGTACAGATAGTGTGGTGTTTCCAAAAACTCACCGTGCTCCGATGTTTGGTGATGATGGTTTTGCATGCTTCTGATTCTTGAATCAATGGTTCTGAAGACAAAAGATCCTGTAGATACTGATCTGGCAGTGAGACCAGATGCACTAAGTCAAGGAGTTCTGGAAGATCTGTGGCTCTGGTAGATTTTTCATACTTCACCCACCTGAGTACGGCCTCAACTAGGCTCTGCTCTTCTTGGACTTGGAGCAGATTGTTGGATAGGTAGGTAACCAATCTCTCTTTGGATAATTGGAGGAACTCTTCCTGTTGAGACACAAGCTCAAAATTTTCTTGCAGAAATGACCAGGCCCTGGATGACACCTCTGGACAACCATACAGCTCCCCAAACTCACAAATTCCCAGACAGTTGGTTGCATCCATCTGCTGCCTCAAGTACCGAATGCAGACTTTCCGGATGATGGGGAAGTGGAGCTGGTTGGATGTTCGAATTAAAGCCTCCACATTTGCCTGGTTGATGGTCACTTTCCCTGTGTAAGCAAAGTCAATCAAGGACTCCATAATGATAGGATCCACATCTTTGATCTCTACATGGGCTGAAAAGCTTTCTATGAAGTCACCAGCAAACATGGCATTGAAGTAGTTACTGCAGAGAGCCAGGATACTGCGGTGGCACGGGAATTCATGATCCCCAACAATCAAGGTGACATCTGAGAGTTTGGGATTGTTGCGCAAGGCCTGCAGCCCTTCCAGAATGGACTGAGAATGGGATGGAAGGCAAAAATCAAAGTCATCAATGTTCCTCACCATGGTGATGCTCTGCTGAACTGCCCTGTAGGAAAAGACAATCTTTGATGCCTCCAAGGAAAAATAAACTTCTCCCCGCAAACTCAGTTAGAAAGTAGATGAAAGACGATTAACCTTGTGTTTCAGACAGGAATTGTTCTCCCTCACCTAAAACTTAACATGAAATCTTCTTAGTAACACCTCATGAGATTCCTTGAAAGAAGTGCATGCACTGGGAACTTAACAATTACTTTATGTAATTGCTCTCCTGGACCATTGGATTTCAGTAAGTCCCATGGCCAATAATCATAGTCCCCTGATTATTTGGACACACATCCATACATTGTCTAGGTGTTTATAACCCATTTGCCCAAACACATGAATGTAATCAGTACCAGCTCTGTATGTCCTGGTCTTAGCACCAGGAGGAATCTGCAAGGACAAAGAAGGTGAAAGCTGTAGTGATTCCCCCTTGACGTTATCCGAATCTCAAATGTACCTTTCTGCATTTAATCTTTATAGAATGAGAAACTGCTGCACACCCTCTGTGCCTCTCTGATTAGAAACTCAGTTTCCTTAAATAAGGGACTGGGGGGAAATTCAGTTGGCAGCTACTTAATTTCACATGTTTGAACCATTGCAAAAACCAAAAGTGAGTCAACCTTTCAAATTCATACTTCTCTGAATTTTGCAGTGGAGTTCTCCAATGGAAACCCCCCCCCCATACTTATATACATGTGTGTATTTGGATAAAGTGCATGCATACATGTGTGTGACAGTGAAAACAACAGTCAAAAATCTGAATATGAGGCAAAATTACATATAAAATTGCATGTATCAAGAGAAATATGCCTAAAATGCATATGAATTTTTATGCATTTTAAAACCATAACTTTTCTGCCAAAATAAGCTTAAGGTTAGAAAAATGAGGAAGTGAAAGATTTGCCTTTCTTTTTCAGAAGGGCAGTATCTTGACCACAAACAACTCTTCACTGCATCAAGGATCTTTATCTCCTTACATTACTGCCTAAGGCCAACACAGTTGTGTTTGCACTTTTGCATAAGGAATCTGGATTTCCCCAAATAGAACTAAATATAATGCATTGTGCAGGAGAGCTTCCAAATGAACTACAATGAGGACCACCAGTAAAAACCCACTGCAGAGCCATTCCCTCCATTAACAAGTATGTTTGTGGGTGTGGGTGTAGTAAGAAAAAAATACAGAAGAAGCTCTGGAAAAACATGGGAGGGTTACAGGAGAATAGTGACGTTATCTAGACCACTAGTAAAATCTGTGAATGAGGCAGGGTGAACATGTGATAAAAGCCTAGTGAGGAAGGGGTGCTTTCAGACAGAGGTTTCCTAGCGCTACCAATCAGAAAGCATTGTGCAGTTATTCCATCTGTCCCTCTTTCTCCATGACAGGACAATACAAGATGTTTACAAATGGAAGACAACTGTGTTGAGGCTTCCTGTAAAATTCCTTGAATGTGGCAGGGCATGATTAAAACCACATTTGAAAGCACCTGAGAGATGGCTGAAAAGTTCCCAGACTCAGTTCAGCTCAGTGCCATCTTGGTTAGTCTGACTTTGCTTGGTTGTATTCAAATTAGGTGAAAAATATCAAGAGGATATTTATATGGCGCTCTAGAAACAGCCTCACTTCAGTCATCTTTCTTATTGCAGATGCTGTTTCTAGTCCATAAGAATTCAAATGAGCAGGGAAAGTATCTTCTTGTCCTTGCCTTCCCACATTTTTTTCTTTCATGCACTACTAAATTCTCAGTTCTTGCTTGAAATGGCATTTATAGATCGGATATCTATGCCATGTGGAGTAGCAAAACACGACTGCTAATAACAAAAATCCAACTGATCATTTTACTCACTATTTTCTCTATAGTTAATCACTTCTCTCATGAAATCCATGGAATTTCCCCTCAAGAAGCTCCTGATCACCACTGCTGCAGTGGCACAGCTGCCTGTACTGATTCTCTGCTGGAGAAATTTTGATATATAGCTTCTTAGCAGACAAGGGCTTATAATGGAGGCTTCTCCTTCTGTGTCCTGTCATTGTTATTACTATTATTTCTGTTTTATTTAACATTACAATTAGTATTTATTAGTGTCCTGTTCATAGCTCCTGATTGGACAGTCCCCCTTCCCAAAGTCCCACTGTAGGCCCCAGTCCCTTGGCCCCATGCAGAGCTCTCAGCCCTTGCCATTGGCCAGTGCCACGCTCTTACCTTGCTAACAGCGTTTGCATCCAGCTTGTCCTGGCAGAATGCTTGGGGAACAGCTTGCCTTGACCCTAGGAGGAAACAGGTACCCTGGGTAGGGTTTTATGAGGCAGTCCCACGCTGGAGGCAGCCAATATGTGTGGCTGCATATATATATTTAGCCTGGAGCTCACAGTTGGCCTGGGGGAGGGTAGCCTGGGAAATGCTTTGACAGTTATTCTTTCCAGGCCACCTGTTCTTAAAGCAACACACCAAGGAGCAGATAGGAAGAGAGCCTGAAGGAAGGTTTGCATCCGGCGATAGCACAGAGCTAGGGTACGATGGGGTGCCAGAAGGTGACCTTTTAAATAGAGGACACTCCTCTATTTAAAAGGTTGTCAGAGGATACTTCTCTATTTGAAGGTGTCCTCTATTGGATGGTGTGCTCAGTCCAAACATGAGAAGTATTCCCCATCAACAATCAGCAGCGGAAAAACAGACTTAACTGGCAAGCACATGGGCCATCTGGTCACATTCTTTGACACTTTGGTGAAATGTTAAGTATTTCTATGTAATGTATAATTATTATTCTAAATTTGCATAAACATATGTTACCGGACTGAGCCAGTCAACAGCTGGGGAAACCTGGGTGGACCCCAGACCCGAGCCAAACAGAGCCTGAGACGAGACTTAGAGCGAAAATCAGCTTTATTCTAGTGCACTATAGAATAAAGGGAGACGAAAGGGGACATTCAGCCCAAAGCAGTGTCTCGAAAGTTGCACCCCAGTACATGCGTTTTATACCCTAGGTAACCAATTAGGTCACCTAATAACACATCTAATACATCGATACATCAATGTATGCACATCCTCCCATGCTGGAGAAAGAGTCCTTTCTTCTGTCAAGGACCAGACATTTCCCATGTCTATTTCTTATCTGCTTGAGATTCACACAGGCTTGCCATGTTCTTACTCCCTGCACATTTGCAACTTTCATGGTGGCTAGAACCAGTTTCCACTGTCCCTTTGATTACTGTATTCGAGGTCAGGCTAGCGTGTTAGCTGTGGGTTACACAAAGTTCAAAGTGCCCTCCCTTCTGGGACAGTATAACTGTGGTGTTTTTACTATGCGGCCTTCCTCTGGCCAACTACTTTTGGGGCCTTTCTCTGGCCAATTACTTTTGGGGTGTTTTGGGCTGCTGCAATTGGTAACACATACATGCATACATGTACATATACAGTACATAGCAAATTGTATGCAAATCCATGTCCTCTTTTGCTCACTCCTTTGGTGATGCCTTGGCTTCTGTATCACCACCCTAATCTGTGGTTTGTCCTGGTGATGCCAGATGCTAATGCAGGCCCTGAGCCAATGACATGTGACGAATACCCTTCTCTGCTGGCCTGTGGGTCAAGTGATGCTCCAGCATTAGTCCTCTTTTCATGCACAGCTAGGGCTCTTTGGTTACCTGCAAAGCCACACTGTGGGACACACAGAATCAAAGGTGAGGATGGGTCACTCCTATGCTACACTGGGTTTGCACTGTATTCAAACATCCTGATTGAAACCGCATGGGCAATGCAACATATTTCATGAAGAATATGTGGTCTTTGTGTAACATGCAAGATAAGGCTATCAGACCTACTAGTCATGATAGCTATATATTGCTTCCAGGATCAGAGGCAGTGTATTTCCGAATGTCCCTGGTCAGGGAGCACGAATGGGATGGTGCCACTGTGTCCATGTTCAGCCTGTATGCTTCCTGCTGGCATTTGCTTGGCCACTGCTGGACTAGCTCCTTTTGGTCTTAATGTTTTACATGCCAGTCTTCCAAAACTGTCTTGCAAAGCAATGTGTGCCAAAGATGCTGTATTCTTTTATAGTCTGCCCATCACAGTCTCCTATTAAATTGAGAAACAGACACTTTGTCAATTCCAGGGCACCTCAGAGGTTACCTTCTGAACTGAATGCCCTTTCATGTGCCTGCCCCATTCATATATCTAGATCAGATAAATGGGTCAAGTTGCAATTTTGTAAAAAAGGGAATCTGACTTTTTCTTCCTCTACTTACCTCCTGTGGGATCACTCGCTACCCCTACAACCCACCCTTTTCTCCAGCTGTTTACTGAAAATCAGCAAACTAAGACTGAAGGCCTGGGGAAGGCCTCACCGATGGATCACATCCCCACACATTCTTGGGCTCTCGGGGCTTCCCTATATGAGTCATTTATTGTGCGCTCGTGGGACCTCAGTCACAAAAATGTGTGGGGCCTTTACATAACATCTTTCTCCTCCAAGGCCTCTCCCAAGTTTTCTAGCCATTGTCACTGCTATTTTTAGGAGGAGAGTCTGGCACGTTTCCTCGAGAGCACCAATACTTGCCACAAAGACCCAGTGTATTTTCCCAATTCTATTCCATACCACAGCATCCCCTCGTGATGTGTAAGGAACATACAGAAAGTTAGAGATGAAAACCTGAAGAAAGAATTGCATGTAAAAGGACAGTCTTTCTTCAAAAGGAGGAAGTCTTGGTAAAGTGCTGGGTCATATGCCTCATAGAGAGAAGACTTTGCAGCTGCCACATCAGGAGTGGGGACTTCAATCTTTTCCTGCACAAGCTGACTGGTAGTATCTTTCTTACTGCCAGATTATTAGATTTCCTTTGCTTTATAGATTTCAGTTGCTTTAGAGGATAACAGCCTTCTATGGCTGAAGCCAGGTCTCCATGTGCATCAGAATATGGCGGTGACGTTAACAGAATGCAAAGATGATAGAACAGACCGTGCCATGTGACAAACATTTAGGAAAGCTGAACTGGCCAGTTATCTAGTGGAAGAACGGCATTTTCACAGCTGCTCTCCCACAGAAAAGTGCACTTCCAAGGAAACATGTGTGGACAGTACCCAGCAAATGAGATTCTGGTATGCTTTTTTGAAGACTGGACTTCATGGGGAGAAGATAGCCAGTAAGTCATGGGCTGCCCAAAATGGATTCAGCACAGCACCTCTAGTCCTTTGGGAACAGCACAAACGGTGTACAGAGTAAACTACCTCATCCCATTCAAGCAGCAACGATGATTCAAGCATTCACTCTGCTCCTTCCCTGTAAATATGCCTGTAGTTCCCACTGCTGTCTGCTAATTATAGTCCAACGAGCTACTTTGGCCCTGGGATCCCAGCACAGTGCCTCACTGCCTCTCCAGGAATGTCCCCAAATAAACCAGGGTGAGCAGCAGTCTCAGTGGGGTTGAGGTAGCACTTTCCCTGCAGCAGAAAATAGGCCACTGAATGTGGAATTCGTCAGGTAAAAAAAATTATATGCGGGCTGCATAGTGACTCAGCCTGTCCTCGTGCAGGATCAGTGTCTTCCTCCTATAGCTTAGCAACAACAACGGGGTGACTTAGTGATGGCTGAAGACGTCATCTTTCATGGAAAAGGTGTGATGACTGGTTATCACATGCAGTGTATGCAGTCATTCATATATGTAAAACTTTCCGAATTGTACAACAACAGTGAGTGTACCTGTGGGCAGCCTGGTGACTTTAAAGGATTTCCCCTCCTTTGCTGTGTTGAGTTCAGTGCTGTTCCAGCTTTGTTCTGAATAAATATTAAAAAATTATTTATTTCAATTATTTTTATCTTGCTTTTTTGTTAAAATGCAAAATCCACTGTACAACAATATAGAAGAAATTCACAATATAAATTGTGGATTTAGCAGAAATGTAAATACGTAAACAAAACAGGCTCTGTTTATCTGTTGTTAACACTTATTCTTCTTTACTACAGAAAGATTGATTTGAACTAGAGAAGCAATGTTGTAAGTTCATATAAAAATGCATTCAGGATATAATTTGAGAGTTCCTTCTGTTGCTGTAGTACATCTAATATAGGAGGCTTTCTTCTGTGTTCATACAATACAAATCTATAATATTCCTTTCTGAAATAACCCTGTGAAAAATGAACAGGATTTTGGGTTTTTCTAGGCAAGTTTTCATGTCAGAACAATGAGCTGTATCTCCTGTTCATGTAACTCAAGCAGTATTAATTTCAATGTTGGATATGACCTTGCTGTATTTTGTCTGACTGAAAACACAAGTAGCAATTTCATTGGAATACTTCTGTTTGCACCAAGAGAAAAGATTTATTAAACCATACATCTGCATAGAATTATTTAAAATAGAAAGAAAAAGTGTAAGTTAAAAGAATACACAATTACCAAATGAAATATTTGCATGAGACATCTTTTCAGATATTTGTCCTATGTTTACAAAACAGCAGAACATGAATACAGTAAAAGCAGAGTTGAAGAGGCCTATAAGGCCATCAAGTCCAATCCCCTGCTCTTCTTCCATATGTGAGCACCCATCGGGCTGCAGGTGCGGGCGTACAGGTTTACGAACCAGAAACTTCTTCATTTCAGAAGTATAAGAGTCACTGCCAGGGTGAGGGCAGGGTTTCAACAACTTTAGTAGTTCTCTAGAAGAGGAAATTTCTATAGGTTTAGCTTTTCATGCCTTTATACAACCATTCAAGGGGCAGGAGACTTGTCCTACTACACCTGGCTACCAAATTCACTGCAGTGGACAGAGAGTCAGCAAATGTTAAAAGGCACTCCAGAAGGGGTGTCGCTTTGGTGTGGAGACTTTCTGAAGACATTTGGAGAGGAAGAGTGAGCCAAACCGATTTGATGGCATCTTTTGTTTGGATCACTTCCTCGGTACACTGTGATAAATGTCTCAAAACCAGAAAAAGCTGGAAAATATATTGTTGCTCTCCCTTTTTGAAATTGTAGAAAGATACATGGAATACTAAATCAGTGGCCATAAAGCCTGAAATTAATTCAGTTTCATTGTAATTGCCTTATCTCCTTGGTAAGTTCTGTGATTGCACGCAGGCACAAACCTCTCTGTGTGACAATCAGATGGATCTATCTTTGCTTGAGGGCTGTTCTAGAGCAGAAATCCTCATATTAGTTAGTCCTGAAACACACACCTAGAAGATAGCTACCTTTATGACTAGTGGAAGTGCTGGGTTCATAATTATTTTAATTTCTAGGGACATGGTTCAATTAACACACACATGCAAAATTCAAGGTGACTTACAAATATCCAAATCAATTTAAAACAGCTAAAAACAATGATCAGTAAAATGCCGCAAATGTACAAAATGGGCACAGAACCTTTCATATTACAGGCCAAATTTCTGAGAAGCTCTTGGAGATCACAATCCACTAGCGAGCAGGGCCAAACTACCAGCATATTCATCATAAAGCTCTTATTGCTAGTAACTGAGCCTGAGGAAATACATTTCAAACCTTTAAAATGTAGAAAAATGTGCACACAATCCCAGAAACCACCAATCAGTGGTTAGGGGAAAGGCCTGTTGCATGAAGAGCCTTGAAGGGTTGGATTTGGCATCTAGGAAAGCCACATTTGGTCTCCAAGCCAGAGGTTCTGCCTCCCACCGAAAAACAACTGAAACATCACTGACAATTAAATTGATGCATTAGGAAGCCCATTATATACTGCTATTATATAAGCCCATCACACACACACACACACACACACACACACAGAGCCTTGGAATTACTTGCAAAGTAAACACAGACCCAGAATGCTAGCAAAACCTCCTGTCTCTTCTCCTGAAGATGATTTGCAACAGAGAAGTAGCTACTGGGATTTGGTCACACAGAGCTGCGGTGCCACTTGTAGTTTGCTCCTTAGCTCATGCATCTTGTAGACATTTCTATCAGTTCTCAAAAAGAACAGTTTAGGCTTGTTTACTGAGGTCATACTTCACAAGGCCAGCCTTCCATGCTCTGCATGTTGAATCTTACTTTTATTCATTCATCAAGACAGCTAATGTAAAAGTCCCGACCCATCAAAGTTAAAGATCTCTGCCTCTTTTTCCTTCCAGAAAGCAAAACTCCTGTCAATATATCTGCAGATATCATCACTGCTTAAGCCACCTAGTTCAAAGTATTTTCCTGGGATATTTGCTTCCTGTTGAAGAGTCATATTTGTTTTGGATCTTGGTTTCACATTTGTTAGTGGTGGTGTTAGTTCTGTGTTCATAACTGAGTCCTTGTTATCACCAAAAAACTGAATCTTAATATCTTCAAAACTATCTTTCCAGCTTCTTTTGCCTGCAGCAATCTCATCCATTACTGCTTTGTGAAAGGAGCGCACTGTTTCCCACTGATGCTTACCCAAGTGGTCAAAAACTTCAAAGCAAAGGAGATGCCTAGCCTTGCGTTCTTCTGGAAGTAGGTCCAACTCCAGAATGTGGAAATAGCCAAGCATAAACAGGTCAAGAGTTAAGTTATTATAGTCAGCAGGTTCACCATTGACACAGGGCAGGAATTGTTCTGGAGAATAGACAGTGTGCTGGTGACTGAGATGCCTGATCTGCTGAGATGGCACGAGAGAGATTACATCTCTCCAATGCTTGATCAGGTTCTTGATGGTGTATCTCTGCTGAACTAAATGACCCAGCCTGCTCATTTCAGTCAAAGACTTCTGTAGAGGAGCCTGTTGCTTCTTGACCTCTGCCATGACCTCGACCAGCCCCACTTTTCCAGGCTGTTGAGTGCCTAGAGCCTTCCTGGCCATGAGTTTCAAGGAAGGAGTATAGGCCAATTTCTTCCAATGACTCAGAAAAAGCAGCACTATACGCTGTTTTCGCAGGTTACTAGCCTCTACTGTGGAGACAAGAGATCCACCCATTTCAGAAGAGGTTTCCTCACAACTGACTCCAGAGTCGCTGGCACTTTTCATGTCTCTGAACTCATGTTCCCCACAGTCCCATGCCCTCTTGCCCTTAGAAGTACCCGATAACATTTGAGGGGTTGAGTCCTCACCTGTCCCCAGTTCCAATCCTTGGAACTCAAAAGGTTTGCATTGTCCCAAAAGATCTTGTTTTTCAAAATTGCCCCTCAGATTTCTTACAGACACACCACATTCCAAGATCTCCCTTTTAGCAGTGCCTCCTGAAAATCCTCTGACTTTACTTGGCTTAGGAAGCTCCTTCTCATTCTCCTCCTCCTTTTTCAGGCCACTGATATTTGTAAGCAACAGGGACATGCTTTTTACCACTCCAGACATATGGTTGCACCAAGCGGGAAGCTTCTGACCATCATCTTTAGAACTTTGCTGGTTGACTGTGATATTGACGATGGGAGCCGGGAGAACAGTCTGTAGCTCCTCAGTCAGGCATTCTAGTTCACTCTCATACGCCTGGCATTTCTTCTTCACCTGCAGCTTCTCAATCTGCTTCTCCAAGTACAGCAGGTCATCCTCAGTGAGTAGTTCCCCATAGGGGCCCAGGATAGCATTGTGAACCTGGGAGTACTGCCAGTCGCCCATCTGCAGTGTGCAGCTTCCCTTGCTCTAGCGTGGGGGAGGGAAAAAAGTGAGGAACTAGAATGGATTAAGTCATCGGTCAAATGTGAAAACAGCAGTTCCCTCTTGCCAGCCTGCCACAGATTAGATGTCAACATGGTAAACAGTGGAGTCAAAGAATGAAGATGCATCAACAATAATCAAGTCCATTCACAGATCAAGGCAGGAATCACACCTAAAAGTATCCATCATAGGATTACATGTCCCTAACTTATCAGACACCCTGGATATGCAACTGGAAAATTATTTTAAGAGAGCTTTCTGTCTGAGGGACTGACTGAGGGTGCTTCCAGATTAAGCTTTCATTATTTCATGGCCCTGCCTCAGTCTCAGAATAGTACAGGGCTTTCAGATGACACTGTCATCTAATTGTAACCTGCCCACGTTTCCCTCCTGCTTCTTCCATCTTTTTTCCCTACTGCACCAAATGTGTTAAGAAGGGTGGGAAGAGAAGAGAGAAATGCACAATGCCTTGCTCTGTGGCCAACATCTGCTTCAGCCCTTTTCCAGCAGAGCCAGTGGGGAAGGATCATGGGAGTTGTAAGGAAAAACATTTGGAGAACCACAAGTTCTCCATTCCTGGCACAGGATTCCAAATGAAGTACTTAACATGGAAGTATTGTAAGTGATGAAAAGTAGTCAGTGTATAAATGGCAAAAGACAATGTGATAACGCCTTTCCTTCTCTTTGCTGCGTACGGTACCTTCCTGCCCATCCCTTCTTCAGATACCAGCTGGGCCTGCAGTTTCCTCACCATCACCTGCCGCTTCCATTCTGGGATAGAACAGCCTTCTTCATCATGGGTAGGCACCAGGGCATCAATGTCAGACTTCCCCATCTCATCCAGCATTGATGGGCAGGTGCTTGGTACTATGGCTCTTGATGGCACTGTTTTCTCGCCCTGCATAGAGGACAACTGTAGCTGTTAATGACCTTTTTAGCAGTTCAAAGAACAGTTTCTAAGCCCATACCACAAATGATCCTCAAACCATTTTACTATACATTTTCTCAGATTAATCACAGGGAATAGCTCTAGTAGAAAGCTGAGAAGTCCTGTGTGTGCATTGGTTTAAACCCTTCTGAAAGTATTTGGAGGCACATAACAGTTAAATAAATAACTAGGCCGACTGTAAGCAAAACGCAATACAGAAGTGGTTTGGATGAAAAAAAAAACCAAGAAGAGATCATAGGAATGGCAACAGAATACAAATAAATGAGACAGCAATGAAGATTATCATGAAACAGACCACATTTGAAGACAATGCAATAATCCTTACCTTCTGCAGGGATTCACTGAACTTCAGCTCAGCTACCATGGATTGGCTGGGCTCATTGAGTGCGTCCATGTTGAAGATCTTTGAAGCTGGAACAGAGACAAATACAGTGCTATTCTACTCCTGTTGCCCCCAAATTCTATCCCGAGAGCTAAAGATATAATTGTCCACTGATAATCCTAAGCACTTCTGTTCTACATAATTAAAAAAAGGTTCATTTTTCCTTAATAAGTAATGTAGAGATGCACACTATTTGTCATGCCAACAAGGGCACATTGTGCATTTATTATGAACCAATCTAGACACAACAGGGGAAGTCTGTTAATAAGATCTCCCAGGCAGTTACTTATTATGGAGAAAAATAATTGCTGGAATGGAATAACTCATTTTCACAAGTGGAATAGTCTCCATCAAAAGCTGTTCTTGGCCTCAGGGGCAAAAAAAAAAACAACAACCCAAACAAACAAACAAAAAACCAGGCAGCATATAACACAAGCAGAGTGAATGAGCAAGAGAGGCAAGAAGAAAGAACTGAAGGTGATTCTTCACAACATAATGGTCAAATACCCAGTGAGTTCACATCACTTCTGGTTCACGTGAACAGTAGGTGGTGGAGGAAGAAAGAACTTATATAGACACATAGAAGTATACCTTATTGCAGTCTTTCCCAGCCTGGTGCCCTCCATTTGTTTTGTATGCTAATTCCCATCAATCCCAGCTTGGCCAATGCTTAGGAAAGCTGGGAGTTGTAGTTCAAAACATCTGGACAGTACTAGGCTGGGGAGTCTGCTTTATTAGTTCCCCTATATTTCAAAGATACTTTGAAATACAAAGATCAACAATCTTAGTTTTTAGTGACTCTGTTGTAATGCAAAGAGTGCACTTATTTGGACTTGGAAGTTTCCTCTCTTCTTTTTCCCATATTGGTGGTTCCTGCTTTTTCTTTTCCTTCCCCACATTATCTACAGGAATGATCCTGACAAATGGGAGAAGAGCCAGCCCTGTAACATGAATATCCAAGTGTACTAGGGATGGTGGAGAATTTTGTTTGGTCAACATTTTAAAGCAAACTGTCCTAACTTGTACTTTCTGGACCAATGAACAGATAAGATTTCCGTTATCCTCCCTACCGATTATTCCTCCAAATTTTGCAAACAGTTCTCAGTTCAAAAATGTATTACAAATGCATATTTTAGGGGGAAGTGCGTTTAAAGAGATGTATTTGAGAAGAAACCATGTACAAAAATGTGCGTTTTGGGTGGAAAGACATTTTCCCAGCATTTGAGTTGAGAAGGAAGTTTACTCACTGGGTGTTTTCTGAAGAGTGTTCTTCGCTTCTTTCTGCATGTTTGATGTAGGGCTAATATTTGACTGAAGAGGTCTCATTGGCTGCTGGGCCTAAAAATAGGCACAGGACGTTGAGAGGTCTCATTGCTGAGAAATTAAAGCAGTGTTTCATCCCTGTGTCTGCTGAGTGTTTTCTTGCCTCTTCCATTAAATGCCGGACTGTAGTGGCTCATGCATGAAAAGCAACAAAGGCATCTTGACAGCAAAAGTCCCCTAACCTTTTGGAATTCTGAGACAGTGTCATAGGTGCTCCCACAAAATGGCTACTATGTGTGCGTGTGTGTTGGGGCGGGGACTTGCCTTTTCATAAAACAGCTGGCGGAGTAAGCATGGCCTGTCACAAAGAATTCATTTCCTGTAAAGCAAAACAGCAAGAGTACTTCCCAAAGCAACTTGCCCAAAAACCTAAAGACAGAGGTGTTATCTAAGCTGCAAAATAGCCCCACTTTTTTGTACCCAAATAAAATAGGGTGCTGGGAGGCCAGCCCTTTACTTTGCAGCATGCTAGCTTCCCAGTTTTTTTTAATTGGAAGAAATAAAATAAAAACAGGAAGGAAGTCTGATGGCACCACGATATTCATAGTTGCTTTGGTGACCCCAGGCACCATGATGGGGAACCCCAAAGTTAGATTCTGCACTTTGCTTCCTACTGTACCTGCATGATGCAAATCCTCTGAGTTTTTCATCTCCAAAATGAATGTGATAATATCTTTCTGCACAGAAGGGGTGAGGCTAAAAACCTTGCACAGGGTGTTGAGATTAAATCATGCAAGAGTTTTTACATAACGAGGTACTGAGATTATTAAAATAAAAAAGCACAACCCTTACCTTGCCATTTTCCATGCCTGTGAAGTCATTGCTCAGTATTTGATGACACTCTTGTCCAACTGCAGCTATGAGGTATTTATTGGTTGCCTGTAGGCTCTTCACTGCTTGAGCCTCTTGCCTGTTAGAAACACACTGCTGCTCAGCCTGTTGGGACACAGATAATTGTACACAGATATGAAAATACAACTCACTTTCTGTTTTTATGGCTTAGAGCAGGAAAACATGACTTGATTTTCTGTGCAAGTAAATTGAAAGCCATGATCTTACATGAAATGCCAAAAGGACGAAATAGAAGGAATAATCAAGCAAGCATTCTGGTTGAAACCAGGACACCTGAAACATGGAAACACAATAAACCTAATTATGTTAGTGTGCTATTCTATGCATGTTTAGACAGTAAAAGGATTTACAACCTCTTGCATTACACAGCTACAAAAGGAAAATTTCTACCCTGCCTTTTGGTCCTGAAAAGTGCCTTCAAGGTCATTTCCAGATTAAAGCACATAACAGATAATAACAAAAATAACAGAGTAAAAACAAATGCATCAGTCCAAACTTGGAAACAGCGTGAGAAAAAATGGGTCAGAAGGGGTTGAACTGGATTAAACTTTAATAATTAAGGCCCAGCCATTTTTTTAAAGATGCCCTTTTAAAACTGAAGAGAGAGGAGGCCAACCAAGTCTCAGGTGCATAGAGGATCTGCTTTTTAACTAGGCACAGAGAGAGCATTTGTGGGGTTCTGGTTTAGATGACTGACTTTAGCTGTTTTTGCTTTATAAGCCTTGGTATTACATTAGTCCTCAGTAATGCTAGGAGTATTAAAAAAATGAAAATGTTTCATGATGAATCAGCTGAGTTTTAACAAAGGCTGATTCATTTAGATTGAAATATAGTTTTGTGTTACTAAAATCTCAGTATGTAGGTGGCATATTGAAATATGTATGAGAATATTTCCATTTTGCAATTCAACCCTATATTTTCTTCTTAAAAGGAAAGAGCATGGTTAACAGTGTTATCATCAGACCAATGTTAATGCAACAAGCAAAATAACAACAGATACGACTTTCGTGTAAACCCCACCAATTAATCTATTAAAACATACAGTATTTTAAGACCAACCTAGGCAAAGACATAATCTGACACTGGGAAATCCCATCAGTGAGACTGCATTTCAAAATATAAATCCAAGACAAAATCACACAGCATAGCTAGAGTTCAAGACATACAAATATTCTTGGTGTGTTCTGCACTTCCCAAACTGACTGTCTAGAGAAAGGATTTAAGAAGTTTACAGAGGGAATTTCTGGTGTCTTGAGAAGTTTTGGACTAAAGCTCCCATAAACCCTGTTCATTTGTCATGCTGGCTGGGGCTTCTGGAAGTTGTGTTGTAAATATATGGAGGATGTCATGATATCTAACTCTGAACTGGAGATTTTAGTCTGACTAGCAGAAATCTAAGTCGGGAAAAATGCTCACCCTTACCACTACCAGTAGAGGGCCTCGTGGGTTCCATTGGGCAGAAATGACAGCCCGAAATACAAAAGTGTTCAGAGAGACACTTACCAGATGAACCTTTGGTCCTTTTTGGGTTCCATCTGGAACAGAATTGAGAAGAGAGAAGAGGAACAAAGCCCACTCTGTTTAGATCTAGTCCTTAGGATCAGACATCCAGAACAAACCAGACCCAGATCAGACGGCCAGAACAAACCAATGAATATTACTACCCAGTCTCCAAATAAACAGGTATGGGATATCTTCTTCTGTCTAGAGGGCAGGCAAAGGCTGTGCTGTGTGGTAGATACCATGAGGAGAGAGGGGGAAGGTCAAGGAGTCACAATTAGCATTGCATTAATATTTGAAGGCTGGGCATCAGGTGGCTGGAAAGCACATGGGGACTGGAAATTCTGGCTCTATGAGAAAGACATGGCTGGCTGCCCTGACTCCCCAAACTACTTCTTCCTTTTCCATTCATTTCCTGACATGGATGAGCTCTGGACAGAAACAGGGAGAGTTTGTCTGGATTTAGCAGAGCCAAAACACAATTAATGCTTCTTAAGGCACTTGTGCATTTGGATCTCTCTTCATGACCAATAGGGCCAAAAAAAGGGGCAGGCCTCAGATGCCATGAGAGTTGCGTACTTCTCTTCCAAGATAAAATGAATTGCTAAAGCGTTTTGGATTCCTCTCTGAACACTTAAAACCAAATCAGAAGTGATGGCTTCTTTTTTAAAAGCAGCTACTGGACACTCTAATTTTGATTAAAGCAGCAACTTGAGGGGGGGGGTTAATCTTTCTTTTTGTGCCCCCCCCACCAATGTTAGTTTCCAAGTCCAAAGTGCCCCTCCCTAAAGCTGCTATCAGCTGCACAGTGGGAAAAATACAGGTTACCTGTCTCATGCTTATATTTTTAACACTGTAAAACTAACTACCACTAACAGCAGTTTCAGAGTAGTGCTTTCAGAAAGAGCAAAGAGGCAAAGGATTGCACATCCATTCCTTGGTACACCATCCTGAACAAAACTGAAATCCCTGCAGTGGCTTTAAAGCATGTGTGGGTTTTTTAAAGTAAGCTGTGAGATCTAGCAGTAGCTCTGTCATTTGTGGCATGGCCTTTGCAGGAATAACTTCTCTCCTCAGATCAGCCTCCATACATTATATATGGATATAATCAATTAGCAGAGTTGGATTACAAAAGTGTAATTTAACCAAGGGGTTGGAATAAAATAATGAACTATGAGCCAAATGAACTTGGAACAATTAATGCTGTCCAGTGAGATAATTACTACTATACTAGCTACTTGCTAAGAATTTTCAAGGCTATGGAATGTTCAAGTGTTATTCCGGAAGAAGGCTCAGCTCCATTCCTGAGCATGCAATTGTCATCTAATTATCGCCACCACAGCCCCTACCAAAACTCTTGGGGTGTATAAAAGCCAATGCAAAAACACCCTTGATTTTAGAACAACAAAAACTGAGCATAGTTTAGCATTATAATGCATGAGTATTATGATATACTCAAATGCATTTTACTGCATTGTTTGAGCTTTGAACTGAATAAAATTCACAGAAATGTGAGATCTAGCAACATTCTGATCTGTACATTCATTCAGAAGGTATACAACAATTCATATAGGAATTTACTCTGAACAATTTCCCCAGGCAACCCTGTTTGTGGTTAACAAAATCATTATGGCATAAGATTTCACGACCTAGAGCCCATTTCATCAGATTCATAAAGTGCATTTTTGTCATAATTAATCTGCTAGCTCTTTTCACTATAAGCTTCTTTGTTCTTTGTGCTGCTGAAGCCTTACGCAGGCACCTCTCTTGGACTTTTGTTCCAAAATTCAAGCCAACTAAGGGAAGCATTTGATGCTACCCCTATTCCAATGCAGCTGAACACTAAGACTGCTAATATCTGACCAACTTCTAGTGAAACATCCTGGAGATTTTATAGGTATGCATGAATAGAAACCAATTATAGATGCTTTAGATATCCTGCGATATGGAATGAAGTTGAAGTAGATTAGTTCCAGCTCCAAACATAGCGGAGGAAAAATGGCTTCCTTAAGAAAAACTGCCCAAGAGCTGGCAAACAGCTGTGCTCTGGTGGATGTTCCCTGATGGAAAAATGCCGTCCAACACTGGCTGTGAAGACATCACACAAATATAAGAAGTAAATGATCTATAATGGAACAAAGGCTGTACTTGTGAAGTGGAAACAGGATCGAACCATGTATGTCAAAGTGCTGAGAAGAACATGTAATTCTAGCTGGGGACGCTAGTGAACAAAGATTGGCTTAGCATAGACAACTGCATACAGTGGAGCTAATTACAGAAAAGGTAGAAAGCAGAACACCTGGAGGTCTTTACCAAGAAAAACAAAGGGCATATCAACCAGCCACTGCCCTTATGCTTACAGTTAGGTAGGGAAAGTTGCATGTTTTATGATTTCAACATTACCGATACTTGATGTGGTGATACAAAGCATGTAGTAAGGCTGGACCACATTTTGGTGATTTTAACTACAGAAAAGGAAAGAACAGCAAATGAAAACAAGTGATTAACAAAGAAAAGATTACCCCTATTCAGGATCAGAAACTGGCTATTTCACCCCCTGCACTGTATGGAATCTAGTAGCAGCCAATTCAGTTAATCTGCACCATAGAAAATGGTCTTGGATGCACATAATGGATACTTGAGCACTTTAACATCAAAGGTTTCCCTTGCATTTGTGGTCCTCAGAAATATAAATGCTTTCTTCCCACACAGATTCCAGGGAAAGCTACTACAAGGAGCATGTGATACAATCATGGAAAGTGGCTTTTTGTACAGACACAGGAGTATTTAACACTACAGACTCTCATGAGCGTGTTATTCACAATAAATGACTTGATAATACATAATACTAAGATGTGTTGCTCTTCTGTGATACTTAGCTGATTTCCACAGAAATGAACCTTGTGCATTTTGCAACTATTTCAGATTTCTGTTCCTAAAAAAAATGTATAGCAAGGGAAAAAACTGAAAGAAGCTGTTGCAAAACACAGGAAGATGATGTCATGTAGACCCATCATAACACTCCATTAATAGCAAAGTAATTGCACATTAAAAGCACCCTAAGTCTGCCATTCTGTTCTTTTAAAAAAAAGATTCTGCTTATCATGACATTTCCACTAAAACCAATAATGAAATAAGTACTATGCCAACAGAGGCTGTTTTGTCAGTCCTATCATCACTTCAAAAATATGTTTTGATTTAAAATAAACAATCCTGCCTCTCTGAGAAGAAAAAAGGATGTTTGGGAGTATAGGAAAGGCAGAGAATGAGCATCTTGAAGTCAGGGCACTTGTAAACATGAGTGCAACCGCTTAAGAGTTGAGGCATTTGGTATGTGCTTGTTATTCCTTACTCATGGTCATTTTGGGGTTTTTCGACAATGTCATGATCCTCTACTCTTGCTTCTCTTTTGTAAACAACAGCTTCCATTACCTCCTTAGAGCAGGGAAAATGGACTTTGTTTCCAATTGTGAAAGAAAGCACAATTTCCTCTAATATATTTGTGCTATTCTGTTGTACCACCCTGTCACCTAGAGGTTATATAGTGGAAAAGCAAGAAAGGAAATACTCTGTAGTGCTCAGATCTGAATTCTGTAATGAAACTGGAAGTAGATGCAGTGGATTGACAGCTTCATGTAGAAAAACTCTTAAATACTACATCTAGTGTGTGTGTGTGTGCATGTGTTTGTGTGCATAGTTTTTAGTAACAAATTGGAGGATCTGCCTGATTAATCGTTGTAACATTAGTAGCTTTCATGGAGATGGAAATAGTCTAGCTCATCTAATTTTTTAAAAGCAGCCATGTGTGCTTTGAGAAGCACCATGTTAAAGGATGCACCTCTTTCACAGGGGTCCCTGTGCACCACTCTTTCTAGCTATACAACATCTAGTGGAAATAATCAGTCTGTACCCAGTATTCATGTAGTCACCAGGTGCTTCCTTTGCTAAGTGTCAGGGTAGGCTGTGTCATGACAGGTGAGATAGTCAATGCTACTTAATGGAATATTGATGAAAGATGTAGTATCAGACAAGAAACACAAAGACAATCTGCCTGTGTCAAGTTAAAGGGACTGGTGCAGGAATATATGATTTTCTGGTAACCAAATCTACATCATTTATCATCATCATCAGTTTCATTTCTATACTGCCTGTAGCTGAAGCTCTCTGGGTGGTTTACAACAAAGTATAAAAGCAATAAAATATGTTAAAACATTAACAAGAATTATAAATTAATTTAAAATAGCAGAAAATACATTATATTAAAAGACAATAAAAAGGTCCAGCCAAGAATAAAAGAAAGGCACCTGGATAATCATTTCAGGCTGTTGAATGGCTGGAGAGTTTTTTAAGACCTCTGCAAAGAGGACTGTCTTAACCTGGCACTGCAAATTACGTAAGGGGAAAAAACAGACTCAGATCTTTTCTTTTCTTTTTTCTTTCACTTTAGACTAGACTTCACCTGACATCTTGTAACATTTACTATTAAATGTTACAATGACCTTCAAGGTCCCTTCCAACTCTAGTATTCTATGATTCTATGACTGTAAAGATTCTAGTATGAAAAATGTTCTTGTGTGAAATTGTTGCTTGTAGATGCCAAAGGAACTCTGTAGAGCCTTTGTGTGTCTGTCAAACAAAAGGTCTAAAGGTAGATCCCTCTGTGATTTGTGATTAGTAGGCATAGGATTTCTGACTTCTAATAGTTAATGAGAGGGGCAACAAAATAATTCTGCTCCCTGCCATAAATTTCTGCTGAAATTCAGAAAGATTGGACTAGCCAGGAACAGCTCATGTTCCATTCCATTCCATTCCATTCCATTCCATTCCAGTATTCTGGTATTCAATACAAGTTCCTGGGGTGAGAATTCTTTAATTTTAAGGGCACGTCTTTTGCACTAAGTTCTGACTGGGGGATCTCAGGGTTTGTTTGTTTTTTTAAAGTGAATTTCCTAAGCCTAAAGTCTGACCATTCCCAGACTAAAAAAAATCCCCAAAGCTAATCCTGCTCAGTAATGCATCCAAGAAAGGTTCAGTTGTTATAGGTTGCTACTCCTTTTCAAATATACACTGTATGCAGAAGCAGAGTAGTTTCCAAGTGTATTTATGCAAGAACAAAGTGCATCGGGTCGATCAGTGACAGAACTATGTTTTCTGACGTTCTCCCCCACCTCCCAACTTCATCTACCCACACGACCCGAAGAGGAAAGATCCAGAGTTCTTATGTGCAAGACCATAGGTAGGCAGTGCTGCTTTAATCAGCCATTGCCAAGGAGTGTTCTAGAGAGATTTTTTTCCTTATCAATATTTTACTGGGAAACTGAGTGATAACAGAGGGCTCTGGTTTCAGAAGGCCCTATTCCAAATCTCAGTTTGTGGCAAAGATTTACTATTGTTTGGTGAAACTTAACCGCTTGATTAGGATTTCAAGGCCACCTTCTCAAGTTCATTGCCCTGCTGTACTTTCCTGTGCCACTGGAGAGCCTCAGCCATGGAAACTTCCAGAAATCTAGGTGCTTGGCTAAAACTTCCATCCAAGAGAGCATTCCGTGCTCTTCCTCCTGAGTTTCTTATCTTGCTATCAGTTGCCTGCTAATTGCTTTCTAGTATCTGTGTCCCAGCAGTGGCAGAGCCAGACTGAATGCTTGGCAGCATGCTGGCTGGTTGTTACCATGTGCTAGGGACATAGGTGAAAATTTTCCATTCTGCTTCACAGCAAGCCAAAAATAGCCACAAAGGCAGAAGGAGCACAGATTGGATTCCTTCTGGGATGTCGCAGCGGGCCAGCCTCTCACTCCAGCACTTAGCTGCTTCATAAGATGGGGGGAAATTAAGTGGCACAGCTCTCTTGATCACTTAGGGCTTGTTGAAGCAGAGGGATGGGCTCAAGAGGACAAGAATCAAATGGCCATGAAGCAAACAAATCCAAGAATTCAGAGGTCCCACATCATGAACCACCCAGTGACTAATCTATTATCTGGCAAGTGGATCAGCAACACATTTTGCTGTATGGAATGCTCCTATTCAGCATTCCAACCTGCTTGTCATCCCTCAATAAATATTTGTGTTTCTAATTAATAGTTCATTTTGTAGAATTTTCTCAGTATTTGCTCTAAGTGTTCCATTAATACTGTTTCTACATTTTTAAAAGACTAGCTTTCTGCCTGTATTTTTAACAAAGGATTGGAGATCAACATAGCTACTTTTTTCATCATATGGATGTCTTCTCACTTTTTTTAAGCAGCTTACCTAAAGGACCAGCCCTGCAACATACAAGCCATTTTCAGTAACTCACAAAGATGCCAAGAACTGTATATCAAAAGATAAAGTTTCCGTTACCAGCTTCTGCACTTCTTGCAGGTAACAGGCGCACTGCCTGTGTCCATTGTATTCTGCAAGGTCCCATGCAGTGTAACCATCTCTGTCACGGATGCTTGGATCAATTTGGTGGGAGATCAGCATTTGACAGCACTGCAAATAAATGCACCATCAGCATTTGACAGCACCATCACCCCAGTCCACATGCAACCCATTCATGCACACTGAAGCCAGCAGCTCCCTGGTGCAGGTGGGAATTCTCTCTAATTTGTTTACCAGAGCACTTCCCACAAATAAGACAATTGTTTGTCGTTAAGTGGCAATGACTTAGGGGCAGAACGAATAATCAATTGATGTGACAGTAATTATCCCACTGAAGGCTATGTGATTGTCAACTTATTATAGCAGCTTGCAACTGGTTGATGAGTATGTTGGTTGCAAGGAAAGAATGGCTGTGACGGGCAGTCCGTGCTATGCAGTTCCATTCAGTCAAGCCATTTTGTGTTCACTGGCATTCTCCCATTGCCATTTCAGACAAAATAATCTTGAACCAATATGGCCAGTATGACAGGACTACACTGCAAATCCATGTGGTCTGGAGCTGGCAACTTCAGAGGGACCGGGAGCCAATTTCTGACTGCTATTGCACACAGGGCTGCCACCACCACACTGCTGAGATCACTGCTGCAGAAATTTTGTTGTTGAAATTTGGCAGCAACAACAAAGCCACATATTCAGTTGAAGACAAGGCATGCAGGGAGAAGCAGAAGCTGCAACATGTTAGAGAAGGCTGTTATAACATGTTCACATCTCCTGAATATGTCCAGATAGGAAGATCTTTGCCATTCAGGTTAATTGCATTACAAGGTATTTTGCCTAGCAGTTTCAGCTCTTCAAACTTGTGCTGATAGATGGAACCGCTCAGTTACCAAGGGCAACCGGCACAACAACAAACAAACATGTTCCAATGCTGGATTTGGAAAAGGGCCAGCTTCCATATTATCTACAGTGCACTGAATCCTTAAGGAAGCTCAGTTGGGACCACATGAAAAACTGTTTCTATTGGACTGCATCATGCATTCACTTTTGATTCTCTTTCATTCACTACCCAGGTAGTCCTGTATGGGACTACTGGGTACGGTTTATAAATCCAATAAATAAATAAATAGTGAAATTTCTTCCTGCTCTCACATACTAATGCCTCAGGATAGAGTCTAAACTGGAGCCCCTTCTGTTGCTGAGACACTACTGTCCCAGTTTTATTATCAGTTGCAATCACTCCTTCCTGGTCACGTGTGAAGTAATACAGTGCAATATGAGGTACGTTAAGAATATATGTTGGTGACACACTTTGCACTTCCAGGAAATGTTGCAACTCCATGACAAGCAGGAGGAGTATTTATGAAGGTGTACCTTGAGTAAGTGCCACATACTAGCATTGTTGCAATTGCAAAAGTAATCTGAGGTTCACAGGTTAAAAGCAAGTAGTTCTTCATGCAGCACATCATGCAGCTATGAAATCCATATCCACAAGATGCAGAGATCACTACCAGATCCAGTAAATCCATGGAAGAGAAGGCTATCAGCGGCTAATGGTCCTGATGGCTACATGGCTACCTCCAGTATCAGAGGTAGCAATCCTACATACTCCAGTTGCTGGGGAACAAGGGTGGGAGGGTGCTGTTGCATTTAGATCCTGCTTGTGGGTGTCCCACTCTGAGTGTGCAAACTGACTTCGGAGGTGTTCTCTTGGTGGGCAGGTTGGGGCTGAGAGGAAGAGACAATGTCAGGGGAAGTGCGATGCAAGAAGTGAGTTCTGGCCAGCCCGTCATCCCATATTCTCCACATGCTGCCGTCAAATACCTCTAAGTGCCCATTCTCTGCAGCATCATGGAGGGGAGTGCCTCCCCAGCGGTCCAGCACCACCTCGGCACCCATCAAAAGAAGCCTGTCAACAATGGTGGCGTGTCCCTCTCGGGCAGCAAAGTGGAGTGCAGTTGCTCCTTCTGCGTCTTGTGCCGTGAGGCTGAGGTCCGTGAAGGTCACCTGCACAAAATAAAGGGAGATTAAACAGTGCAATCAGGACTGACCTTCTGTGATGGATTCTGCTCCTGCCCCCACACCCCGCCTTCAACTGGTGTTACAGATAATGCATGTACTTAATTTTCAAAAGTCGGGTTAATCTGGCATGTAATAAAATAAACGGTCTGGAAGCACTGGTGGTTTCTGAAATATTACATTGCAATAGTCTTGCTTACAGTGAACAAAATCTGCCACTCTAATGCCCATTCTGTCAAGGTATTGCCTTCATTTCCTAGGGAAGACCTTTTCCCAGCTCCTATTAACTTTCTCCCAATGTTCAATGTAAAATCCTGCCCAGCAGCAAAATGATCATGTACCTTCTCCAGTTTTTGCAAGTGATATAGTGGCAATGGTGTGGGGACAACCAAAAAACCTCTGGATGCTTTGCTACTGTGGCAAAAAGCTGCTTGAGCTTTAACTGTAAGCTATGAAAACTCTGCTACAAGAGCAGAAGAGTGGCTCATGGCCAGCAGGTACTCTTAAGCAGTGGCTGCTAGCAGGTATGTGCAGGCCCTTGGCTTTTTCTCTTTTGGACAGGTCAAGAGGGTAGCTGACAGAAGGGAACTGGACAGGCTTGCTGATGGCCCTGCGAATTACCATGCAGATGGCCTAGGAGAAGATGGGCAGGGGCATGATTTGCCACCCTTTCTGATCCATCGCCTGAGCCATGGGGCTCACACTGGATCATGGTATGAGCTGCTTGAAAAATAGTTAGAATTAAGCTTTAAAAACATTGGTATGACCTTGATATTATACGGAATGTAATGCAGTAATAATAATGGATGTCCAGAGGGAATTATTTGGGTTACAAGCAAATTAAATCATAGCATTTAAAAGAGCTCCTATGCTGTTAGTAAAGTGATAAGAGTCCCATAGTTTGGTATATTACTATAGAATAATCTGTAGAGGATAACTTGATGGAATTGATTGACTCGTTATTGATCAGAACTGAAAAAACAGAAAACAGAAAAAAATGGTTGCATTTCTAGACATTATTTTTTGGGGGGGGTATAGATTTCTTGCACATTGATATGTATTTATTTTTATTAAGAATACATACATATAGAGTTTGCATTCTGTTAAGAAATAAATATAAAGTCAAAGATTCCAAGCACTTTCTGGTAATCTACTTCACATTTTCAAGCTGTCCTTTAAGAAATTTTATCCTGCTGATTCCTAGAGTGTCATTCTTTTTCATTTTTTAAATAAAGACCAATCAAATTGGTACTAAATATTTATCTATACATGAGCTGAGTGTTGAGCTAACAGAAAGCACTGGGTGGGAGAAGGGAAAATGGAACATAGGCTTGTAAAAGTAAAAGACATTGGGAGATCCTGATGGAAAAATCTGATCAGCTTCAATAGAAATTCTATTGACCAGACAGAGCAATGAAAGTTCTCTAAATGTGCAATGCCTTCTAAGGTCAACCACAAGCAGGACTAGCACTTTACAGATATTCAGTAGGAAACTCACCTAGAAGAGCCTATGCGTTCAGTTGTCAAATTGCAGACTTACCAGCCAGACAACAATGGCGTAGTGGCCACCACAAGCAGCTGCGTGCAGCACCTGCATGCCATCGTGTGCTCTCAGGTGCACATCAGCCTTACAGTCCTTCACCAGAAACTGGATGATGTGCAGGTGGCCCTCCTGGCAGGCCAGGTACAGCGGGGTAGCTCCACTCCGAGTCTGCTTGTTCACACAACTGTTGCACAAGAGAAGTGAATGGAGATATTAGAAGTGGCAGCAGGATTTTTCACCACTGTGGATGGGTGGTACTTGGTGCTCTGAGTGCCCTGATGAAAGAGTGAGATAAAGTGTAATAAATGAAACATTTTGCATGGGGGTCATATAAATGAATGTCTTATTTAAAAATATCATTGTAGGCTCTAAAATGAACTGAACAAACAGAAACCATTGCATAAATTTCTGCTCTGAGTGTTTATTTTGCACTTCATGTTCAGTTGCTTTACTTGCCAGAAGGGGGCAACCACATTGCTTTCAATCTCATCTTCCTCACCTGTGGATAACAGTCAAAAGGGTTTTGTGATGGCTTGTATCTTTTGTTGCCTGGCGTATATAGGTTCTAGCAAGCTGCACTGTTGGTTCTTAGGGCATTTCACACATGAGAATTTAAATCAGCTTAAGAATTACAGAAAGAAGAGCAAAGAAAAAGTTGCCTTGGGCAGAATGGTCCATCAGATTCCAGATACTTATCTACCACTTTTTCTTCCACACTAATAACGGTCAGGTTTAAGAGCTCAAGAGGGACTCCAAGGATGGGCCACCCTCAGACATTTGTTTCCTGATATGAAGGGCATGATGGTGTACAGAGGAATTAACCAGACTAGTGAGTAAATCTTGCTTCTATGCTGGCTGCTTCTACTGCCCAGGAAGGCAGCATGGCACCTTATGGGAAAGCATACAGCTTTGCCTTCCTAGAAACTTCTGACAGTAGCTGCTTCACTCTGCCCAATGGAAGGGCTGGCCCTACTCAAAGTTGATTTAAGCCTCCATGTGATAATGGTCTTGACTGCGTTTTGTCACTGCTTAGCTATGCTTGCCTCTGGTATACTTTTTTACCATCTTGAGTACTCCATGCTAGGTCTGTCCTGAGGCATTTTCCTGCTGGAAGCAGGTTGGAAAAAAATTCCATAGACGCCCCTGAGTTCCAGTTTTGGGCATGTCAATGCGCAGACAGTGCTAGAGCATCTCCTTGGGAAGCAGAAGGCCCAGAGCTCCATCTGTGGCATCTTCTCTTAAAAATCATATTTCAGTTGATGGAAAAACCTCTGCTTCAGGAACTGGAGAGGCACTATTAGTTAGAGTAGCTGTTACTAGGCTAGACAAATAGTCTCCCCGGCTTCCTAAGTTCCTAGCTCAAGTAGCTTTCGATAAGAGGCAGGCTGGCATAGTGCTTAAGAGTGGGGGACTAGGAATCAGGAGATCTGGGTACAAGTCCCCATTCAGCCATGGAGCTCTGTAGGTTAACTTCGGCCCAGCCACAGACTCTCTGCGTCACAGGGTTGTTGTTGTGAGAATAAAACTGAGAGGAGGAGAATATTTATATAATTTGCCTTGAGTGCCTTGAAAGGAAAAAGGATAGGGTATAAATATAACAAATAAATAGCTAACCTCTCCTATTTTGGTTGTCCCTTCCCAATACTTCTGCTCCTTTAGCTTCTTCCTTTACACAAGGAAGACTGAATAAGCTTAGTGGGCTACAGTTAAACACCACAATCTCAGCACCAAGCTTCTGGGGCTAGTTGTGGGTAGGGTGATACTGGTGAGCACAGAGGCTGGTCAGGAGAAATAAATCCAAGACAGATGCCCCTATATGATGCATGTGCACAACATCAACTAGAAAGGTATTGCTGAAGGTTCAAAGGACCAAAATGGTGATCCTAAAGCAGCACTCCACAGATGTTGCTACAACACCAAATTTTCAGAAGTAGGGAGGTGAGGAGGCAAGCTCAGAGCAAAAGGACGGAATTAGTCCATTTCATAGATATGCCAAGATGGGTGAAAGCCAGATGGAGCTGACCCTGCCCATTGCTTTATCTTCTCACAGCTGTAACTCAAGTAGCGAAATCAAATAAAATTAGAGCCAAGTCAATTAGTTCCCACCCACCCTTAACAAAACCCCAAGTTAACCCTGGGTCAACTCTTACTCCTCAGTTTTACAGTTCAGCTTATTTTGTTGAAAGTACATTGCCCTGGGAGTACTGTAGATTTTGTTTGCAATCCCAAATACACACATGAACACACCCTGGCTGGGACTGAGTCCCACTGAATTCCAGGGCACATACTTCTCCACCAATAGATGAAGGATTGCACCATTAGGGAGTAACTACCCCAACTGGTGTAGAGTTTTTGCATTTCTTGCAGGGAAAATTGATACTGAGAGCTGCTGGGCAATAGTAGACCACTGAAGAGGATAAGAGCATTGGGGCAGATGGTTGTGGTGACTGTTGGAAACACAATCCTCTTCAATTAAGATCACACACGCTTGCCTTCTGTCCCTCGACAAACAAAGGCAAAGCATCTGGAAATGCAGTGGCATGGCAACAAAACACCAGGAAAACTGCTTTGTTTTATGTTCTCAGAGATCAGAAGCATGTTTGCATGTGGTCATTTTCAGCTGCTTTTTTTCCATATGCACTAGTCCCCTGTGTGAACAGAATATATACTCTTTTGCAGCCTCTCTGTACAGCTTCAGATGCAGAACTCACACAGATGTGTACCCACACTGCAGCACTGAGCAGACTGCTTCCTCTGTGTATGCACTGTATTTAAGACATTTATAAAGCAAAAGGATTTCTGCCTCGAGTATTCTATCTATCTATCTATCTATCTATCTATCTATCTATCTATCTATCTATCTATCAATCACATAATATATACAACATAACCCTATGCATCCATGGCCTTGGTAGAGAGCTGCAACAGTATACTGAAGAGACTAGTCTGGTACAAGGATATCATTTGGCTGGCAGATTATTTTATGGACTAGGCTTGTGAGCTGGGCTATTTGCACCAGAGAGAGGTGGGAATGTAGAACTGTCCCTGGGACAATCACATGGTTGCTGCTGAGGCAGAGCCGTGTTTGAATGTTTTGCCGTCTCATTTAAAAAATGAAATTACCTGAAAAGCAGCAGGCTGGTTGAGTTAAAAATGTTTTCCTAACAGAAAGAAACATGGAGGAAAATCAGAGTTCTGCACCTGCCCAAGCTGAGTGGTCACCACCTCTATAGGGCAATATACCACCAACTCCCCAAGGGAATAATTCAGGAGAGGCAAACAAGCAAAGAGAACACCAGGCTTCTGCATCTGCCACTACTCCACCTGGGCTGGTTGTGCTTTTAATGTATGGTTCATAATAAATCCATTGCAATGTATAAATGTTGTGATCTGCTTGGAAGACTTTCACTTCAAAAGCAGGATATAAATCTACTAAGTAGAGATTGCTAGAGGGTATCTCCTCTAACACCTGCAACATAAAGTGATATATAGTCCACACCACCACCTCAGGTATCATAGGCTAGGAAGGCGGAGATTAGGAAATGGTACCTTGCATTCTGTGGTGCCCCCGTAAGAGCCATACGTGCAGCTTTTGCCTACCTGTGGTCTGCAGCGATCAGTAGTTGCAGGCAAGTCAGCTCTCCCTTGGCGGCTGCATAATGAGCTGGCACGGCTCCTTCCCGCGTCTCCATTGCAGTGTCAAAGCCTGCTTGGATCAGCCACTCAACCGCTTCTGAATGTCCAAAGCGAGCAGCCAAATGGAGTGGAGAAGCTCCTGAAGCATCTTGTTCCTAAGGAGAGAATTAAAAACGGTACTGGAGCAATGACCACTTCTTTCCCACTTTAGCTGCACTTTCAGAACTGGTTTACAACTGGTTACAAGACTTCTGCAATACAGAAGTCATTCACTGAAAGAGCATGTGTGTAGCAGTGCTGCTGTTTGCAGTCAACCCTAATTGACTGTTCTGCATGGCAGTTATAAAAAAAACAGCAGCTTTACTCCATGAAGTAGTTCCTATGTGGAGCATTTCAATGCCACTACTTCTGCCACCAGCAGAAATCTCTCCAGGCCCAGCATCACAGAATGGCAGAGGCAGGCTCTGCTGAAGGCCCAGAGGTTCGAAAGGCCGAGTCCTGCCACACTTGCCGTCAGTGCTAGATGGCTGCCGCAGTCTTTTCCTTCTGTTGCAGGCCTCCTGTCTTGCCAGCCCCTCTGGCAAAAGGAAGCACCATAGGAACTGCTGAAACTCCAGGGGCTTGGTCCACCCAAGGCATCTTACTTCAGATTTGAGGATAGAATGTAGGGGATAAGGGTGCTGCAGATTTAGCAAAACTGTGTGAATATTGCTTCGAGTAAGTCAGTAGTTCCTATGGAGGAGGGAGACAGTGTTACCAATATATGATTTTCTGCTTTAAAAAAAAATCTAAGGGCATGTAGGCAAAACACAATGGTCCTGTTTTTGATCTAACTTCTGCAGATGACAGGCTGAGGGGGACCACTTCTGTGTGATGCTACCTTCTAATGAGAAGTGACTCAGGATTTGCTTTTACACAGAGATGTATGTGTTGCATGATCTCTTCGAGGTGCTCAGGAACCTGTCTTGACTGGCATATCAGATGATACAGGAAGCCAAAATAGTCTTATGCTATTTAAGCCAATATGTATAAGCCCCAGAGGAGGGAGAAGGGCCAGAGTCACAGGCATGCATGGTTGGGCACCTGCCAAAGGCTCACGCCCCAGCAGGAGCCCACTGGCACGAGTCCCTTGAGTAGCTTCCCTTTTCACTATTGCACCTTGACTGTTCTTCTGCCTCTGCTTGTAGACAGAGAGCTGTTTTCCTCACATTCTGTTAACCAAAAGCAATAGCATGGATAAAAGTACATGTGCTTGTCTAACTGTAAAAAAGCATCACAGTTTTCTGTAGCTGTTGAATAGGCACCCCCGTTTTATGCCAACCACCTTACCTGCATGCTGTACCCTCCATCTTTGATCAGCCACTGTAGTTCAGCCAAGTTCCCTAGGACTGCTGCATCGTGTGCTGGAGTAGCACCATTGTTTGCTCTCTGGTTCCCGGGAAGCTTTGCTTGCAGTACCAGGAACTTTAGGCACTCCAGCCTGCCTGCTCTCGATGCATGATGGACCAGGCCTGCTCCCAAGCCATCCGTGATGTTCTGGTTCAGACCACCATCTACATGTAGCTGCTCCAAAGTGGTTAAGTCTCCTGCTTTAGCAGCTAAAATAGCCCTGTGGTCTCCCATCACCAGCAGCCTTGCTGTTATCTTTACTGGAAGGTACTACTTTCTCTGAGTCTCTTGTTTAATGTACCAGACAGCTGGTGTATGTCTCTGGTTACCAGGTAAGGCAAGGCAGGAAGCATATGTTCTCCAAGGGGGCTTAAAGAAGGGGCATGTGGCTGCTGAGAGAGAACAGCTAAACTCTAATGGCAGAGCTGCAGGTCTTATTTGCTTTCCTTCCTTAAGTAGCACCCAGTCCTAAATCCTTAAGTGAGGCAATTAAAAGTAAAGCAAGCATTTGTAAAATATAAGAGACATTCAAATACAACACCCTTATGACTGGAGTCTTGGGGAACTGAACTGCATGACAGAGTTTCAGGGATTACCCGAGGACTGTAGATCCTGCACTGCTGGTCTAAAGTATTTCCTGCACAACCACCTCACAGTTTATTTTAATATGCATTTTAAGAGTAAGACTCGCATTCAAAATGACCATATCTGTAAACAGAAATAGCTCTGGTGCTGCTGTTTTTTCTCATGTGGAAGAAAGCAGAACAGATTCATCCAATCCAACTTAAGAATGTTGCTTGCTCAGATTTTGGCTTTGAACCCCTCTGTACCCAGTCTTCTTTGTGGTGCTGAATTAGTGTTACCACCTTTTCTCTGACAGGCCCTGCATCTTTGCAACTACACAATAGGTAGGTAGCATAAGCCCCCCTTCATTCTAGGAATAACCGTAACCCTAACTGTACCTATTGAATCTGGGTGGTACAGATGGCCAAGGATGTCTTTTGGGGACACAAAGAACTTGAAATTTAAAAAAGTGGGAGAAGACAAAACTGGCATGATCATTCACCCATATCTTGGGGTTGTAAGTCTTCCAACACTGAAGTAATTCGTATTCCAGTATGATGCACTGACAAATAAGGTAGATCCTTGCATTACATTGTAAAATTATGAGGCTTCCTACAGAGCCAAGTTGTCAAGACTGCCTTGTATTTTACCCCTTTTTTTACAAAAATGAACACAAATAATGTGCATTCATCAGTCACCTTTTAAAAACATTATATTCCCAACCAGCTGCCTCTCTTCAAAAAGGGGTTATCCCAGGTGAGCAGGCACCCAGAGCAGTTAATGAGATTGAAATCCTCAAATTAGTAATAAGGAGTATCAAACATTAAGTGCAGAGCCACAGATTGACTACTGCTTTTGCTTGTTCAAGTCTGTATTTCTATGAATAACAAGAACTGTTATAAACAAGATTTTATTTTAATTCAAATTGACACTGAAATAGGCTTATTTTAACAATACAATTTTGTGCATTACATTTTAACTTTGTGTCTCTTTTACAGCATTACCCACCATTGCCTTCAGAACAGGACTATCTAATATTTGAAACAAGTATTAACATCCTCGAAGATCAACAAGTGTCTTGGGATGGATAATTTTCCGTTGAAGTTGCAGTGCAGCAGAACCTAAAAACCAAGTACTATTCCTTCACCTCAGTACTAAGAGCAATCTCAATGGACCTGGCTGTACAGAGGCTGAAATGGATGCCAGCCAACTCCAGGAATAATTTAATTGCCCTTCTAATCCCATCTACCATGGTTTTGAAACTCAAAAGCCTTTAAAATATGTATTTTAAATAACATTCCAAATGGACATTACCACCTATCTTAAGGGCATTCAACCTCCACAATATTTATCTCAAGTCCTTCCTATTCAGTGAGATTCTTGCAGTGTTTCTCATCAATTAGTGCCAGCGCGCCACTATCTGTAATAGCTTTGGTATTTTCCTATGACAGTATAACATATTCTTATGCTAGTTGATTCGCAGTTATCTTTGGTAGTGGATACTGGCATGCCAAATCCATGGTGCCAAGAACATAAGGAAAGCTATACAGTCCCAAAATATGTTTCTATTGATGTGACAAATCTTCTGAAGCATCTGGCTCCAGCAAGTCAGAAATGGAGTACCTGGCAATTTGATGCCTAAGATCCCTTTCTTGCTGGGTTATGTAACATTTACCTTCTTGTGAGATGAGAGCTAATGGCTTCCAATGCACAACACCAAAAAAAAAAAAAAAAAAAAATGCTTGAGGACAACTCCTTCTGTTGCTCTGGGAATGGGAGACATCCTCAACAATGAGTCTATGATATCAACATATACTCCTCTTTAAGTCTGGATGTGCATACAGATATAGCACTAACATCTTTGATCATATGCTCAACCCTCATAGTGCATGCAGCATTTTGTGTATACACACACCCACACAGTTATCCCTACTTCCCTGGAACAGCAGTATATAGCCTCCTCGGTGTAATTATATAGTGACAAAATAACTACTCCGTATTCCTATCAAGGCTGCAGAAATCCAAGCAGTCAACAGAAAAGCTAAAGAGCTTAACCAAGAAAGATCTGAGCTCTGCTTGCCTTGCCACCGTGCCTCAATCACCTGCCATTTTTTCCTGATCCCCCCTTTGTAACAAAGGAGCCTTCTTCAACCTGGCATCCTCCAGATGTGTTAGTCTACAACTCCCATCATTCCCCAGCCAGCATGGCTACCAACTGTAGACCAGCATGGCAGGACTACTGGCTAAAAAAGAGAGCACTATAGATCTTCCTTTTGTCTAATACGAAAGAGCCAGTACCCAGGATAGAGGAAATAAGCAAGTATGTGCCAGAAATAGTTTTGCATAAATGTTCCATGGTACAAAGCTGCTAGATAAGTGGGATGACAGAGAATACCCTTTATTTTCCTCTCTGTTCACTTGACCCATGGAACCAAACACAGTGCCTGCAGAAGCCAGGAAAGGCAGCTCTGAAGTCTGGCACAGGCCAAAGGACAGCACAGAATTATAGGGATTGCCACCTCTCAGTCACAGGAGTAGCTGTAAGGTGCACAGAACCCACTTCTTTCTGCAAGGGGAAGCTGACAGCCAGAGGAATCCCTGTGATGTATTCTTATGGGGAAGCGAGAACCCCTAGCTAGTCAGATCCTTACTATTTGCCTGAACTGGCTGCAAGCAAGCTGGGCTGGCAGTGGCAAGAGAACCAATATGCCTTTGTCCTCATCTTGCTGATGGGAAGCACCTGCTGGGTTGGATCTCTTCATCACCTGTCCCACCACTGGAGATTCCTACTGCTGATGGCAAGCAGCACCAGCAATTACAGCCAGGATCCATCATAGCAAAAACTTTTCCCAGCCATAAGATGACAGTTGTGGCCAGTCCCGTTGTTGGCAATCAGGACAGATAACGGCAACAACAATTCCTGGCTCAGATTCCTGCCGTCATGTCTCTCTTTCCAGTGGGATTAGATTGTGTAACTGACATAAACGGAAGTGCCAGCAGCCCCTTAACACTAGGTCAAACAGGTAGAGACAGCTACCTGCCGACTCTTAATATCTGCGTTATACAAAGCAATGTGAAGTGAAGGTTGCATGTGTTCATGCACAAACTACTCTTTCATTGTGGTACACTGTATTGCACATTTTGGCCCCAGTATTCAGCTCTGTGCTACAGTAGCTGCTGCAAAAGGGCTCGTGTTTTGTTTCAGGTAAGGGGTAAATGAAAAGGGTAGCATCAGAAGAGAGAATTTCTACAATCTAAAGCTAATCCTGTCTGTTTTGAGATTCACCTGTCCTTTCCTATATGTATACATTCAAGCCATGATGTTCACATTTGTTCCCTGTCTAAATTCTCCAAGTACATGCATCAACATCCAACTAGAGACTCCCCTCTCCCAATTTGCCAAATATCACATAACATCCTGCTTAGTACAGTAACTGAACTTGACACTGATCCTCGGAAGCAAAAGCTAATGCTATTATCATATACAATAGCTTGCTGAATTCAAGGGCTAGAGCAAGGCAAGGCCGGACAATGCATGGCCTGGACATGGCTCCTGCTGCCTCCACCACCACCCAGAAAATCAAGGCAGAAGTAACAATTTGGCAAAAAAAAAAAAAAAAAAAAAAAAACCTGTTACAGAAGTTAAACTTCTGCTGCAACTTGCTAAAGTTAGCTTGCTTTTGTCCCCATGCAAACCATGGGAGCTGGGATTTGTCTAAAGTCTGCCCAGAATTGCCCAGCCCTGGCTCGGGAATCATTTGGTGTGAATCAGCAATGATCCAGTGGCGAAGAATAGACAGGCCTGTCCTCACTCTGTCAGATATGATCATGGAAAAATCAAGGTTTGGTAATTTCACTGGTCAGTTTTGGTGAACAATAGCTTCTTCTTAGACAACTGTGAGAATCTAGTCTATTGCAGCTGAGCCACAGCCTGCTTCAAATCTTCTACAATCAGATCCACATCTTCCTTGCTGGTGTGACGCCCCACACTGAGACGCAGGGCATTCTGGGCCAGATTGTAAGGAATTCCACTGTTGAGCAGGATTGACGATGGCCTGGAGATCAAACAGTGAAAGTACCATTTAACTCTCTGAAGGCATTTTATTTCTTTGTTTTCTTTACTACAGCACTTCCAAGAGGAATAAAAACAATGCATACTCAACCCTGAAGACATTTCTCTCTGATTAATTCCAACAGAAATTAAACCTGATTTAATATTTGTCACTCAGTGCATAGCTTCCAAAAGTAATCCTGCATGCATGCAGATGGAAAAATGTTGAATTTTATCATCTGCATAACTTTCCTGGAGCAAATCTGCATGTCTGACTGGTATTGATAACTTTGGTTACCAGCTCATCATATCAGTATGTTCCTCAGAACATTGCAAAAAACAGTTCTGCATTGTCTACAGCACTGGACCCTATACATTCTGGGAAAATCCACAAAAGAAGGATGAACAATTTAAAGTGATTACATTTCCACTGCTCTCTCCACTGCCTGAAATGCAACAGCAGGGGAGCAAGCTGCAGCTTGACACATGATCTGACACACTGCACTGCCTATGCGGAGCAAAACTTCTGTATGGCTATCCCAGTTCTAAGTACTTAGCAGATCACCTTTGCCACTGTCCGGCCAAACCATCAATTGTGAATTCCAAGAGTATGCTTGGAGGATGGGTTGGGAGGACAATAGTATGCAGAGGCAGGCAGCTACTTGCACAGAAATGCAAAGTAAACCAGATTTAAGTTACCAGTTTTCACTGGTAAACAGGCTCAGCCCCTCAAGAGATACAACAGGAACTGTCTTCCAGTAACCTGCCATTTCTAACAATCCTTTGTCCATACCTTTCTTCCCTTCTGGGGAAGAAGGAAGCTGCACTGCTGTGTCAGCTGCACAGCTTCTTCCTTTTCCAGCTTTCTGCATCCTGGCATCCTCCAGACATATGGAACTTTTCTTGCTGCTATATGTCATCAAGGCATTTCCACCATATGGCCACCCTATGAAAGCTTTCCAAAATGTCCTGCCTATGAAAGCCCTGCTGAGCTCTTCTAAGTTCAAGGCTGTGCCTTCCTTTATGGAATCAATCCATCTCATAGTTGGTTGTCATCTTCTTTTGCCTACAGTATTGTCTTATCCAGTGAGTCTTGCCTTCTCATGATGTGCCCAAAGCACAACAACTTCCATTTTGTCATTTTTGCTTCCATGGAAAGTTCTGCCTTGATTTGATCTAGGACCTGCTTATTCATATTCACAAAGCTCAAGGAATCTTGTTTCAAAGCATCAATTTTCTTCCTGTCACCGTTCTTCACTGTCCAGCCTTCACACTCATACATAGTGATGAGGAATATGATACTGTCTCTCATAAACCTTCATCCAGCATAACTGGTTGTAGATAACTCTATCTTTATAGCATTAAGTCGAGTAATTGCTTTAAAGGGCCAGTGGCCCTCTGTAGTCTGAAGAGAGTGCAGATGGTTGCTTTGGGTGGCAGAAGATAGAGGGAGGGACATATTTGAGAGCCCACAGTATGTTGATCCAGGAACAAACTGCATGCTAGGCTATACCGGTGGAGTCTGGAAGGCAAAACAAATGGGACTCCAGCTACCTATTGCAGGAGCAGAAAGTTTTCAAATATAAAAATGGGAAACATTTGGGTGTTTTGAAAATCTAAGAAGTAATGTAAGCTTGGATTACTGTCACTATTTTGTGACTTGTCATTGCTAGCCCTCAAGAATATGAACAGGCAGGTGGGTAGAATGCAATTGCCTACAACTGGCTACTTATTTGGAAGCCTCTATTCTATTAATTCCTTTCACTTTTCTGACACAGCTGGAACCACCCTTTCCAACCACGCAATACCCAATTCTCCTTACTGGTCACCCTTCTCAGAGTGGCAGGCAGCACCAACGCTAGCAAGCAAAGTCCTACAGTGAGACAGCACCAGCCGACCTGAAGGAAAGACAAGACATAGGTCTTCTCTCAGTTGATGACATATATAGCCGATGATACCCAGCTCTACCTCTCATTTTCCACCAACCCAGGTGAGGCAGTGGCTGTCCTGAACCGGTGCCTGGCCGAGGTAATGGGCTGGATGAGGGCCAGTAAACCGAAGCTCAATCCAGACAAGATGGAGGTCCTGTTGGTGGGTGGTTCGGGCCTCAGGATGGGGGACTTGGGCCTTGTCCTAAATGGGGTCGCACTCCTTCTGAGGGACAGGGTTCGCAGCTTAGGAGTGCTCCTCGACCCTGAGCTGTCTTTAGAAGCTCAGGTGATGGCGGTGACGAGGAGCGCTTTCCTTCAGCTTCGGCTGATCCATCAGCTGCGTCCCTTCCTGGAGAACGACTGCCTGGCGACAGTGACACACACGTTGGTAACTTCCCGATTAGACTTTTGCAGCGCGCTCTATATGGGGCTACCCTTGAAGACGGTCCAAATACTTCAATTGGTGCAGAATAGAGCTGCCAGGCTGCTGACGGGGACTGGGCGTTGTTCTTATATAACCCCAGTTCTCCGTCAGCTCCACTGGCTCCCGATTGAAGTCCGGGCCCAATTCAAGGTGTTGGTTATGACCTATAAAGTCCTCAACGTCTTGGGTCCTGGGTATCTAAAGGAACGCTTGCGTCCATATATGCCCTCCCGCCCCTTGAGATCAGCAACAGATGCCCTTCTCCAGGAACCCTCTGTGAATATTAGGAGGGTGAGTACCCGGAGGAGGGCCTTCTCTGCAGTGGCGCCCCACCTATGGAATGCACTCCCCAGAGAGGTCCGCCTGGCGCCGTCATTGTTTTTTGGCACCAGGCGAAGACCTCTTTATTTAAAACTTATTTTAAATGTTAATTTATTGGCTATTTGTAGGATTTTAAAATTTTTAAGCCGAGATGCACCGGATTTTAATATTTTTATTGTATAACTTTTTTTTGTTGTAAGCCGTCCCGAGGCTTTGTTGTGATGGGGGCGGCATAAAAATGTTTTAAATAAATAAATAAAAGGTTCTAGCTGAGGGACAAACTCACAAAACTTGCTTTCAATCTCTTCTGTGCTAATCATCAAGATATGTCTTTATCTTTTTTAATCAGTGCTCCACTCTCACACTTTACTAGGACTGGCTTTTCAATATTGCTGATCAAAACCAACAAGAACTGCAAAAGCAAAATTCACTGAGTGTCATATACAACTGTTGATTGCAACTGGCAGAAGTCATGCATCATGGACAAAATCCAAATGTAGTTTCATAGTAAGAATTCCTCCTGACAAAAATATGGAATTAATGCCAGAGTGTAAATAATCTGACATATGAAACTTATTTTGTTTGCTTCTTGCAGGAGCACACAAAGCCAATTTCATAAAAACAGCACTGATCGTATACTTTGCATTCCACTGCTCTTTAGATAAGGGATAGGCTGAAAGTAGATATCCAGATGCTTTGGACCAACTGCCAGTGTTCCTGCCTATTGGTCATTTTGGCAGCAGCTGTTGGCAACTGAAATCCAAAACATTTGGAGATCTATCATCTGCTCATCCCTTCTTTAAATAACACAGTAGCATGTTGCAGAGCAGAATGAAGTCCAGCCGAAAGAATAATCTAGCCTTGAGTTCTACAACAAGAATCACTATATAGTTTTGTGTTGGTCACTGAGGGATTGTGGATAAAGATACCTCATCTAACACAGGCTGACAGTATGCCTATAGGAATGATGCAAGTTTAGGTCCACAGACATTACCTTGTAGTCCTGAGCCCACTATGGAAAAATTACATGTGTTGCACAGTCGTTTAGAGCCTTTCAGCCGACAGTTAAAATGGATTCCTTGTTCTTTAAATGCAGCCTAGTAGAATACATAAGTAATACTTTCAAGAAATATAAATTAATTATCCACCTACCCTCACCTGCCCTCAGGCTTAGTAATTCTAATAGGAAGGCAAAAATAGCATCTTACAATGCTATATGCTGGGGTGGCCAGATTTGCTCAACCGAAGAACCACATAAATGTCAGTTGCCTGAGAGCCACAAGCAGCAGCCTGCAAGGAGTGACAGCAGGTAGCGAGCAGCTAGTGGACACCTGCAGGTGCCCACAGAGAGCCACTGAACTGTAGGGCCCACCCAGAAAACAGACAGGCATTGAACTCACTTCAAGCTTCTCCTCTAAATAATCCCGAACCTTCCTCATGTGAGCTTCATAAACATCACAGTGCTTATTCACTAGCTCTGCTGCCTGCAAAAGAAGGTATAAGAGTAGCCACATGGTTCAGCTGAACCACATGAAAAATTCCCTAGACAGAATTTGCCACAGTTATGGAAAGTCTACATAGTATAATCTCAAATGAGTGCTCTGCCTCCACAGCATCTCCCAAGGTATTCAACTCCCAGTCAGCCAAAACAAAGCCCACTAACGATGTATTTGATTCATGTAACAACTTCAGGGAAACAAAAGCGTCCCCCCGTCAGAGTCTGAACAAGTTCTGCAAGAGGCCCTAAATATCACTACGTTATTTAGCTGTTCAGAACACTTTTCCTCCCTGCTCCTCCTCCCAATATCTATTTATATGGCAACTTGATGTATTCATTGTGCCTTGGCAAGCTACTTGCAAATACTGTAAAGTTTAGCCATTTGCTCTGATGAATACAGCTCAAATTATGGCCTCTATCTTTTCCACAGCTGCATCCTCAAAAGGCCAGAAAACCTCTCAAGTTTGCAATAAACCATTTGCCAGAGTTCTCTCCTCTTGGTGTTCCATGGTGCATACAAAGGACTACAAGTAATACAGGCTTAGAACTTGCTCTGCATTGTGGAAATAATAATCCACAAAGCTTGTGGAAGTTCTGACATGAGACTTGGGAAACAAAAAAGCATGGGCAACCCAAATAATCAGGACTCTATTGTGATGTATCAGCCTCTAAATCAATATGAAAGCAAAACTGCGTTTGAATTAGACCCTGACTAGCAACAGATATGCTTTCCTCTCAACTGATTTGTTATTGTGAAATACAATAAAACTGGCAAACAATTCAGCGAGATGGCATCTGTGTGTATTCCAGATATGTTTTATTGACACTAATACTGCTTCTGAGCTTACCTTGCCAAGACCAGCAATCATTGGTGTATTTTCAGTTCTAGAACAGAAAAGTATGAAGCATGTGTTTACTCTCACAACACGATAAAGGCTGCACTTAAGTGTAGCACTTGTATAACTAGCATAATGCAGGCACTGAAAATAGCATAAAGAAAACTATTGTTCCCAACTATTCAGTGAAAAAAAAGGATTTTTGAACCCAAAAACTCTACTGCTAGCTAATTAACATGCTTCAAGACAATCCCCTCTCCATACATTGGCTCCAAAGAATTTGGCCACATACATACTAAACTGGTGATACTATTTTTAAAATATTTGGTTGATCCCCAACAGCATATTCTCCACCAGCATGTTTTCAGACTTTCGCAACTTTGTATAAGGTGGACAATGAAGAAAAGAGGGAGTTTTCCAAAAGCCAAAATGGAAAAAGCTTTCCATTACTTGCCTTTATATTTTAAGGGTACAGTTTCAAGCATGCAGGCAAGGATCATGCCTCCATTTTTAGTGCCTGTGTCTTGTCACTCCCATGAAAAAAGAGAATATAGCAACCCTGATGTAGACCACAGCATACATGCCCACTTGGCCTCTGAGCACTTCAACAGTCACTTCTCACACATCTTACCCTGGACGAAAGTTCCGTTCTTGCCCACCTCCAAACAGCATGGGATGAAGAGGAGTGGTGACCCCAGGCCCTCGCACGTACAGCGCTCCAATACGTGGGCCATAAAACTGTAATGATAAATCACAAAGCAAAGATGGCCAGTTGCAAGAATGCAGATTTTAGCTAAATATGAGGAAGAACTTCCTCACAAAAAGAACTGCTTAATAGCAAAACAGACTGCATCAGGAGATGGTGGACTCTCCTTCCCTAGAGTTATGTAAGCAAGACCATCTGTCACGGAAATGACAATTGCATTCTGCACTGTAGAACATGCAGTGAGCACAAGGTAGGACCAGATGACCTCCAAAGTAGGAATGCTGAAGAAACTGGCAATGGCTCCAATGAGTAAGGACTTTGGGGACTCCGACCTGCAGAAGAGGATGCAACCAACAATGCATATTTTCTCCAATTAGCTAACGCATGAAAACGTGCATTTTGTAGTTATTTGTACATTTTTGAAGTGCATAATTTATATAAAATCCATTGTTGTCAATGTATGAATGACAGAATGAAAGGCATCTGGAAAACCACAAAACAAGGACAGCATAGATATAAAAAGGTCTGTTCATCCTGATATTAGAAGTTCCTTCCAATTCAATTATTCAAAGATGGTGCCTCAAATAAGAAGTAAAAGGGGACTCTAACAGAAAATGGACATGTGGACCATACAGAAATAAAACTGACAATAGGTGTACGGAAGAAAGCATTAAGCTTTGGGAAATACCATGGATGTCAGTAAAGGAAAGCATGGGTGAATCCCTGGCTCAGTGCTACTGCTACTATCCTAGCTTAGAGGACAGGATATTTGTTACACATAAAATAACAAAAGACAGGTTCCTGTGTTTTTCAGCTGTTGTCTGCAGCTTTTCTACAGAATTTGGAAGTGTTTGTGTGTTTAAACACCCATAACAAACACGTTTCCACATGCCACAATTATTAAACCAATTACATTTAGAGATTGAACGGAATCCTTACATGGTTACTGCCAGAGCTGAACATAAACTTGAAACAGGACTTCTACAGCAACATTGTGTTCAGAGTGCCACCTAGTGGTGAAGTCCTTGCATTCATCCTAAGGGATGAGGCTTTAAAAAAGGGATCATGATGAAAATGAGTCAGTTTAAAAACTTGTCCCTTTCTGCATGCCAGTGCAACTGTACTAGATAGGCCATGGAGGGGCACTGCTGAATTTGAGCTACACAGATGTCAAGACTATTAGGTGTTATTTTACTACTATTCAGGACAGAATTTACATTACTGCCACCTTATTCTGAAGCAACTTCTCAAATTCCAAGCAACTGGTGATATGGAAATTGTAAGAAAATATAGCTGCTAGCAGGAACACATACTTGTAGACTAGTGTGGTGATTCTTAATCCAACAAAATTAAAGAATTTTTGCTTTAATGGAAATTCTCCAGGGTTTGTGGGATGCTCTGGTGAGACAGTATCATTGTTTATAGCAGGTGTCTGTATTGTAAATGTGTTTGGGAGAGCATGAAGTAAAGGAAGAGAACTCTCCAATGAAAACTATTACATATACACGGTGCAGTCCTTAGTCACCCTCTTGCACAGAGGGAGAAGCAAGCTGGACTGCAGTTCTCATAATTCCACAGCCACTGGAACTGTGTTGCAGTCGAACATATTTGAGGGGCACCAGCTCTGAGGAGGCTGATTTCACCTTTAGGAAACAAGAACAGGCTTTAATAGGCTACCCTATTAAATAAGATAAAGCTAACAGTTGTAGTTCTGCAATCCTACATAATGGGAACTGTAAGTGAGAGAACTAATCGCATGGACCAAAATACTCACTGGCCACTTGCTGCCATGAAAGGACTTCTGGGTTTGGTCACTGCCTACTTCCCAGAACAGTGGTTACTATGGACAGTTGATGGACCTTGAAAGGTCTTTCCTTCATTCTTTTCTAATGTTTGACCACAATAAATATTCCATGTGCCAAAAACAGCTCTCCGCTCAACATGTATTGGCCTTGCTACAGTTGCAGATGTCCCAAATCTGGGGTCCTGTGTGGTTCCAGTAAGCACCAATGTACTTGCAGACTCCTCTCTGGCAACCCACCAGGCTCCTTGCCCCTTAAAGCACCACCTTTCTTTGAGTTCAAAAATGTGGTTTTATGTTTTGGAGCCGAGACCCACCTCTGACTTATCCTTACGGTAGAGTCAGCGCAGTGTAGGGTTGCACAGGTTAGAATCAGTGCAGCATAGGGCCACAAGGAAGGTGGCCAGATAGCAGGGAAAGCCATATGAGGCGAGACAGAGGGAACTGGGTCTTTTCAGCCTGGAGAAGAGGCAGCTCCAAGGGGATCTGTTGGCAACATATAGGTATGCAAGGGGGTGTCACACAGAGGTGGGTAAAGACCTGTTCTCCCTTGCAGAGGAAGGCAGGACGCACTCAACGGAGCAAAGCTCAGGGAACCAAGGTTCAGTTTGGATGCCTGGAAGTACTTCCTGACAATTAGGGCCCTAGGGTATGTAATGGGCTTCCATGCGAGGTGGCTGAAGCCCCATCGGTGAGGATGTTCAAGGACAGGCTGGACATGCACATGATAGGCATGCCATGAGCAGAGAGAGCTAGCTGGAGATAGGGGTCAGACTAGATGCCCTGGGAGGCCCCTTCTGCCTCACTCAGTTTCTAAGTTAGGAGATTCATGGGCAAGTTGCCTCATCAGTTTGCCTGAGTAGCCATTTTACAAATGGACAAGTTGCCCTGTGGCAGACATTTTGTGAGAACAGCTGCAACTCTCTCACAATTCTGAATGTGCTCATCCACTCAAATGACTGGGGATTCCTAAGACAGATGCACAGACATATCTTACACAACGTATAAACTAAAAAAGCTAATAACCAAACCTTGTGCCCCACAACAGTGAGATAGTCCACTCCCAGATCTTGAACATCCACTCGCCCCTTTCCAATCATTTGTGCTGCATCTGTGTGCACCAAGATGCGTGGCAGCCCAGATGCCATTCTCTTCTGATTGACAGTCTGAATCCGCTGACTGAGTTCTGAGATGGGCTGGGAGACAAAAAGCACTATCAGAGATAGAGTTTTATCTCAGCAGAAACACTAATTCGATAGCCCTACTGCTGACTGGCATATGATGCCGTGGTACATCTACTTAAATGGAGAAGTTTTCATGCTAGCAGCTTTACTGACAAACTTTGTTATTATGCTGTATGCCACTCTGTGTCCTTTCAACAGAATAGAGGAATGTAAGTATTAGTATTACTTCCAGAACCAAAATCACTACCACCGTTCCTGTCACTCCTGTCGTAAAGCCTATTGCAATGTTTGCCCTTCCTCCCAATAAGATTGGAGATAAAAGAAATATTAGACACATTTAGAAACAATGTTTGTTCTTGTTCTGTATATTTACTAGCACTTTATATTTATATCTCATTTTTGTTTATTTTGCAAACATACTAACCTTTTTTGACAATTAAAAAACAATGACAAGAAAGATCCGCTGCTGTTGAATATGGAAACAAAGGAGAGCAAAAACTGTTAACATAAAAAGAGCTGAGATAGAGAGGCCTATCTAGTATGCCTTTGATACCAAGCAAAGGTACTGGGGTAACTACAGCATGATCCTACTGGGATACCTGTAAACCCCTGAACTCAGCTTAAAGGCATTTAATACAGAGCAGGAAGCACTGTGGAGGCAATCTTGGTCTCCTTTACTCCTGCTCTGCATTTTTGCTAGCTGGCCTTTGTGCCCATCTATCTGGAATGATTTGAAGGAAAAAGGAAGCTGCTCTAGTCTCTTCCTCTCCAGCTTGCAGCCTCTTCTCTGAGGTCACTTTCCTGACTTAGAGAGCAGGTGATGTGGTTCTTTCTGCAACAGGTACAAGGTGCAAGGGGTTTCTGGAGTTCCAATTCCCAGATCCAAGACTAGACTATTGTACCCAACCTTGGAGCTGGGAATCTGAACTATCCAATGGTCCTCCAAGCAATGGGACCATATAATCATTTCCTTAACCATCCGTCTCTTTAAATAAGACTCAGGAAACCTACAGCAAAAGTAAAACATACAAACTGTAAAACAGCAAAAAATTATTTCCACTAAAATATGACAAACAGAAAACAAGGTCAACAAGGATTTTACCAGAAACATCACATAGGAATGTGTCATTAGTGAAAGCTGGTTTAGCAAATGGCATATTGTGAAATATCTGGGGGAAGCAACTGCTATTTCTCGTTATCCTCAAGAGAAATCCCTGCAAAGGATGTATAACAGATCTGAACCTCCCCGCCCCCCAAACATACAAGTAATAAGAACTAAAGACACAACTCACCATGATAACCCCAGTCTCATTATTGGCAAGCATGATGGAAACCAGACATGTAGTTGGACGGATTGCTGCAACAACATCATCCACTTCCACCTGTCTGCTCACCTTTGACACTGGGACAAAAGTGGCATCTGCAAATCAGGATACATCAAATAAATTAAGCACCAAACTCAATGCATTCATCAGAAGTTACTATATTTTTGGCAGCAGACTTGGAGAATGCCACTGGGGATAGCAGATGAAAAAACAGCCCCATTGCTAAGCAACAGACACACATTCCTAACATCCGCAAGATATGGCAGTCATGAGGGAATTTGGGAGGGAGCAGGTGTTGACTTAGAACAGGGGTAGAAAATTTGTGGCACTTCAGGTGTTTCAGCCAACAACTCCCATCATCCCTCATCATTGGCTAGGGCTAATGGGAGTTGTAGGCCAAAAAATCTGGAAGGCCACAAGTTGTTCACCCTTGGCTTAGAGGTTGCATTTAAGAGTAGAGGTTAACAGTCCAAAAATATTCCCCTGGAAGCTGAACAGAGAGAACTGGAGAGGGAAGAAAGCTAGGTATTGCTCAATTTCCTTCATTTTCTTCAAGTCTGAGCTAAGTTTCCAACTGAGTTCTACCACAGTCCCACTGAATATCCCTGAGCGCAGGGACCGTTCAAATGCAAGCCACATAATCGTCTTAATGCAGTGATGAGTCTCATAAACCCAAAGATTAGGAATGCTCTCAAAAACAGCTTCTATTTGAGGCATTTCTGAAAAATGAGGATAAGAAAAAATAGTAGAGGCACAAAGAAACAAATAGGAATGAAAACCACCTGAGTCCAGACCACAGACATCTGAGAAAAAGTGTTGATGAGACAGCTTTTGTCCATTTTCATTCAAAATAAACTATCCGCAGACTGCAGTCTGGTATGGCAAGAAAGATGGTCCATTATGTGCTAGAAAGAAACTAAAATTTGCTTTTCGTTATTTGCTTTTCGTTATTTGCTTTTTGGCGCCAGGCAAAGACCTTTTTATTTAAGCAACATTTTAAATGCTAATACAACTGAATTTTATCTGGCCAGGGCGGCTTATTTTATAATGTGTGTTTTAAATTATGATCATTTTATATGGATATTTTAACTTATTGTTTTATCTAGTGTTGTAAGCCGCCCCGAGGCTTCGGCAAATGGGGCGGCATAAAAATGTTTTAATAAATAAATAAATAAATAAATAAATAAATAAATAAATGCTGAAAAGGGGAAAATGCCCAGTGAGAATGTGGGCAGGACATATCTTTGATCATCTTCTACAGTGGTCTGTACTCACCAGCCTCATGTTCTTCTACTAGGTACTCTACAGGCAGACGGACTGAATCATGTTCAATGCAAGATGTAATTAAATGTGGAAGTGTCCCCAGAGTCTTCTTTAGATTTTCTCCTGGTCTGGCAGACTGTTGCTTGCTGCTTTCTCTAAAATTCTTCACTGCACTCTGAATCACTAAGTTGTTTGCCTGCAGGAAAAGGGAGGGAAAAAAATCAAAATGCACCAAAAGTGAGTGTTGACAAGGCAGTTGCTTGGAGAAGGTGGCTCTGAATTTCTAATCACGTCACTCTTACTGAATGAACTACTAAGCATGTGACATGTAACTCTGCCTCAAAGGCATCAAAAGTAGAGGACTGATTTGCAGCTATGGCCTCTAGGAAGGTCATCAAATTGTAATACATGGCCCTTTGCAGGTTTTAAGTTAAAGACTGAGTCATTCTGCAAAAAGGAAAAAAGACCTTCTTTCAACACTTACCTGACTCAATTAAGGATGAGATGCTACTAATACAAAATGCAAGTTCTCACCAAACCACTCTGAGAAAAAGCCAGCTATCATATTATGGGCTGTTCTGACAAATGGAATTCAGGTTAAATCAGGGCTAGAAATATCCTGCCATATCTTACCTCTGTCCCTCCAGAAGTGAAGATAATGTCCTGGAGCTGCCCTCCTACCATTTTAGCCAAACTCTCACGAGCACCATTTATTATTTCTTTAGCTCTTTGACCTTTAGGATCAAGACACAACAATTCATTTTATTGTTAAGGCAAAAAAAATTCCAAAAGGGTTTGTATTGTTCATTAAAGACTTAGTGGTAGAGTGGGGAGAATAACAGAGTGTCTTGCTGAAATAAGAAGAAAAACCAGGCTGGATCAGACCAGGGGTCCTTGCATTCTGTTTCAACCATCTTATCAGATGGCAGGAAAGGTCCACTATCTTATATACAAGATCAAAAAACCATGGCTGGTCCCTGTTTCAACACCTGCCTTTGAAAATGGTCCCATTTAACTACCATAGCTGATAGTCCACACTCTCTTTCACAAAAGTGTACATCAAATAGTCTTCTGCTTTAGTCTTAGTGACAGAGGGCTCAGTCTCTAGAAAAATTGATAAAAAGATAACTGTGAAAAACAACTTTGTGAGCATAAAATGGGGATTTTCCTTAAAGTTCAATTAATAGGCAACATTCCACAGGTCAGAAGCGAGGAAACTGAGACCCAGAGTTCCTTAGATTGTGCCGCTTCCTTCCTCCAACTACCACTCCTCTGGTGGTTTTCCAGCTATTGGCCATGAATTCCCTTTTCTAAAATGTTAGATGCTTCTCCTAAGGTTTAGTTATTTTGGCAGTAAGAAGTTACAGTATGTTTGCATTTTTGGTATCTTTGGACTCAGCTCTTTTTGCTTTGCCCCTGTTCCCCATTGCCCCCCCCCCCCACTACTTAAATGCTGCCCCCAAGAACTTCTCTGAAATGAAATCTGGCCTTCAGGATGAAAGAGGTTGCCCACCCTTCCAACAGGTGATCATGACATTCATGTTTTTATAGTCCACACGGGGTACTCACCATTGCAATTGAAGTAGTAGGGAACACATGCATGATATTTCCCCAGAAATATTGTTTTCAGAGTCAGACGAAACCCACCTGTGTTCTTTTGAGGGAGATGATCTGGATTTAGATCAGCTCCCACAATACTTCTTGCACAGCTCACTGCTGGCAAGGACTGAGGGCTCCAGTTCACATCCAGTACCCCAAATCTAAATGTTCAGTTAAGTCCTAGATTCTTGCTGCTAGCAAGCCACTCAGGATAGGTATGTGCTTCAACAGGAGACATATCACATCCCCACAGAACATGTCCAACCAGTTTTGCTCTGACCTGCTATGTAAGGGCTGCTAGGATTACCCCATGCTTCATGCATGGCTTCTGTAACTGCCTGAATCACTTCCCCTGCCAGCGGGGTGGTTGCATTGTAATCCAGGTAAATCTTCCTGCAGAAAATGGAATGGAATAATTGTTACAATAGAAGGGCAGAAAAGGTGCATTAACACTATCATTCTTTAAAGTTTATATCAATTGGCTCAGGCCTGTGAAAGCATATGGCACTATATATTTGGCCTGCTAATCTCTGAAGTGTTTTTGTTCAATTACAACATTCTACTGGACTTGTAGAACTTAATAAAAATCCTACCATTGCTTGAATTTAATCATGGGAACCTTTTACTAGCTGTAGATGCTATGCAATCCAATCCTACATGTTACTTGGAAATAAGCTCCACTGAATTCAACAGGACTCACAACCAAGGTAAATATTACAAAAAAGAGCAAAAACTTTGTATTATCAAATTGTATTAGTAGACTTCATCTCTAAAGTTCAGACAAAACACAAACCTGCCTGATGCAATGTTCCCTCTTCCATCACAGCTGATTTTCTCACTGGTCTTCTTTCTTGTATTTACAAGCACCTTCTCTGTTTCAATCTCTTCCATTCTCTATCAACCTCCTTAAAAACACACACACACATAATTACATAATAAATTTCAAATTGCAGATATTATTTCACTCTGAGTTGCCTTTGCCTATTAACCTGAATAAAGATGCTGCTACTCTGCTGAATCCTCATTGCATTACAGTTCCATATACCTCTATTCAAAGACCTGGCGAAGTCCTGCGCAGTCATCCCCATACCTTATGCAAATATGTATTGTTGCTTGCCAGGCAAGATGTAGCCTCAACTTTCAATCACCTGTTTTTTGGCATCACCAGCATGGTGGAAGCAGCATTGCCCGGACTGGTTCAAAATGTAACATCCAAGTTACAGCAAAGCAGTGTTTCCTGTCTTGTAGCCCTTTGACCCTCCACAGCACAATACATAGCCTCACCTTTTCCCTTGCATGAACTTGCAGGATTCATGCAAGTGTTCACTCTTCTTTTTCTTCAGTCCATTCATCTGTCAAATCCATTCCTCTTTCACTGTCTCTCTCCCCCACATATTTTTCTTCCCAAGTTCCCTGTTTTGCTTTTCCTCTAGTCTTCCCATTCTGGTTGTTTAAATGTGAAAACATCTTTTAAAAAAATATTACTTAGGTGCAATCTCATTTGTGTTTGGACCAAAAAATAGTTAAGTTCCACCAGATATCTAGTAACACTTAACCGGAAGGTAACTCCTTACACTTTTATTTATTTCACAGTTTGTTCTCCCAGATCTGTCCAGGATTCCCCAGTCTCCCATATTCTCCAAAATGGCAGCTGTTTTTGGAGGGAGCCTTGATGTGTGCCCTCCCTGTGATTGGAAAGGACCCCAAATGTGGATTTGCCACTGATGGGTCTATCAGGCATCAGAGCTGTGAACACTGGAATCCATAGATGGGGCTGTTAGGCCCCTGCCCAGTGATGAAGATAATTACACAGTATTTTCAAGTATTCAAGGCCTAATTCAGGATCTGCTATAAGAATTATGACCTAATGATGCCTTATCTAATACTAGTAATTAAAACAATCCTGTAACATAATATTTTTATCCCACTTAATACAGATGGGGGAACTGAGGAGTGATTTGCTTATGGTAATTTTATCATTTCATGGCAAAGCCAAGATATAAATTGGGGACTTCTTGACTCATAGTTCTGTTTCTTGGCATGCTACACCGGGCATGATGATTGAACTAAGATGTTAAAACACAGCTCTCGCACATTCAGCCCATCTTCTCTCAACACTTCAAAGCCATAGGCACATGAGCAGCAAAGATCTACAAACCTACAGAGATATAGGGACAAACATCTGGTTGCCAGGAAGGAGGCATACCATATGCCAAAGGATCACAGTTTCAGCACCAAAACAAAATTAGCTGCACAGCCCATGAAGCCAAGAGGCATATTCAGTGGCAGTAAATATCCTCAGCGGTCTAGCACGCACACCGAAATTGGATGCAAGAGCCTTAAGTGTCTTATGTAAAGTCCTTCCTCACCCATACTTTCTAATCCTTGAGTTTACTCCAGTTTTTTTTCCATTCCAGGCCCCTTTTTTTTTCATGAAGGCTTTGGCATAACCCTGTAGACTAGCTTTCTCCAACCGGCTGCCCTCCAGCTCCCAGTTGAAAGACAGCACCCATCATCCGCCACCAGCACCTGGTATTTAATTGAATTGTAGTCTAATGCACAAAGCACCAGACTGGGGAAAGCGAAGCTATCCCCAGTAACCAACTGCAGTTAATGTAAGAATACATTGATGGAATAACTTTCTTTGCTTCCCCGTTGCCTTTTTTCTCCCCTAATAAGTCTATTTTTTACTTCTATCTTTTTTCGAGACTACAAGCTCCTCGAGGCAGGGACTTTGCACTTCGTTTTTCATACAAGCGCCCTGAATTCGAACAGCAGCACACCAACATTAATAATTGAGCTGCATTGATATGCGCAGAAAGGCTATGATCCTTTCAATTTTTGGTATTTATCGCGGTATTATAACTGAATTTGCACCCAACAAAATGGAGGAGCGACTTCAACAGCAACCGCGCCCGCCCCCCGCGAGCGGCAGCCGGCGCCCCTCCAGGTGAGTTTCCAGGTCCGCCTACCGGGCCACAGGCAAAGTTAGATTGCAGGAACAAGCACCGAGAACATTTTTCACGTGGACTTTCCCGCACAGTCATTGGCTCCTGAGGTATAATAATTCAGGCACGAACCAATCCACGCCCTCCAGCTCATCTTACAGCCATTGGCTGCTTCTACCAATTAATACATTCGCTGCAGACAAATCGGAGCCGTCCAACACAAGGTAGATGTTAGCACGGCGGGTTGACGCGTGATAGGGATGTAAGGCCTGCACGTACCCTCTTTCCATACTCGTTGTTAACGTGATGACAGTATCCGGGAAGATGCAATTGGCCCACCGTCGAGCCTGAAAGCTTCAGATTCCTCCCAAGAAATGCTGTTAGATTAATCGCTACTCAGGCGGATCGCCCGTTCGACGACCAATCACATTTCTCCTCCATCGAGCGCCTGCTAGCCAGCAGCAATGGTGTTATTGGTTCCTTCGTAAGGACGAGGCCACCCACCCCAGAAGATCCTCCCCTCTCCCCGGGAAGCAAGTCCCTTTCTCTGTTTACCTCCGGCTTCGTTTACTGGCTCTTCTCACCAGACGGTAGTTGGTGGCTGTGTGTATTTATTTTCCGTGGTTGACCCTAGTTCTTTTCCCCTCTCAGGCGCTGTCTCCCACGAGGAGCCCTAGTGAGCCTAGTAAGGCCAAGTCTCGTGTCAGTTGTAGAACCCAAAGGCCAACTTGTTTGTTTGTTTATGTTCGAAAGCGGCTTGTTGGTGACAGTTCGTATCATAGAGACGCCGAGCTCCGCGCTGACACGGGAAGGGAAGCTACCGGTGCCCTTCTTCAAGATGGTGGAGGTGGCGTTGCTTGCCCTTTGCTTGCTGCGTAGGGCTCGCTCGCATTCACTCGCCAAGATGGCGGTGGTGCGGCCGCGATCTGTTAACTAACGCTGTACCTGCTTCTGCTGATCTCAGGCAGGTCTTGGGGATGAAGGGGAAGGCGGGATTAAAGCCGGTGAGGCTGGGCTAATCCGTTCGGCCCGGCCTACCAGAGGAAGTGGAGTCGACGGCTCAGGCAGCCTGGCCCGTGGGGGTGGGGAGAAATTTGCTGGGGCTCCGCGGGAGGATGGCGCCCCACCCCCATGCATCTCACGGAGCTCCTGGCAGCCTTCGTTTCCCTGGGTAGCATCCTAGCGTCCCGTTTCCCCGCCCTCTTCCTAAGGCAGAGAATGAGGACAGGTAACTCCCAAACGGGAGCGGCTTCCCCTCCACTTTGGGGCGCGGCGCCCGATCCTTGTTGCCCTGACCGGCAACGAGGTGCATAGGAATGTAGAGGTACCTCTGGATTTTCTGACGCGGTTTCAGATGTTGGTTCACTTAATGCGTCTTAGAAAGAGAAATGTCTTTCTTTGCCCATCTGCCTTCTCTCATCGTTGCCATTTTGACCGCCTGTTCTGCAGATGTGCGGCATCTTTCAATACGTTGTGAGTTTTGGGCGATTTAGCAGATACAGTTGGGGAATTATGCGGTGGTGACCCATTTGAGTATATGAAGTCTGGCTTATTTTAAAAGCTTCTGTTACGGCTGAATACCGAACTCGGAAGCAACCTTGTATATGTGCAGACTGTATTTACCAGCTGGTTTCCATTTTAGAATCAATTTTTTCTTTCCCCTTACAAATTTTCCCTTAGATAGCAGCCCAGTGCACATTATATCCCATTGAAGACAGTAGGACCAGGTTATGAGTGTAGTACTTAGGTTTGCGCTGTGTATGTATAGGAGTTAAAATTGAATTTCACTCAGCCTTGCAGCCATCATAATCTTTTAACACGTTTCAGGTTGTGGCCTGAGGTCTTGCAGAGATGTTAGATGTTTCCATTATGTGTTAAAAGGAGCCTGGATAATTGACATCTGGTTGTGTAGAGCAAGCTTAATGTAGTCATAGTTGGATATTTTTTCTAGCAGCAGTCAGCTCAGAAAAAGCAGTGCTGAGAGAATCCCAGCTCCTTGAAGCTGTTGTTGGGCAGTATGTTGAGGACCAAAGCTGGCACATGAATGTTAGTAAGTTAAATATTTGAAGATGATGTGGGCTCCCCAACATTCTGCGTTTAGAATCAGTAGAATGCCTTTATTAGAATGCTCACAAGATGGCATGCAGTCCAGGTGTGTTTTGGGGAAATACCAAGACCAGCTTTCCCCAACATGGTGCCCTCCAGTTATGTCAGACTCTACCTCGCATAATTGCCAGCTAACATGTCCATTGGTATGCTGCTGTGGATGATGAAAACTAATCCAATATGTTTGGGGGGCACTGGGTTAGGGAACATTCAGATCATTGCCAGAATGCTTTGTTTCTAGAATTTTTATTGCATAAAAACTACTTTATAAGTGTACAGGAATTGGATTAGAAAGATATTATTTATCTGCCAAGAAAAATTGTGGAATAGAACATAGTTACAAGAATAAATAACTTACTGATGTGCACTGATCAGCAGGAATTTTTTACTTTGCAGATGAAAGCTTAGTTAGCCCAACAGGGCTGTGTTGAGTCACTTGCTCTTTATAAATATTTGATTACTTATGTTGGCTGCAGTCCTGATCATTTTTATAATCTTGTAATCTTTTTATGTCAGGCTTAGCATATTGCTAGTGCTGAATTACAGGATTTGTCTTGGTTCATGTTGCTAACATCTCTCTTTATTTCAGCTTTTGATATAAGTGACGTTAAGAAGGAATGATGGCAGCTCTGGATGCTAAAGTAAAAGCAAAAAAAACTCTGGGAACTGTTGATTATGTGGAGTCATCAGAATTTGCTCAAGGAATTCTGCCTACGAAGAAAGATGTCATTCAAAACATGTTGTATCTGTTGCATCCGAAAAGGGCAGGGCAGGCCCAGCGATCCAAAGAAGATGCTGCCCAGTTGCTTGCTGAACTTTTGCAGGAACACTGGTTGTTTTGCAATTTATACACTATAGCAACACAGAACATAAAGAAACATATTCTTAAGGTGTATGAGGAATTTTCAAAGTTATATCAATCCAGAAAGCGCAGAAAAAATGAGCTGTTCATACAGAAAGCAGACGACTTCAACAGGAGTTCAGAACAGCTTTTTGATATATTTTGTACAGACACTGTAACAAGAGAGAAATTGGAACAATACAGTGGAGTTAAGATGACAGAAGTTGAGTGGAAATTTCTGGAAGATCAGAGGAGTGAAAGAAAAATGTACTTTGAGGACTTTGTGGACAAGAAACAAACAGAAACAATAGAAAGACGAAGAAAGGTAGAATCTCTGGAGCGTTTCAGGAAGATTGCAGAGGAAGAGAGAGAAGCTTGTAAGCGTAAAGTAATGGCTTCAGTTGAAGAGGAGAAGCCAGTTGAAGATGTCAGTGATAGGAATAAAGATGACTCTGGTCTTGAACATAACAAAGGAATTAGAGGCTTTTCCCATAAGGCCAAAAGAAAACGCTTATCTTCTGGCTGGATTACAGGGACAGCAACTTCGACTAGCTATAGCGAGTCAGTTACTCCTGAATGTCAGCACATACGTATGAGTATCAGAAAAGTCAGGCCAGGGTTTTATGAGACTTTTGATAAATATGCAAACTGCTAGCCCACAATGAACTCCTCAAAGGAGTTTGTTTCTGTTGAAATTTATAGAATTTTGGGAAGTCTTAAAATATCCTGGTTAATTGGAAGTTGATGTAGATAATTGTGTTGGGCTCCATTAATATACAGCAACAACACCAAAGCAATGGCATCAGTAGAAACTGGCTTCTAGCTAATTGGAAAAGGTTAAGATGTGGTATGTTCATGCCTGCATCAATACCTTCACAAAGTGAAAGTTGCTTGATTTTAAAAGGCTATAGCTTAGCAAAGAAAGGCAGTAGAACCAATGTTTGAAAGTTAAAAAAATTCCACATGCACATGGAAAGGTTAAATTACTTGACAATAATTTAACCTCTGGAACAGACTGCTTAGAGAAGAGATGTGTTCTCCATCATGCACAGCTTTTGTTTTGAGCTGGACACTCCTAATGTTTAAATACTTTGCTGAATTTTAGTATAGAGACCTGAGACCGAAATATGAGGGAAAATTACATTCTCTTCAGGAAACACATTAAATAATCTATTGTTCATTAAAATCTTAGGCTCTCCCAAGACTGGAAAAAACATGTACAATTCAGAAAAAGTGACAACTAATGAGATGGCTACTAGAAGGAGAATGTGGCTTTGGGGCTGTTTACAGTGCAGGACTTTTTGAGGTTCAGGGTAGACTGCTGACTAACCATTAGAACTACTAATAGTGCACCCTTAATGGAAAAACAATAATTGGGCCGGTGTCCTAGAAAATGCTTTAATTTTCTGCTCCCCCCCAAAAAAAGGCCCTGTAACACTTTTCTGCTTTTAAGAACAAGCATCTACAACTCACAGTAAATTCATTGGTACCTGGAAGGGGTTCTGCATCTCTCAGGACTAAATATTTGCAGAGGAAGGAATGCTTGGTGACAACCAGCTTTGATAGATAAATTAGCATCTGTGTGAAGAAAAGAAGGGTCAGGGAATTTAAGCAATGATTATAGGTATAAATATGGTGACAACTTTCTGTATTTTCTGCATTCTTAGCAATTAAATATCATTGATGGTGAAAAATTCTGTAGAAAAGTAGACTTTGTAATTGAAAATATTTGAAACTTGATAATGTATAATGCACTGAAAATGACATGGGGTGGAATATATAAAATATTATTTTGGAAGGTTTTAAGAAACTTTTAAATTACGAATAAATGTGCTGTGATATTTGAAATAGTGGGAGGACCTAGCAGTAGTACAGTAATATCAACTGGATTGGAAGCAGGTTTTAAAGCCTTGAAATTGTAATTTTGTATACAATTGTCATATGGATTACTTATTTTCTTTCTAGTTCAATGCTGAGCTAAACTCCTCTGTTGCTGAGTCTTCCCCCTGCCCCAGCATTCAAGTTTATTTCATACTGTCTCGGATTCAGCCATGCCAAATGTGGGGTGGCCTGCATATATCCCCATGCTGCATGGCCCCAGGATGACATGGCAAAAATGCAGACATCCATTTGTGCAACTGCTGTAATCCTGTCTCAGAAAAAGGGTGGAAAGCTTCACCTGCCCAAAACATACAAGACTGTGGAGACCATATTCTTGGTTATACTGCTTTATAGGCTGTACAGTACTTACGTATTTGCAAACTGGGGCTGGTTTACAGACGCATGTATCATCACTTGGTGGGTTTTAGCTGAATATGTGAAATCAGACAAGCAGTGCATTTGAGAGGGCAATCAAAAGTGGAGGTCTGTAAGCTTCCAAATTTGACAGATTGTGGACTTCCTTTGCAGGGCAGGAGGAACATGGAGGTGATCTTTACCTTCCTGTTTCTGCAAGCAGTGCTAAGTGGCTGTTTTCGGCCATCTAGCTGAAGCATTTTGGACTGGGAGGGAAAGAAGTTGAAACTATGGCAGGATATGTTATATCCTGGTGGGCCAGTATCCTCCCCACCCTCCAGTGCCTTCTTAACCCTTTTCTTGAGGTCACATTTAAAACCTTGGAGAAGCAGCTGACATGGTTTTTTATGTGTCAGCTGTTGGACTGGAATTCAAGGTCAGAGCTGTTTTCTGACCTTGGATCTGAAAATCCAAAGCATCCCATGACTGTCTAGATGCTTTCTAGGGGCCATAGGATCACTCTGCCTGTTAACATTAGATGATATAAAAATTCTATTTCCACTAACTATTCTGAATGCCTTTCATACATGTCTTCCTTTGATGCTATAATCAGCATTGATTGAGGATGGATATGTGAAGTGGCCTGCTGAATTTAGTTTGCAAAAAATTCTGCATGCTCAGATACAATAACTTAGGCATTAGTGCTAACAAATTAGCAAAATTTGCTAATTTTGTTATACTTTCTTCAGAAATGCTTTAGTTTGACTTATTTTAAAAATTCACGAGGACCAAATTTTCTTTCTTTGTGCATCATTATTTGCACTTCATTTCAGTTAAGCAACAGTGATTTATTGCTATATCTATTTTTAAATGCCATTCCCATGTAAAACCATATTTTAAAACTCACCATGGGTGACATTCCAATAGGTAAACATGCACAAGTTTGTAAAATGTAATAATCAGTAGTGCAGGAAGTTACATTGATATAAAATACTATAAGTAAGCAGGCTGTAAATTTGTAAGTCCCATTGAAATTGTTTGGACATAGGCATTTTATTTCAGAAAGAATTCCCTTCAGAAATCATTGGTTCTTCAATGCAAAATATGAATCTCTTTTTACATGAGCAAGAACATAGGAATCAGTCTTTATACATAGTAAGTTAACTGATCTGTTTAATTCAGTATTGCCACCACTGGCTGGCAGCAGCACTCATCTTTCTTAGCCTTACCCGGAAATGCTTTTGAATGACACTTAGGACCTTCTGTTTGCAAAGCATGTGCTTATATATTTTAAGGGGATATTAAAATCTTGACAAAATGCTAGATTTATTACTTTATAAGGTGGTATAAGCTATATAGCATAAGGAGTATGCCATATAGGATGCGTATAATTAAAGTATGGTTAAGCTAATCCAGTATGGCTTTTATTCAGTCTAAAAGTTTGGATGATAAAGTATCAAGGTCAATTATAAAATTTTAACAGAGTGTAAGAGCCTTGCTGGATCAGACTAAAGGCCTGTTTCCTACAGTGGCTAACCAGATGCCTCTGAGAAGCCCACAGGCAGGTCATGAAGGAAATAATTCTGTCCTGCAGCAATTCCCTAGCAAATTGAACAGAGCCTCTTAATACTGGAGGTTCTATATAGCTATCATGACTGATAGCCTTATCCTCCATGAATTCATTGGATTCTGCTTTAAAGGTATCCTGAATTGGAGGTCATTGCATTTTGTGGAAATGAATTCCCTTAGTTGCATTATGTGCTGTGTGAAGTCTTTTATTTGTCTGCCATATACTTCCCACTATTCAGCTTTATTGAATAGCTCAGGTTCTAATATATGAGAGGTAAGTGGGGTAGGGATAGGGATTGGTGAGAACAAGTCCATTTGGGCTTTTTATAGACCTCAAAGATGTGGAGACTCTACTAGAAATAAGAGAAACTGGCAGAGCTGAAGTCTTGAGGATGTAAATAGAGTGAATGTAACGTTTGTGCTTATTTTCTTACATTTTATGTGAATCAACCATTCTGAAGTAGTTCCCTGAATGCCTGCCAGGTCTTGCTTCCCTTTCAACACCTCATGACAAACATTCATGAAGGCCACATAAAAGCAAACAAGATCAATAGACAGAAATTGCCTTACCTAAGTTAAGGAGGGAGATGGATCAATAGCATTGGTCAAAAATTAATTTGGAAAGTTCATAATCGTATCAAGTATATCTGAAACTAGAAAACAATTCTCAATGTTTCCTGAAATATTACCATATTTGGCTATGCATTCCTTATTCTTCTGACTTCTGCCCACTCTGCATCAGTTTCTAGCTCTGATTCTGTCATGTGAATCCAGTCCATCTATTACTGCTGCTGTTTCCTGATCATTGTTTCAGAATCAATGTTGTAGAAAACTTTCGTCAGGCACTTCAAGGAGGAAAATACTGTCAAGATAGTAAGGAAGTCTTATTCCGCAGAATATTAATTGATCTTTGAAGCAATAAAACCACATAAGTGTACTGACACTTTATCAAGTGGCAGTGGCAATATGTATTTGATGTTCCATTAGAATTTGTCTCCTTTATTGTCTTTTAATTAATACTTTAAAATGTTTGCATTCAACAGTCTGTAATTTTTGAATCTTTTATTAATATCCCTAATCAGAACCAGCTAACCACATACCTAACATTATTCCTCATTTCTGGTACTAAATGTGCCTGCCCAGAACACAAGATTGCTGCACAATCTGCAATTCTGGGGAGCTTCTGCATGAAGTACATTCCTAAAGTGAGGTTCAGTTTCTATGAATATCTCTGAGCTTAAATAGGGTTCACAAGGCCACACACTACATTTAAAGGAACAAGTATGTTGCTGCTTTTAGAAAGGAGGGTGACTTGAATATGCAATCAGTTTTATGACATATGTACAAATGCCTTGTTCCAAAAACACACTGTAACAAAAGGCAGTGACTAATTGGATTATTTTCCACTTGTTTACATCCACTGGTTAGGCTCAATACTAAATTCTCTGGGGGCATGTTATGTGTATTTAAAACTAGCAAGTGGATAGCATGAGCTTTATTGTCACAACTTCCTTTTGCTTGGAATGAATTAGTTAAAAGAAGAACAGAAGTAAGGATAACCAAGACCAATGCCAAAAGCTTTTGGAAACAATCTGAAAGTAGAATTGAAAGAATGTCATTTTTCTCTACATCTAGTATAAAGAAGCAAAGAAGAAACAGTCATTTGTGTTTCTCATATACAGTACTTGAAGGCAGGAAAATCATATTTTTGGGATCTGAGATGTTTCAGCATATATAACAGCCTCTAGTTATCAGGGTCAAATCCTTTGCTCTGTCTGGAACATCAAGACTTAAATCAGGCTGTTAATGAGGCCACACCTCTCAAATCTATATCCAATAGCAATTTTAATCAGAATGAATACTACTTTTCTACAAGATACTCTCTAGGCAATTTGTGTAATCGAATAGAACCACAGTTAAAATATTGAGAAACAAGCTTCCACTACAATTTTACCTGTGTCCTTGAGGCCAATGAGATCAGCAGTTCCAGGCACACAGAACTCTTCCTGGAGAAAGTTGATGGAAGTGCTAGGGGATCTGTGTAAGTCCTTTCCCCAGCCTTCTTGGTGGTGGTACTGTCCTATTGAACCCTTAGTGGTCACCCCCACACCCACTGTCCTAGAACTAACATCTTGTTACCAGGCCCAGATAAAAAGAGGCTAGTGACCTTGATTCTCAGCAGCAATCAGAATCTGCAAAATACATTTTGCTTCTGCTAGCACTGGCTATCTGTTGTCTTTGAGGTATGATGTACTGTTTTTACCAAATAAAAGATCTAAACCCTGAGAGCTAATGCGATGTGATTAGAGTATTGGAGTGGGGACCTGGGAAACTGGATTCTAGTCCCCATTTGGTCATGAATTTGCTGGGTGATTAGGTCAATCACTAATTCTCAGCCTAACCTACCTCACAGGCTTGTTGGTGTGAGAGTGGAGTGAAGGAGGATTCTGTGTGCTACCTTGGGATCTTACCAGGAGGAAAAAAGGAGGGATATGAATGTGATGAAAGCATTTCCTCACCCATGCATCATCCAACTACCTACAATTGTCAGTCTATACCATCTTGATGGTATTCTGCACTGTTTTGTAATGGAACCAAGAAGAATAATCTCAGAGGATGACTTATTCTGAATCTTTGCGTTTTGTTAATTTACTTTGCTATATGCTAACCCTAAGCATATAGCAAAGCATTATCTTTGCAAAATGTTTTTGGTCAGTATATAGTGGCTATAATTGCATTTGAAGCAGTTTTTGCTTAGTTTTGAGGAGGGAATGTGAGAGAGGATTTTAAATTATTAGCCACCATAAGCCTTATGATGGGCTAAACAGGCAAAGGTTCTGATTAAGTTTTGCCAAGAGCATCCTACCCTGTGCAAATGAATGGTTGGCATATTAGAAAAGTGATGCATTTAGGTAAAACCTGCATTGTTTGTGGTTCTGTCTCTTTTCCTTTGTAGCTCCCAGTGAAAATTCTGAATGCTCATTTGCAGCTTACCTTCATGTTTGTGGGAACACTGAAGGGAGGGAAAGGGAACATGTGATATTCTGATGTTGGACTGCAATTCCCATCCTTCACCACTGGCCATGCTGTGGTGATGGGAATTGTAATCCAACAGCATCAGAGGGGCCATAGAGTTTCCTCTCCTGATCTAAAGACTTTCATAGGAGGCTTCCTTCATGGAGTCAGACCACTGGTCCATCTGCCTTGGTATAATCTAGACAGCAACTTGTAGCAGCTGTAATGGATTTTAGTCAGGTCTTTCCCAGCCCTCATTGAAGAAGTGAGGGAATGAACCTGGGACCTTCTTCATGCAACATGCACATGGGGAAACCCTTGGGCGGCTGCTTGTGTGGTGTTGCTTTTGGATTTAGCGATGCAATATTATATCCTGCCCTTTTCAAACAACTCAAGGTGCCTTACCGAATTCTCCTCCTTGCAGTCTTATCTGCGCAACTCCTTTGTGAGGAAGCCAAGGCTGCGAGTCTGATGGGCCCAAAGTCACCCAGTGAGCTCCATGGCTGAATGGGGACTAGAACCCAGATCACCTGTGTCCCAGACCTGCCCTCTTAACCACCATACCACACTGGCTCTCTATGATAAGACAGAAAGAAGGAATATGTACAGAAAGAATGAAGGAAGAAGTGCGGGAGGGTATGACAGCAGAGTGCAGACTTGTGGAAGTGCGTTGTATCCAATATTAGTCCAACTTAAGTCTCATTCACTTGATTGGGCCTGCTCTAAGTAGGGGTAGCTATCAGCAGGATTCAGCAAGACAAGTGGTGAAGAGCCTTATGGTGTGCAGAGAGGCCTGTGGTGTGAAGAAAGCAAAAATGCCTGTGTGTTGCCAGGGAGGCTGAAGAGACATGTGGATTGGGAAAGGAGAGGAAAAAGGAAAGGGGGAGAACAATCAGTTGAAAGAGGATGCAAAAATACTTGCAGTGATGGAGGGCAAGAGACACAAGATGTGGTGCACAGAGAAAAAGAAGCAACCAAATCAGCTGAGTCGATATGGGAGGACATAAAGAGAGAAAAGACTGATAGAATGGGTTTAACAAAACACCCATGATAATGCGAAGAAAGAAGACTGGTGCACAGATAGGGGAAAGGGTGTTAGCAGAATGTAAAAAGAAAAGATCTCGTGAACATGTTACCAAAATTCATTTGGTAAACATATGAATGTGACCCTCATTGAATTTCATAACAAAAGCAGCCCTCAGAATGATCTGAGCGGTGTGCCCCTACCTTAGTTAATAAAAAGCTGGGTCTTTTTGTGGCTTCATTTCAGTGGGAGGGAAACTAAGCACTTAAAGATAATGACCAGGTTTCATGGAAAGCCCATAAATTCCGAGATTGCCCACAGCAAATGGTAGTAATAATTTGGGATGCTGTGAAACCACTAGTGTTGGGAGTTATAGTATGTTTGCTTTCCATGAGCTGTAATCTCTAAACTAGTCCTCTCAGAATTAACATGTAAAAAGCAAATCTACCCCCAACCTTTAATTAGCTGTTACTAATCTCCCTGAATTACATTGGAGAACAAATAAGGAAAATGTTGGGTTTCTAAGAGAATTCTGGGAAGTCTGTTGACATCCTGAAGGGTCAGGCAATCAGCAGTGCTTTGGAGGAGCCTAATATTAACAAGCTAATGAGAAGTACTTGAAGTAGTGCTAAAAGGATCTGAAAAAGAAGTTCTTGGCAGGCATACGGATTTGTTCCACACTATTCTGACTTAAAGCTGGAAAGTATCTTGAGCTGCCAACTAGCCTATAATCAATCAGTCTGTCTGTCTGTCTGTCTGTCTGTCTGTCTAATAGAGCCATGTTCTATCGGAAACTAGGATTTGGGATCTAAAAGGAGAAAAAAATCTATATTCTTCCAAGTTCTGCTAACATCCACTGGCACAGGACCTGCATAAAGAGTAGGCATGGGTGGTCACCTGCTGAGGGCCCACTCCCACTGGCAAGAGCCTCCAAAACTCACTCTCCCTTCTCATCATTGCCTCCTGGTTGTTTGCTGGTCTCTCACTCTGGCCCAGACAAAGTTGGTGAGAAGAGGGAGCAGTAGATGCCGCTGCCTACATGCTCACTGGCTTTCTGCCTGTCAAGCAACAAGTGATGAGAAAGGATGAGGAGCAAACAGCTGTGAGTGACAGTGGTGGGGAGGCAGCAGATTTGCTGAGGGAGGGGTGAGAGTGTCTTGCTCAAGGGCCCTCAGATCTAGAGCCAAGACCACACCTGTAGTTGGACAACTGGCTGATGCTGGGAATTTAAGTCACTTCTGGAGGGTGCCATATTGAGGAAGGGTGGACTTGATTATAGCATTGCTCCATTCCTAATCATCCCAAGTACTCCCTTGGCTCTGCTTGCCCATGTTCTCTCTTCAAGCCTGCCCAAGGGGCTTGTACTCTTGAAATCAAAAGGTGTCAACTATAACAATACCTTCTGGCGTAACATGAGTTCATTTCTCTGGATGATTATGTGATTGACTATAGTCCCTGCTGCAGATGTTGGATTCAATCCAGCTTTGTCCATTCAGAAATAGAATGGATTTCCTCTCACTGCTGGAGCCCCCAGACCTGTTTGGAAAGCTTTCTGGAACAGATCTGGGGGCATGGGGTGGGGGGCTATAGAAAGCAGGACAGGTGAGTCCCATTGTGTGAGTAGAAGTCCTAATGCAGAACTGGAGTTTTGCTTGTGCAGTTGTTGGACCCAACCCATTCTACCATTTTTTAAAGAATTGCCATAGCTCCAGTGTCTAGCTTCTTGCACCAAGTGTGTGAAGCCCAGTCAGAGACACCTTCCATGCACAGGGCAAGCCTTTTATTTTCCAATCATGCAAGGCAATTATACAGAGTGTACAGATGGTTCAGGGTGGAGTAAAGCACTCAGACATGTTCAGATAACAAAGCAGCTGAATAGGCTTAATCAGAAATAGCTTAAACTTCCCAAATCTATCCGAGGGTCACTGTTAGGAAGCTTCTACTAAGGGGTTGTTGGGGGGTTTTTTAGTTATGTCCCCCACACCCACGCATCCATTCTTGCTTCACAAATTAAACAGTATAAAGGCCACAAGCAAATGCTGCAAACCAATACTTTATTGTGCTGCCATATGACAGGTGAGGTCAATAGTGCTGTTTTCCTCTTTTGTTAGTAAGGACAGAGTAGGAAAAATAAATCAAAATGGTGCTTAGGGGCCATGGAAGAGATCAAGGGCAATGGATGCTTGAAAAGGAAGGCCGCTTTGCAAACTACCCTTGCAAATCTGAATTTCTAAAGACAGAGGAGTTGACAGTAAGGATTATAAACTGCTAGAATCCTAGCTTAGAAGGGGAGCTGAGATGATCCAGCAGGTTCACTTGCACCAAAGATGTAAGTTTCTTTCCTGAATCTTTTAGTAAAGTATACATCAAGAGCAATGTATTGGTTAGGATATCTTTTAGTAAGGATTAGCAGATACAAGGGGACAAAAACAGACTGGAGAAGGGATGCACCTAACTCAGAAATACTGTTCTGTCCCAGGATGTTTAGTTCCGATAAACCCTTAGGAGAGGGAGACCTGCGGAAGTTACTGAAGCTTTATCGCACAGAAATTTCAATGGCAGTGGATGATGTCTTCCCATTACTTCATGGACTTGCAGATCATGAAGTTGTGACTGAAGAGATGTTCAAGGTGAGAGGAACAGGACCAATTCTGAGCTTACCTGCTCTTCAGTTTATAGTTCTGGAATCTCAAATTACGAACAGCATAGAATTTGTTTTGAATACCTGCCTTTTAGGTTATATGAAGCCACCGTTTGACTCACTTTCAGCCTTCATTTTCTTTGTTTTATCTCTGAAGTTTTTTTAAATCTTTTTGAGGGGGGAATATATTTGCATTTCTATATATCTTTCATTCTGTATAAAACTTTGAATAAATGTACATGTGTTTTGGTTTAAAAATAGCTTACATTCATATAGCAGGCAAGGGAGTTTAAAAAGAGATACTAATTCTGAAGTAAGTGGGAACACAAGACTTAAATATTGTTAGTATTTTATTGGGTTTTATTTGCACATAAAATAGGTTTTATTTGAACATTTTATTATGTAATTTTATAGTTTACTAGCCTGCTTTTCAGGGTAGAAAGCCTCACAAAGTAGATTTCAACATATTTTTAATTACAATAGGTTTTGGAGCCATTATGACAATTTTTCAGGTCCATACATCTGCTTTATTCTGCTTGTATAAACCTTTTTCAGAGTCCAGTTCCAGAAACAAAGAAGCTTTCATCAGAGGCTGATGCTGGGTGTACTGCAGCATCAGCTTATAGTGGGAAATGTCAGGGATGCACTGGACATTAAACAAAGTTCATGGTGTATTTTGAAAATCCCTGCAGATAACTTTGAGATTATAAGTCTGGTGTCTTGTGAACTTGTATTGCTTTGTAGTCTAGCATGGGAACATGAGGCCCTCCAGATGTTATTAGACTCCAGCTCCCACAATCCCTGGCTGTTGTTCAAGATGGATCCAATGGGAATAGGAATTCATTACTGTCTACCTGTAGACCCTGAAAATCCAGGATGTAAGCAGTTTCTGAGTCCTTATGCACCTTTCTTGTTACCTGGTTTTCCCTTTGCCAATATTGTCACATTGTGCTTCTTTCTGTAAAAGATTCATGAGATTATAGTGGAAGCCATATTATTCTGACACTGTAATTGTCAGCTCCCTGAAAAGCTGAGATGCATTGAAATATATACTAAGCATTTACATTTATTTGTCAATTAGCCCGATTTTTCATTTTATTTCTCCTTGAAGGACACTCTTCACCGGAAGGAGAAGGAAGGCTGCCACAAGGCTTTTCATGCAATGTTGACATGGCTACTGAACCAGGATTCACCTTCTATCCAAGACTTCTGGAGGGTCCTTTTCAAGGATTATAACCTGGAGAGGTATTCTAAACTCCAGTCCATTCGGAGCAGCTTTCCTAAAGGTATTAGCTGAGGTCATATAGCTCAGAAGAAAATGAAGTTACCCCTCATGGGTGAATTATATGTAGAGACAGGGAAATACAACTCCTTCAGCTTTACAAGCTGAGAATGATGGGCTAGTTCCAGGCTGAATTTAGTTCCCATTAAAATGATTGAAATCAATGGGATACATGGCATGATTAACTTGTCCCATTGCTATCAATAGGATCTAAATTTTATGCTGGCTTGGCAATAGTAGGAATAGTAAGACTTTTTCGGTCTAACATCCATAGGCATTTGGCCTTATTCTGAACCCAATGAATTTGTATCTTTCTCTTTCTGGAAGCCTACAATCATTAAAAAAAACAATTTACTGCAGGGCAGGGGAAGAGTAGGATTTTTTAAAGGGCTGCTGAAGAATAGGGTAGTGATGGTGGGTGCCATTAATTTTGTTCTTAAACTCACCTGCTTTTCTGTCCGATGTCGTCTGCCCTCCCGCTCAGTAAGCTAATGTTATTTTCCATTTTCAGCAGCAAGATTTCTATGGAAATGGGCAAGTATCTCACCCGGTTACAGCGTTTTCCTTCTTTGTAGATATGGATCTCAACAGGCATCGCAGGGCAAGGAGACTCCCAACCAGTCCTAAGGCCCTGACTCCACAGAAGCCTCAAGGAAAGAGGAAGGTGGCAGAAGAAAAAGATGCTTCCTATCTTCTTCAGCCTTCAGCTAAAGGCGACTTGCACCTTGGTACCTAAGCAATTGCTGGGGCTTTGTTGTACCCTGTGTTGATATTAGTGTACAGCAGCAATGTATAATAGAGGATAAAGGACCTGGGCACACACATACCAAAAGTGCTAGCAAATCCATGTTAGCAGAATGGATTTTCTTCTCTATAAGCAATATTCATACAGTATATGCAACAGGGTGTAGAAGTTCAACATTTTCATTAGCATTTCTGTGCATTTAACAAAAGTCCAGACCACTCATATTATCTGAATGGGATTTGCAACCGCTGGTAATTTGATGGGAAAGGTACTTCTTGCTTTCAGTTTTGTAACCAGTCTTATAAATCAACAGGGTCCCTCCCAAGGGCAAAAGTTATGAAGAAATCAGAGAATGTTGAGATTCAGCATTACCCACTTCTAAATAGTAAGTATGAGCCCATATGAATTCCCCTGGTCTATACAGTACTCTCTTTTGCTCTGCTTTGACTGACTCTTCACTCAAATCAGTTCAGAATCTGTTCCTTACCTAGAATGGCTAGGTTTAGACAACATGATAACTAACACTTAGTGTTGTGTATTTATTGAGTGTGAGTTGTCGCTGAACTCTGGGTTTTTGTTGCCTGAATCCAGCTAAGATACAAACCATGATGAACAACCACAATTCACAGCCCAGCAATAAACTTTGGTTTCTCTTCACGGCTTGCTTGCAGTTAACAAAAGCAATCTTGGAAGGGATCTTGTTATTGTGCTGTCTGAACCCAGTAACTGTTTATTTAACAATTTCTGTTGTAATTGCATTTTAAATTCACTTTTAAAATAATAATATGTAACACCTAATTTTAAAGATGAGGGACTGGGGCTAAGGTAGCATCCACTGAATCTACAGTTGAGCTGAGTTGGCAAGTCTCCCCAAATCCAATATTCCGTTTGTTTTTTTGCTGCTAAAACAGTGGCCTCACATTCTCCATATTGTTTTAAGCTTGTTTACTCTTCGTGCTATTAGGGACATAACAAATCATTAAAGTGAATGGGTAAATGCATATTTGCTATGCATTTATATCATATGTTTTGAGAAGGAGCATTTGCTTTAACATTTCAGTCATAGCTAAAATGAAACAGGCAACTACATGCCCCAGTCTGGATGACAGAAAACCAGTGCAATCTTCATTTTTCCAGGTGATACTAAGAAATGTATCAGAATTGGTGAATTTTATGCATCCAGCAAATTGGAAGAGCTTGGAGAGAGGAATAAAGCTGCAGAAGTAAAGGCCAGCATGAAAGCCAATGACTCTCAGACCTCTGAATATGTATGTAATAAATGATAATTCTAGCCCTTTCACATTTTCAAGGGTGATTTTTTTTCAGTGGAGACTGGGATGCCTTACTGATACACACCCAGGGCTAATTACTGGCAAATGTATGATGGCAGCATAATTTTCTACTGCATGGTTAGAGGTGTGTGGGTCATGTGTTCTATGTGCCATGAAGCAGGCTCTGCCAGCTATTCTGTATATAGTACCTACAAGGAGGTGTTTTAGTATGGCAAATGAGTCACATGACCCAGTCACCACCCTCAGGGAATTCCACAGATAAAACAACAACAGAAGAACAGCTGCATCAGCCCTTAATTGGTTGCCCTTAAGCATCCAAGAGCCAAAACTCTTCACCCAGGTGTGACTTTGCCATCGTGCATTATGGCTCAACTTCTTTCTCCCACATGTAGAGGAGCCAGTGTGGCTTCTGTGTAGCATTATGTCAGTATTCAGTTTCCTTCTGGAGATCACAGTCTTTCTGTGATACAAGATTTATTTACACAGCTATGGAAATGATGCTTAAGATGAGGGTTCACAGCATTAACACTCTCACAGATTCCTACTCCCCAATCAGATGTCTAGGGGAACCTGTAATGTCACTGGATTTCTTGAAAAGATCAGAGTCTGCTTTGGGCCTGCTTTTCCAGTCCAGTTTCAGCATAGACTGTTGTCTTAGAATATGCATAGGCTTCACTGGTTTCCTTAGCTAGTGAGAGAGTGAATTTAGCTAGTGAGAGAAATAAAGATGAGTCATTTCTACCCATCATCTAGGCCTCCTTGGGAAATCTCAGCTCCCACTGAAGCACATCACCAGAATGTTACCAGCTATCAAGTAGTTTAAAAATGCCTCAAGGCATCCACATTGATAGCTCTGCTTAAAAAATCTTAAAGCCAAGGATTAAATAGTTGGAAGGAATCTTGAATCTGTTTGCAGCCACAGGCACAGGTCTGTAAGGGCTGCTTAAGGATTAATTAAACAACATCCCTCAACCAGTAACACTGATGGAAGTACGCCAACTGATCTGATGTTGTTACCCTCTGGATCAATGATGCCTTAATATGCCTCGCAAAGCTATGTTAACTGTTAAATAATTGTATCGTATTTTATATTTTAACTGTTTGTATAGCATGATAGTATTTTACCTGTTTGTAACATGCCCAAAGATTGGTAATTGGTATTGAAATAAAATCAATGCCCACCATAACTGCTAAAAACCAGTATTAGACAGAGAAGGCCACTGGATTGCTTCAGCTGGAGATCAATCTGCCTGTTCTTGCTAAGGCACTAATTTCCTGTCTCTGTGTGCCATGAGGGGTGAGTGAAGGAGCTGGAGAGGAGCATAACTTTGGCTTTTAACTGAAAGTGGAAAAATTGAAGGGTGAGCACATGGTGATCCCTAGCCAGGACTGCCTTCTCCAATCTGGTGCTTTCAGGTGCAATGAATTACAGCTTCTTGCAACAAAACTGGCTGGGAGATGCTGGGAATTGTGGTCCTGCACATTTAGAGAGCATTAGTGTGGAGAAGGCTAGTCTACTACTGCAATCCTATGCCTGTTTAGGAGAGAAATTAATCCTAAACAGCAGGCTTAGTCAACATGTTCATTTGTACATGCTATTTTTTATTTTCAGAATGGAGATAATAAATCACATTTGCAGGACAGAAGCCACACCATCCCTTTTCACGCTGTGGATCCAGCTCCACAACAGGTACTCCGAGGTTATGTATTTCTTCCCTTACTGTAGGGATACACCAAAAAGCCTCTGTCAGTGCTCTTTTTTAAATCTCTGTACTGTTTCTTGTATATTCCTTCCAACAGTGGGATGTTATGTTGCCTTTTTTATGAGTAGCATGGAAAGTGATTCATCTGTAACTCAGCAGTAACATCTGATTCATAACCATCCTTTCTGGGAGGCGGGTTCAGGTGCATGCATGGGACTGTCCCACGTTATCCTTGTAGCTCTGTGCTTGCAAGGAGGCAGCAACTGGTTAAAGGCATGCAGCAAGCTTCATGGCTGGATGGAAAGCAGCTGCAACTCAATAGTACAGCACCACCTTGGGACACAGATGGTCCCTGGTTCAATTCTTAGCATTTCCAGGTAGGGCTTGGAATGAATTCTGCTGGAAACCAGCTACCAGTTGACAATCCGTGGCTGCATGGACCATTCCTCTGACTCAGGATAAAGCACTCTCCTATGTTTGTATCCTGAGCTTCCGAGTCCAGTTCCAACATACTCCTGATATAGTACACACACTCCATCACACTGTTTCTATCAGCACACCAGCGCAAATAGTACTGGCGGGTGGGGGATAGTAATTTTGGACTTTAGAACTTACTGGCTGGGCACTATCAGGAGTGGAATTGGGAGAACACATTTAAAACCATAGGAAAGGGGCTAATTAGGAAGTGGAAATGTGCATAGTCAGTATTATATTTCTAAAAATAGAACAAAAGTACAGGAACAGGAAAGGTAGAAGGGGAGCATTCAGGTTGTTTCTACATGGATGTGCACTTTTCGCCATGTCATTACAAGCAAATATTATCAGGTAGTTGGGAGGCCTACAGTAGGAAGCATCTGCCAGATAAAATGCAAAAGTGTTTTCTTTTTTCTACATTTGAAAACTCCAGAAATGGGACACTGATTACAACTAGAGATGGGAAAAGCCATGTACTGCACCAGACTGTTTAAAGTATATTTCATTGAAAATTATGTCCCAAATAGCTGGAGCATATTATAGAGGGATACTGTACAGTCTATACATCCATGTGGACAGTCTTTTGGTGTGAAAGCTGCTGTTTCCTTATAGATAATATCACTGCAACTCTTACAGCTTTTCCAAAGATGGGTACAACCCAAAGGTCATGTTGCCTTCCCATTTAGTTCATTAGATTTCTCCTTATCTCCACCAAGCCACAGCTTATGGTTTGGTGTTTCTTGGAAGTTTCACCTTGGTCTGCTTGGGAAGTCCCAGATTTCTTCAGCAAATTAAACTGGTTCCAGTTTCCCCACTGGGGCAGATTTAGCCAGGAGAAACTTTTTATTAACCCTTGGCAGGAGCAGCCCAAAGGGTTAATAAAAAGTTTGGCAGAGTTTGAGCTGCTCCTGCCAAGATGGAATTCCCCAAAGATTTTAAAGCTAATCACAACTATTTTGCTTCAGTTTACATTAAAGATGTGAATGGTTGCCCTCTTCCTCTGCTTAGTTGGGTTTTGGTTTCAGACTCTGTCTCTGAATAAAGGCAGATTAGCAAGGCTTGCAAAAGTTCAGTCATTCTGCTCACCGTGTGCTGTCTGTACACCCCATCACACTTGTCAGATTTATTTAAAAACCCATGAGCACAAAGGACTCAAACTAAGGATGGAACACAGGTCCTGTTTCATATAGGCCTTACAGGGTGGTCAATTCCAGTTGTTGGGGGTTGTGTTGCTCCTAGAACCTTTCAGGGTCGCATCCCTCTATCACTGGCATGTAAAACGTCATGCCACCAAGACACTATAGGCTTCCTGGAGCATGATTCTGTTTGTAACAAAAAAAACCCTCATTGTGTACATGGTCTTCAAGTAAAATTGGACTGTGGAGTCGGGCGGGTATTGCTGTCATTTTCATTTCAGCAGCAGCAAATTCAACAGGAAGAGCCCCTGAAAAAATGCCCTGAGGAATTTGCAGGCTGGGTATGTATTGCCTATGCCTGATATAGGATGTGGTACTTTATTAAAGTTGAGCATTCATGAAGACTTTGTTGTAAGAGTTACCCAAATTCTTAAGTCTTTAAGTTACAAGTTCCATTCCAACGTACCACTTTTTCTGGCTCTTTTGTTCATGTTGCCAACAGTATTCTCATTTCTGAATCACCAGGACTTTGTTTCTAGTTGTAGACTGCAGAGCTTCAGCTGTGGAGGAGAGCCCCATCACAGGCTTCAAGTCTATGCTGAGAGCAGGATGAGGCAAATATCACACTGAAGTCTCCAGGATACCAGATAGAGAGGATCCCCATCTCTTGGGACCTGATGTAACTGGGAAACCAGCTATTCCCTCATTGCTTCAGATTTCTCAGGATTGCTTGCTGGATTCCAGGAACAATGGCACTGCTGAGCCCATGTGGAAGCCAATGCTCCCTATGTAACCTGGCCTTTCCTTTTCATAGCACTGCTCTGGAGAAAGCATAATTGACTCATGCACTTTTAGGAAGTCATGGGGCCAGAAATCCCATCAGCAGCTGCTTAGGTTTTGCTTGTGCAGCAGCTCTTTTGACTAGCTGCTTGGTCATTCATGTAGCTTTTTAGCTTCCTGGCTGGACAGCTGCTTTGACTGTGAACTGTTGCTTTTTCTCTGGGTTGTCCTGCCAGATGGCTCCCTCACCTCATTGCTGGGCCTGGAATCTATGGACCAAACAGAACAGCCATGAGTATTTATCCACATCTGTATCCTGTACACATATAAAGCAGGAGGGGGGTGGGTTCTGTTCTTTACAATAGATAATATCCAGTGGTATCTGGGCACTAGTGCTAATGCTGCTGCACTAACAAGTCAGTTCTTGCAAAATGTAATACAAGGGAGAAAAGCAATGCTTGCTGCCTAGTTGTGGTGGCAAAGCACAGCTCCCCCTGCTGTTTGTACTGGAAATATTGGTTTAAGTTCATGCACCATCGCTAAAACCTCTGCTGAGATGCCACTGGCTATTTCTTACTGAAATGGATGGATGACTTTCCAGAAGTTGTGGCCTACTAGTCCCATTATCCCCAGCCAGCGTAGTCAGTGGAGAGGGATCATGGGATTTGTTGGCTAAAACATCTGAAGGGACACAACTCACTCTCTTCTGCATGAAAAGGAGTACAGGAGCAAGTGGAGTGAAACCTGCCCCATCCTCTTGTGCACTCAATTGTGCCAAACTTTTTTCCCCCCAGCTCAGCTCTTAATCAGGCTGGAAAAATCTATTGGAGCCCAGCAATGAAAAGTATGTGTATGTGGGGTGCATGTGCATACATTTTCCTCCCCTGATGTCCTCTTCACGTAAACGGATGGGGCAAGGGAGCAGCAGCTTTCCTATTATGGCCAGGATTGCAGTCTCATCAGTGAGCTTGGATAATGGCCAGAAACAATGGGAGTTCTACTCCAGCAGCATCTAGTGGCCACAGGTCCTTCCCCTTGTCCACTCCCTGATACGAAGTGTGTATCCACCCATGCGTCACATGAACAGGGTGGAAGGGTAGTTGCTTTTCATGTCAATTGCTGGTTACCATGTCTAGCTGACTTTTGGGGCAACCTAGTGGTGTCCTGGGGAGAAAAGTAGCTGGCTATATTATTAGGTCCTTGTAGACAATACTATTCTCTTGAATGTTCTCATTCTCAATGTATGGCATAGCTATAGGAAAATGCCAAAGCTAGTGTAAGTCTGTGCTCTTCATTTCACGTTTTTCCTGAGCAACAATTTAGTCAACTATCCTGCAGGTAGCTTGTCCTTTCCTGCTTGAAAGAAAATTGTCTCCAATTGCAATTGTTCTGGGACTGCAGAACTGGAGGGAAGCATGCTTCAGTCTCTGCCACTGTTACCTCTTAGACCCCAAGGGCCATTCTGTTGTTTGTATGTGTGCACTTGAAATGATCTGGAGTAGCTGATCCCTAACTTGCTTGCTTCACTTCTTCCTGTTCTTCACATTTTCCTTTTGTACCATGACTATTAGATTGTGAGCCTGAGGACAAGGATGCTCTTGTTTTCTTACTCTCTGTACAGGGCTTAGTAAATCTGAAGATCTGACAAATGAGGATGATGAACACAGAGAGGGGTGGCCTGGTTAGCTGGGTGAAGGTAGCTTTGATGTTACACCAAGAAACTAGCTGAAAACAACCTTCTTTCTGCTTTAATCCTAACCACAATTTGGTGGGCCAGAAGAACGATGATGAATGTGCCATCTGCAGAGATGGTGGAGAACTGATCTGCTGTGATGGATGTCCCAAAGCCTTTCATCTTTCCTGCCTTGTACCACCACTGACTGAGATTCCCAGGTAATGACAGTTCTGTTAGTAAATATTGATATTCCACCTAGGGGTAGACGCTGGCCCAGATACAGATTGCAGGGTGTCTTCTTTCTTGTTGGCTGCAATTCTTTGTGATCACTGCAATCATTCCTTCAATTTTCTCTAGTACTGCTATAGAATGTTCCTACTGACATCTCTGCTAAGCTCCGGGCTGTCAGAAATGCAAGAGGGGGTGGACCTTTTGCTGCAGGTACATACATCAAGCATGCAGAACTTCAGGCCCAGAGGCCAAATCCAACCCTCTGGGGTTCCCCAGATGACTATGCCCACTTTCCCCTGGGTTCTGCTGCCTTCTTGCCTGCCCCCATTGGCTGCACAGTGTCTGAAATTGGTAGCTTTGCAGTGATATGCTATTTTTCACAAGGGAAAATGATTTCTGTTTGCATTTGCCTAGCTTGTTTGCTTACCGCTCTCTCTCTCCACTCACCCTTTCCATGACTGAACGCTTGTCTTTCTGGTTTGGAACACTGAGCAGTGGCACATGGAGGTGTGATTCCTGCCTACCTGGGAAGGCGAAACAGAGCAGACACAATGAAGAAGAGAACAAGAGAGAGCCGCTTTCTCAAACTCAGGTTTTATGTTTTTATGTATTTATTTATTACATATCTATTCTGCCCAAAAGCTCTCTGGCAGTTCACAACAATTAAAATCATAAGTACAGTAAGACTAGGATTCTTGATTTTCTAGTGCCCTGTAATTCCTGTCTCATCATGCTCCCCACTTCTTTCATGTAGAAAATGTCCAACGTGTAGTATCTTCAAGGGGTTGCCTTTCTGCTTATGGATCTCCTTCAGTGGTTCTTTCTAGTAAGAGGTCCTCTTCTTTAGGACTGGCCTTACTGAGTGAGGTGACAGCCTGACACAGCAGGTTCCTGCTGGCAGGGAGGAATGGCCAGGTGCTGGAAGACAGAGAAGCATGTGTGTATCATAAGGCCTGTCCTAAGCTGGCCCACTGCCCTCAGGTGCAGCGGAGGTCCTTGTTCTGTCCTCAGCGCTGCAGGAAGATTCAGTTGCCAAGTGCAGTCAGCTTCTGTATGTGGATTGGGAGAAGGGCACCATTTTATCCTTGATCTCAGGCAGCGAATTGTCTTGGGCTAACCCTGACTCTTTTTGTACTCCTTCATAGTTGTCCAGTTTTCCCATGTGGGATAAGAAAGAGAGCTCAGAGCTTATGACCCACACCTCTCAAAGGCATTATCTTAGATCTTAAACAAACTCTGAAGACTTTTTAAGACCTGTGCATGGCTGCCAGTGGTCAAATTGTGGAAACACATACAATGTCCTTCCATGCCCTCTTGTGGATGTTTTTTGGGGCTTGTGTGATGTTCATTTCACATACTTTTTAGGGCGCTGTGTATGTCCAGAGGATAACTGAAGATGGGAAGAGAGTTCTCATCAAAGAACCTGTGTGTACTTCCTTCAGACAGCCTCTGCCTTCTCTGTCCCCAGTTTCCATGGCAGTACAACCAACAGTAGAGGCTGTGGGAATAGAGAAACAGCTGGTCAGTAACTCACCTTCTTACAAGAGTTTTCCACATATTTCTGTGGGCATGGCAATTTCAAATGCTTTAAGGCATTGGGAGGTTTTGTTGCCATAGGTATGCTTTCTTCCTTCTATCAGATGCCTGTATATAGTAGGTGAAACATTTAGTGTGCCGTAGCAGAATCACAAAAAGCAAGATGTCGTTTGAGTATTTGCCTGTTTATAGCAAAGATGGACAACTCAGTTGGTGACATTCATTTTCATTCTCTACATTGGGGATGGAGAATGTGTGGCTTTGCAGACATTGCTGGAATGCAACTCCCATCATCCCTCACAAATACCAATGTTGGCTAGAGCCAATGGGAATTGCAGTCCATCAACATATGGCAGACTGCATATGGAGAGCCAGATGTTCCTTCCTTCAGTTCTACATGCATTGTAGATCCATTTCATTCTGTTCCCTGCATTCCAATCATATCTCAAAGCCCACTTCATATCTTCTTAACAGTTCTAGCTTATTAGAATCTATGGCAGTTCCAACCCAGGTTTGTTCTGGGCAGAAGCTCTCCCTTTACACAGCCTGGGCCTTGTCAGGCAGCCATCAGCAATTTTAGTGCTTGCCTGGTATTAAAATAATTGCAATGAAATTATACTCTGCTTAGACAGCTTCTCTGCATTTTTCCTGGGTCCCCGAAGGATTTCACAAACAATGGCAATTTTTCTCCAACCAACTTTATCCAAAAAAACTCCTTCAGCAAAGAACCTTGAAAATATAAGATGACTGACAAATTATTCTTCAGTATTATCTCATTAGTTCCATGCAGGAATTTCATATACCCTGCATGTACCTGGTCATATATGACAAATATGCATGCATCCATTTCACAGATGGAGAAGAAGCCCTGAATTTCTGCAACTTCTGCATACTGTAAAATATGTGTTTTTCTCACATGTGATAGTACACACACGCGCACGCATGCATGCATGCAAGTAATTATAGGAATGGTGGTCTGGATAGGTGGTAGAAGGGGAATAGAATATATACAGATTTCTAAATGAAATGTTGTATCCAAGAAATTCATTATATGGGAAGCAGCTCCTGGAGCCAAGTTTGGTGTATTGGCTCCTGTTTCCCTAACTGCTTGACCTTTATAGCCACTTAGTTCTTCATCAGTGAAAAGAATTGATCAAAATTGGAGATGGGAAGAGATACAGGGGAAGGGAAAAAAATTCCCTAAGTGAAAGGGGCAGAAAAATAGTGTGTGCTCCATTATCCTATCTCTAGTGCTTCTGTCTTTTGCTGCTACTTTTGAAAGTGAGGTTAATGGTAAAACATCACCTATATATGATCCATTTCACAATAAAGCCACCATTATTATGACCAGGGTGGACATGGCACTCTGAACCTCTTGATACTCAGTTTTTATCATTTTAAATGGAAGGTTTATATTTCTCATTTTATTTATTATGTTTAAATTATTCTGTGCACACTCAACCTTAAAAACAGGGCAAGTTAGACATCTGAGTTATTTCAGTGGGATACTCAGGCATAAGATTGGAGAAAAGAGGACTAAGTCTTATTAGAAACTGACCCCACATTTTATTTTATTTGCAGAAACTGACTCTTGGTGACAAGTGCGGTGTATGCAGGAAAGGAGGAGAAATTATCTACTGCAATAAATGTTTCAGGGCTTTCCACTGGCCCTGCCATTTTCCTGCCCATGCAGATCAAATCAGGTGTCAATCACATCTAAGACTCAAGCCCCTACAAGTTCCCAAAACTTCCTGACTCTTGTTTGTGAGGCCTTGCCCACATGGTGGCTTGATGCAGTGAGTTTAGTGTCATAGTGCTAAACCATAAAGGTGGGGCGGGCACTGTAAGAGAGAGGTGCCAGGAGTACTGTACAAATGTTATCATTTATGGTTTTGGACAGATGTCAGATGTGCTAAATCAGTCTGTCTGATTCTTGAACCTCTCTCTGGGAAACTGGAAACAGTTCTCCATCAATTGAATCAATCAGCTCTCAGGTTTATGGCCTGGCCTGCATTCCTTCTTAGGGCAAATTTTCCCACAGAGCAGAAGAAGAGCTAAATGTGTACCTGGATGTAGTGCTTCAGTCTGCATAAAAGAAGAAGAGGAGGATGTGGCGGTGGAAATCCTTCCATATAACAAAATGTCAGAGAGAGGGAACCTAGCCTTCTTCACATCTAGTTTTCTGTGCAAATTGATTTTTTTTTTTTTTTGTATGGAAGAGCATTCAGTAAAATGAGCCACTACCTTCAGTCTAAAGCAGTCCAATCCAGATTTGACACCTTATCTGTGCCAAATAAAAGATAGGTTGATGTCTTTAAGGCATACTTAAGATCTTCCTTCCATTGTTCTTTCAGTGGAAACTTGATCTGCAAGTCCTGCTCTGGCAGCCCTGCCACCAAGAACTCGGAAGAAGCGACCAACTCAAATCCTCCAACACTGCAAGCAGTGAAGGTCAGGGTTTCCATCATCTTTTCACCAGCCTAATCATGGCTGCTGAATAAAACTGAAAGAGAATTTTGGGAGATCCAAATGTGATCTATCAGCATTTTCCAACCACATCCTGTAGACTACAGCTCCCACCATCCTCAGCCAGCATGGACAATGTAACCCTTTGTTTTCTGAAAAGTTAAGTTTGTGGCATTGGTGCAGTCAAGTATTTTTACATATGGTGAGGCTTGGAAATCTCACTTCCCGCCTCTTTTTATCCAGAGAAATTCTTCCAACAAGGTGGAGGTGGTGATGATGATGATGAACATTTTTAGACCACCCTTCTTTCTGTGGCTCACTTTATCCTCACCACCATGTGAAAAGGCTAGGATGAGAAATTGTGAGTTTTTATGACTGAATAGAAGTCTGAACTTGGATTTCCAGAGTGTGAGATCTCTAATTGCTCCACCATATGAAGTCCTTGTTATTGTTAGTATTTATATTACACCC